GAATGAATCTAGATTCGTATAAAATCATAAGCATTAATCTCGCTATTTTAGGTTTTAATAAAATATGTTTTTGTCTTTTATTTAAATTTTCAAACAAACAAAAAACACACAAACTACTACTTTAAATTGAATGCGGTTTTCATAGTTGTATTTTTGTAGGCTTAACTTAAAGTCTGTGGGGTTACTCTTAATATAAATTCCAATAGTTCGATATTGGAATTGATACACGTTTCGCACTATCGAATTGCACTACTAGTGACATAATGGTTCCATACTGTTCTCATAGATGCATATTAGTGTAACTTGCCAATGCAAACTATTGCAAACTGTTCCTAATTTTAACTTAATTCCTAATTGTTGTATCATGAGTGCATTACATAATTGTCATTGACATTAGATTGGATTGTAATTGATATTAAATTCAAGAGTAGGTCTGCTGGTGTATGTTTTATAATAATTATTTACTTCTAAAATTCACGCGTTCGAGGTTGCGGGAATAAGTTAGTAAGTAATATACTTAATAAGTATATGATACTTACTAGTTATTTTGTGACTATAGTCAGGTGTCGCAAGTATATCGGTACCTTACAAACTATCGCGATATTTGTGCTAATTAGGTAGGTATCTATGAAACAACATCCGCTGCTTGCTGCACGGTCATTGTCTACATGTTTGTAAACACCTAACCACTTAATATCGGACAATGAACTATTGTTTAACTTGAATGATAGAGTATTACCCAATTCCTACATCAGTCATCTTAATATATTATCTACCTACCTATATGACTGCAACAACAACAAATCTGTATTAGCAAGTAAAAGTATTCATTATCCAAATTATTTTAAAATTAAATAAATGGATAATATTTTATATTAATATCTTCAATTATTCGTTCTAGATACAAGATAAATAATATTAAAAAAAATAAATATATGTCGTTACAATCCCGACTGTATGAAGGTATATTTAGAATCAGGAGGAGTCAGATGTATTCTCAGCTGCCACCGTAATAGTGAATTCCCCACTGTTAACTATGAATAATTACAAAAATCTAATGTGTCTTTATTATATAATTTGTGAGTACAATATAGTATGAGATAGTAGAGTTACTATCTTACACTGTTAGTGATTAACTGGATTTTTAACAGTATATTGTTACTTAAAATTTTTGCCAAAAATGTATAACCATGATATTGTAATTTTTGGACTTACTAGAACTCTTCTTTCTTTCTTCTCTAGATTCTAGAACTCTCACTTAGAACTGATGAAATTACAGGAGCAACTAGAAGATAAGTAGGTACATAAAAATGTAATGCGAAATTAAATAAAATATAAATCTGATAATACTATTGCGTACTTAAAAGTAGCCGTCGGTATGTTACCTGTATTTTCCAATCGTAAATTTACTACTAAATACAATACCAAAACACTAAACACTACCACAGACTACGAAAGTTACCTTGATACTACGTAGATACTAGGTCCAAATCTCTTATAATAAATCTGAATAATTAAATACTTAATTACAACATAAGTTACGTAGGTAAGATTTTTGTAAACTAAATTATTATGGTAAATTACATTTCTCTTTTATACTTCATCCTTTTGCTTGAATATATTTAAAATCATATACCTAGTTACTTGAATTATTTTGTTGCGAAATGAATTCCATTCAATACCTAATCTGCCTTAAGGCGCTTTATTCGGACTGCCATTGATATATCACATGTGCTTATACTCGTGTGAATATTTAATTTCGCATACGAAAGCAAGATATAACAGTAATTAACTGTTTAATTTTAAAATATATATATTACAGTAAATTTGTAAAATAATTGAAAACATCTTTAATAATAAAAGAATGAGAAATTCAAGTAACAGAGGCAGAATCAATAGCGGTACATAATTGAATAAGTGACAAATGAGAAACTACTGTTCATGATGACAATAGAGATATATACTTAGATATAACCTTATGGAAGAGTATACCTATCACGCAAGTATTTATCACAATAGTTTCGTGATTACTAATATTTAATAAATTTTAATTTATTAAATATTATTTTACTTTTAATATTAATTTACTTTTAATATTCAGACAGATATTAGTTATACGGCCTGCCTGATGTCAACTCTTCTTAGGAAAAACCTACTTATACAAAATTAAATTTTAAATATATTTATAGTAGCTTTGTTTCAACTCGATCATTAAATTAGGATATTTTATATTTATGCTATTATAAAGTGGATACTCATAAAGAATGTAAAATTAAAAAGAATCGAAATAAAGTTAGACAGATATTATTTTTTTAATTTCATTAAAATTTCATCAAATCATTATTATTTTTCTTTTTCTTATCCACTCTTAAAAAAGGTTTTCACAATAGAAACGGCCCCTCGTGGTGGGGAGTCACCCTGTCATTACTTTATTGACATCAAGTTAATTTCAGACGTCACAAAAAATGTTACACCAGTAATATTCTGATAATTTTTGGGATGACCTTCCTAAAATGCTAACATTTCGGGATTGAAATAGAGGAAATGTTTGGCTCAACTCATAGACTGTAATTTTTTTTATTCAACATTCCAGGTTAGATTTTAATATACTTAAAAACTAAACTAAAAACTAAACTATTTGTGACTAAGTGATTGAAAGTTTGTATAAGAGTATTTTTTTTTTAAATAAAAAAAAAACAGTAAGTCGTCTACTAGAATGTGCTTATTGACAAAGCATAAGCTATATTCATCTTTATCCAAAATATTAAGTCAATATTGTGTCAATAAACGTGGTCTTACCACGTCTATTATCGTATATCCTTTATTTATCTATACAATTAGAGGATAATAGGTAACAAACAAACAAATGAACAAGCTCACTTTCACATTTATAATACATATTAGTAAGGATCTCTCCACTTTAATTGAATAATTAAGTATCTACTTAAATAGATACATAATATAATCCTGTCGATAATAACTAGGTATATCAATTAAATAATTAGGTGCATAACAGTGCGATCAAAATTATACAATTTGTACTAATCGATCTAGTTAAAATTTTACAAGCACGCACATTTTAGTACTGAAGTAAAACAAACACAGCTAATATGAGTTACTTATACAGACTAGCTGACCTGGCAAACATTGTTCTGCCATATGGGTTAATTGTTCTGGATATGCACACCCTAATCACCTAGCAGTATGACATATTCTTTAAGACCTATCCTTATAAAAAAAAAAGTAAACAATTCATAAAAATCGGTAGAGCCATTTTAGAGGAGTGCGATCACAAATACGGGGACACGAGATTTTTATGTATAAAGATATATCATTATTAAAACATAACTGTTTAAATCAAAATGTGGTGTATTATACATTTATTTACCATTAAATAGAGCTACTTCTGATCAGCTGCACTTTCTGGTTTAGATTATGGCTACAAAGACCTTTCCAGAAACCTTACAATTCTAATCATTCTGATACTGTCAACATTTAGCTATTTTATTTATATTAGCTATCTATTTTTTGACTTTCTTTATTTTTCCTTTATATTTATCTGTTTAATCTATACAAAACATCAAAGTTTTGTTGACTTGTGCCAATGATACTTCATCTACGATAATTATTTCAGTTATTTCGCTGATTAAGGATTCATCCCTTTCACATATGCTTACTTTCGTTTTCATTTATACGAGCAAAAGTGATAAACTCTCCTACAATACAAATACTACCTTACGAATATCTATTTTAAAAACTATGTTCCTCAATTAGATAATAGTAATCTGAAAATGAAAGTTTATGAATACATTTGGATGTTTATTACCAAATTGCTTTTAAAAGGATTAGCAGCATACATCTTATACAATTTACGACAAAGCGGCAACTTCATCACTAGTCAATGTAAAAAATCTATTCTTCAAAAAGATTTCTTGACATTTATCAAATTTCATGGTAACCTTTTTCAAAATGTCACAAGGGTGAAGCCGTAAGTATAAACGAATTGCGGTCAAGAACAAGATAAACACGCTGTGACAGGATAAATGTTACCACGTTTTGTATCCATAGATTTTAAGGTCAATAAGATTACAATAATTAGGAATTTACAAGAAAGATTCAACATTTTCATGTACGAAATAAATTTTATTTAATTATTAATATTTTATTAATTATATATGAAAAGCTGATCGAGATTGGTAAAAGTATCATATAACGTATTTAAAAAAAATTTTTTTTGAAGAAGCAGACAATTTCTCAATACACCAATAAAAGAAAGAAAAATCCAAATTTACGAGTTTTCTTTAAAAATTTTAATCATTCTTATTCCTAGGAAATAAATATTCTAAATGCCATTCTTATTACTGATCTCCTCTATAGAAGTAGATAATGTACTATATAAATTTGGATTTTATATATATATATATATAGGGGCACCAACTAAAAAGACATTTGTGTGTCCAAACTTAATTTTGTTTTGTATACCCACAAAAATCTACTACTTCCATCACCACAAAATCTGACCAATGTGTAACAACTGATAAAATCCTATTGCAATTTGATTACAAAAGATGTATAGGAATTAGAATTCCCAGACAATTCCTATTGTTGTCACAACCATTCAATTGGAAATATTAGAAAAATGAAAACTATTTTTCAATCAATAAATTAACAATTCTGTTACACATTTTATCGTTATTGTTTTATGGAAACGGTTATGAAGGTGCATGAATTTAGAATCGTGTGTATTTATATCTTAAAATGTTCAAGACTATTATTTGGGGCTTCTGTGTTAACATTCTTTTTATTCCATAATTAATAGAAATCTCGCAAAAGAATTAACCTACCTCAACAATGACGTTTTTACAACATAATCCGGTTTTATATCCCGCTACAAAACTGAGAACTACCTGCATATACATATTATCTTAGATTATGATTATTATATACTCCTGTGCTTTTTAATTATCATAAAATTATTGTAAATAATGACTCAAACTTACTGTCTCAATTTAAGCCCTAGAAATCGTTCAATGATCCGTAATGAAAAAAACACGTGACTGTTCAGCGCGTGGTACAACAGTGCGCGAGAGAGCTATGCGCTTGTAAACTCGACGTCGACTGACACGCGAGGACCTGAGCACATGCCAAATTACTCGCCCCTCTACAATTTAACACTTTAAAAGTAAAAGTGGTCAATCCCGAAGGCGTGGCGGCTGGCAACAGCCGTGACTCGGTATTATGTACCATAAACAGTCAATATTGTTTTATTATCAAGGTGCGTACCTATTTGCTATACACGACTTGCAGTCTAGGAATGTCAAGGTCGAATCATTTTTCAATTATATTTTTGCGTGAAATCCATTAGAATAACAACATCAATTTCAATTTAACACAAATCGAATGGGAATAAATATTTTTTGTACATAACGACCCTTAGTCGATTTTAATAAAAGACATCATTATCATGCCGAAAGTAAACTCTTGCAATTAAAATGAGGATCATGCAAATTCGCCCCAAAATCTTGGAGAGATCGGTATATAAATGTACATGTTAAATATAAATTAATAAGTACATTTTGCTCTGCAAAAAAGCAACAACTTCGATCTTGCAACAACATCAACAACTTCAGTTTTGTAGACACTATAGATGTGAAAACATTTAAATTTTTACGGTAAATTGTATGTCTGTAAATACATTTTCCTTCACAACGAGCAAGACGTTACACCACAAAAAAAACTTCAAACTTCAATCGTCTCAAAATAAAATACATGCGGGAGTAAACTTTAACGATTACTAAAATGTTCATCGAAGCTTAAGCCAATGATAAAACTACGTAAATGTTCATCGAAGCTTAAGGCAATGATAAAGATACGAACATTTTTTAATCAGAAGACTTATGCCAGAAAGTAAAGGTTGCACATTCGACCAACCACTCATTCATAATCGCAGACACCGGCCACCTATTTTCTTTCTCTAAAGTTCTAATAATATCCCAATTATACTTTAATTAATACCAACAACTACAGGTACACTATCTGTCTCAAATAGCGAGAACGAAATCCTCACAGATACATACTAATATAGATAAAAAATCAGAAATATAAAATATACATAAAAAATCAGAAATATACTGTAATATTTAAAGCGGACATTACAAAACTTTCTCGCTATTATTAACCTAATTAAATTAAAACAGTCCATTCAAAATCGAAAATATCATAAATTTTGTCATCAAAAAACTTGATGTGATACTTTTATGTGGAAACCTCAGGATCCTTTGTATTCTCTCTTGAAAATCTTCTCTCCTCTGATTACTTGGATACCAAATTCAATGTCCTTCACAAACTCATAATAAATGATCTAATAATACTTTTCAATATTACACTATTTTTTTTTTATACAACTTACAATGGCAAACAAGCTGTCGGCCCACCTGATGGAAAGTGATTACCGTCGCCTATAGACGTCATCAGTACCATGAACATAACAGAGTATACTGTTTGGCCCATGATACCCCCCATGCGTTGCCATTCCTGAGGACTCAGGTGTTATTCCTCCGTACCTAGTAAATTCACGCCATATCCCACCCTTCAAACCGAAACACAGCCATGCAAACACAACTGCTTTACGATTGAAACACGAATGGGACAGAGGTACCCAAGCAATCGAATTTTGTACAAAGTCTCCCATCAGATAAAACTCTATTACTGCTACTAAGCAGTACCGACTGAAGTATAAACTATGCGTACAGAACTCTAGATTCTTATCAAAATTTCATCCACTGAGCAATTGAGTATTTATTGTTCTCTATGTTATCATTTTCTTTTATAATCAATCAATCGTCAATACATATAATAAAATCGTAAGTAATGGCAGTCTGTACATGGAAGATATATAAGAAATATGAACTATTGTCTTTATGAACGCAATAGAACCCAATACAATAATTTTTTGAATTTTTGACTGTTTGTCTGTATGTTTGTGCACGCTAACCTCAGAAACAGCTTAACCGATTTGAATGCGGTTTTCACTATTACGTTGCTGTTTGCTCCACTTTACATTTAGTGTTTATTATTCCAACCGTTAACTGTCTACTGCTGGATATAAGCCTTCCCCATAAGGAGAGTTTTGATAGTAGTTGCCACACTTAACAGGCGGATTGGCAACCATAGTTAGGCTTTTAGAGATGTTTTAAGAGAGACGCTGTTGCCATCCCTCGCCCTCGCTTAGTCGCCTTTTACGACACCCAAGGGAAAGGAAGGGGTGGCCCATTCTATGCCGGGGCACACACGGCAATTTAGTATTTTATTTCAATCGGTTCATAAATAAAAAGTTATATTGATATAAAGAATTAATACCCTAAAATTAATTGTACACATTTTTTACAAGCGGCCCGGGCCGTCTTTGCAAAAGTGGACATTTATTTTTTAAACATTTTGGAATAAACATGGAGTAATGTATCATTACGCAGGATATAAGTAGTATTTTTTTAAATAAACATCTACCTCTGTGCTATTCATAGATGTGCACGTCTGTCCACGTCTCTCAAACTTCCCTTGTGATCCCTCCCTCGCCACGCTGCCCTCTACGCTGTGTGAGGCCACAGCAGCCACGGTGCAGCGTGGCTGCGTTTATTTTTCTATTACTTTTTTTATTTATTAATCGATTGAAATAAAATAATCACTAAATGATAAATGGAGCAAACCGCAAAGCACTAGTGAAAACTGCATTCAAATCATTTAAGCCGTTTCTGACATTAGCGTGCACAAACGTATAGACACACAGACAAAAATTTTAAAAATAATTGTTTTGTGTTCTATTGCATTCATAAAGCTCCCCTATAATAGTTTTTCTTATATATCTTTCATGTTCAGACAGCGACCAGTTACGATTATATGTATTAATATATTGAAGCTAATAAACCGATTAATCGGAATCAATTAAACTCTTCAATTGCAATAATCTATTTTTATTTTAACCGATTCAACAAACGTTGTTCTGTCTGAAATCGAATTTATTTATTTCCCTAAAAACATCAATCGAACTGTAACCATAATTTAAAAAAAAATGCTAAATTGGTATAGTCATTATCAAATGATGCGCTTAGCAACAGCATTTAAATTTTGTTTACGTAGGTACAGATTGCAAAAAAAATATTCATTGAACCGTTAATTTAGAAGGTAAATAATAAATTAGCTTAAGCATGTACCTAAGGTAAGTACCTACATAAAGTAATACGGATGAATCGAGAACCTCCTATTTTTGGTTAAGTCACTAAAAAATATATAGGTATTTAAAACACAAGTAATCAATGGTGTCCTTAAAAAACTACATTCATACGATTTCTTATGACCTCTAACTATTTATGTACTTACTGTCAGCTCTCCATGCAAAACTAAATGATTGTACGCTTCAATTATACTCTTCAAGTAGTAATTAATGACAATAAATGAGTAAATATAATGCTTACCAGTAGGAAAATAAAGAGTGCTTATTAGTGATTACTTTATTCGTGCTAAATACCGCAGTACTATGCAACCGATTCCCAGGCGCGCACAATCGAATCTTTTTGTCCTCGATTGATATAATAGCAAGGTACAGGCGACTGTGCAATCAACAGGAAACATGAGCCCAACCCTCGATGTCGGAACTCAATCGTACATTCGTGCTCGTGTTCCTACGAAAACAAATAGAGCGAAACTAAATTTGGATAGTATCTGATTTCATATCTGATTTTATAGATTAAATACATGACTATATCGATTACAATATTTTATTTGTAAGGCCTGGTTTGCAACAAAAATACAGAATGATTGAAACAATAAGGCTGAAAACATTCACTACCGGTATCGAAAATCAAAAACGTCGATTAAGCCTGCAATACTTTAAAACCAAAATATTAGTATTAAAAACCTAAAAAAAATATTCATGGACAAAATAGTTTCATATATCGTACATTACTGCAGCGGCCAGCAACTGAGGCATTGATGGACGAACGTACAAATGTGGGCCGAGGCGTAGCCGAAGCACAGATACGTGAGTCCATCAATGCCTAGTTGTGGCCAAGGCTTGTATAGGACTTTTCTCAAACAATGCGCGGAAATCAAAAATACAATTTTACTTTTTAAGTTCAATGACGAATAACAAACAATAATAATTTTTCACGCGCCATAATGTTCCTTTTTTTTTAATAAACAGCTTTCTATTTGCAAACCAATTCGAAATTTAAATAAAACCTTTTATTAGTTACATCCTTGGTAGCCATGTTTCGAAGTAAAAGGTCATTCCTTTTTTAAATTACAGGACCGATATGAGTTTGCCAGATAAATTACTATATTTATCTGGCCGCAAAACACGACAGATATGAATTTTCATACAACTTTTACCGGCCGCTGCCCGCTTGTATTTGGCCAGTACGGCAATTTTGATTTATCTCGAAGAAGATTGTCAAAATAATACTCACATTTCCAAGCATGTTTGAGAAAAAGATAGTTACTACTCGTGTGTGTACTAGATAACAGACACATATTCAAAAAACTTTTTTTTTATACAACTTAGAATGGGAAACTAGCTAACGGCCCACCTGATGGAAAGTAGTAACCGTCGCCTATAGACATAAGCAGTACCATGGACATAACAGAGTACACTGTTTCACCCATGATACCCCCCATGCGTCGCCATTCCTGAGGACTCAGGTGTTATTCATCTGTACCCGGTAAATTCACGCCATATCCCACCCTTCAAATCGAAACACAGCCATACAAACACATTGTTTTCTAAATACACACACATTTAAATAAGCATACAGCCCGCCTGAAGATAAACAATTCCTGTAGCCTATGGAAACTTGCAATACCAATAGCGTTGCATCCGCGTTGCTGATCCTGAAAAAACCTCTACCCTTTATTTGAAGAACCTCCATACGGTAGTAATTTGGAAAAAACCTCAGCAGAGAAATCATTTTATAACTTGAGCGTCGACGAGAAGAAACATTCCTGAAACCGCTTTATACAGAACCATCTAATATCCTAGATTTTAATATATGAAGATGAATTCTCTATCGATGGTGATTTATTTCTTTACCAAATGTTTAAATCGAAAGGATTAACAACAGAGATTGATTTTTTAAAGTTTCTCATTAAATTATATCATTTACGTAATAGTAGATATGTACCCCGTTAAACTCTCTACTTCCGTGTTCATAAAGTGAAACTAACAAGCTATGAAAAAGTATATAATATTTATATATACACAATTCTTAATGTAAATAAAGTGACTATTTATAGAAATAGTCAAGTTTGTAAATTAAGTTCAGTAAACAAGCTTAAAGCGCTTAGACATAGAACATGTCCCACTAAACCTACTTCCTATTCTACTAACATTATGAATACGAAAATTAATAATTGCTGATTATTGGTTGTTTGTCACTTAATAATGTTTTAAAGTCTGAACTTAGCACTTATACATATTTACATCTTTAATATCTTTATTAATCGAAATTATTCTATTTTTTTATTACGTATGTTAAAAATGAAAATAAATGTTTTGTTACCCAAAATATGGTAATTTCAACACTTTAATATGTACCTATGTATAATAAATAAGTTTCATAGACAAAAGAATTAATGAATACGAGTAAGTTTAAATGACTTAACAACACAAACTCTAAGGTATCCTAATGACTGGCTTACAAATTTACTTATTTAATTAGTTAAAAAAATGAAGCTCTTAACAATACTAATAATTATACCAACCTAAATATTTATAATATGTAACAAGTATTTTCCTAAAAGTATTTCGAAATGATTTCCTAAAACTCCGATACAAACTTTTGATATGTACCTAATGTTATTCTGCAGGTTCGAGTAATCTGACATCATTGGCAATTTTATTATAAGCATTTACTGTGTAGGTTATTTAACATAAATAATGTCCGCGTTTATATTGATTTATTTCTTTATTGTATTGGAGAAAATTACAAGCCATCCAAACAATTTAGCATGGACCGGGGGTCCCATTCATTCAGAATGTGAACATAGCGCAAATTTTCTTGTCGGAAGTGAACAATATGTGAACGATAATGTGATAGTTACCAAAGCTGTTACATACAAAGATGATATCTACGTTATTTCTCCCAGGTATTTATGTGATGAAATTAAAAACTTATTACCTACATTATATTTCATGATTATGATTTATGGGTGGAATTATTTGATATTTTCATTAAGTATTTATTATACCAGAGGAAGACTTTGTACAATAGTCGTCTGCATGGGTATTTCTGTCCCACTTGTATTTCTGTCCTAATAAGCTGTGCTTGCAGGACTATATATCAGTTTGAAGGTTAGAATATGGTAATGAAATTACAAGGTACAGATGCATAGCACCTTAATCCTCAGAGTGGCAACGCATGAGGGGTAGCATGGGCATAATAGTGTATTCTGTAATGTTCATTGTACTGTTTATATCTATAGGTGACGGTTATTACTTTCCATTAGTTGAGCCGTCAGCTTGTTTGCTATTTTTAAGTGTCTTAAAAAATATTTCGTTCCCCGCGGAAGAAATTTCTCTAGTCTATAATTTATTTGTAAACCTTTCGACATACTAATTTAATATAGATCTTTTTAAATTACATATAAAACATGTACATAATTAAAATACAACTGTACAACAGGTATTTAATGAACTTACCATGTTTATCATTTCCGATAATTGTTTCGACTTCTAGGCCATATACATAGGTTATATGCCATCATTTACCCACGACGTCAATAATAAAACAACTAGCCTTTCATTATTAGTAATTCAATTATCTATGCACCTTTTTCTTTTTATAAATAATGGTCAAAGTTAGGCCCAAATTAAAAGTCAAACGTCAAAATTCTGCATCTAGATTAAACTCATAATCTAGTTAATGGCTGTGGAAATTCGTTCAGCCGTTTATGTGTGATTCAGTAGGTACTTACTCATATCCTCCAAAAAACTTTACAAAGTTCCACATTTCTCTAGATAGTGTAAAGAACTACAAATAGTAGACATATTATTATCAACATTAATATAGTACCTATTACATTACCAGAGGGAGGAAACTTACCAGGAATGATTGATGATATTGAACGAAGTCTAATAAGATTCGTTTACTCATATTTTTGCTGACAAACAGCTGTGCTTCGGTATTATGAGTGTAATGTGGTAGTGAAATTGCAGAGTAGAAAGGGCATACGAGGAATATCTTAATTCTCAATAATGCCATCTTATGAAATATACCTATCATGCTTTCCACCAGGAAGGCCATCAGCATATTTATCATGTGTATGTATCAAATATCATACATTACAAATCATGTGTATGTATGTATATCATATATATGTGTAGATACAGATGCTTAGATTACAGAGTGTCTCTATACATATGCTTTAAAGAAAGCGTTACCACAGTTACCACTTCCCATCAGGTGGGCCGTCAGCTTGTTTACCGTTCTAAGTTGCATTAAAAATACATACATATTATAAAAAGGCATATTTTTAATAAAACCAGATTCAAACACGGTGTGTTATCAACTGTATGGCAACTGGTGAATGGACGACGTGGACCAGAGTTGCAGGTCTACCCAGCACTCATCCACAATAAAATTGGAAACTGTCAAGCAATACAAAATGCCGTCGACCAGCATCTTGACCACTTGGTAAATCCAATCGCCATTTTCTCTTTCCTATTATACATAAAGTAAAACTTGGGCCTAAACACTGTTTTATTTTATTTTAGGAAAGAACTTGCATGATCAGCCACACACTATAATAGAAGTGTTTCAATAGAAATTTTAATGATTTCATGAATAAGGCTTTGCGCAAATGATGAACAAATGGGGCGACCACAACATATGTTTTGTTTATGATAATAGAATACATTGAATTGTATTTTAATACACACACTATCATGCAACTATCTACACGAATAGACAAGTTATAAATAAGAAAATATTACTCTACATGAACAAATTGTCTATTCATACCTTAATAGGGTATCTTATTTATGAAGCGAAGGTCTTCCAAAAAATTTTTTGAATTGTACAGTGTGCCTATTAAAAAATACTCAGTTAACTAACTTACTATTTTAGGGTAACTTATGGATACTGGATACGGGCATAGTGGAGATAATGGAATCGCCACGTTGTATATGTCCAGCCAAAATTGTGGTTATCAATACAGTCCTGGGAAAGCTGACTAAGCATATAAGCCTCTCAGCGCTGACAGACTCATCGTCACAACTGCAGAATTTGGTTGTGGAATATGAATTAGGAGTGAAGCCTTTTATGTAAGATTATTAACAAATGTACACATACATATTCGTACTCTACTAGGCAGATATTTACCAAGACTTCGTCCATCCATATCTTTTCGCCTGGATTTTTTCATAGGAAAAAAACAAAACAGGTGACGACACATCTGTTATTAGGTACTATTTAGGAGTACGTACTATAGTTGTTATTTCTAAGCAATGTAAACTACACTGCTTTAAAATACTACTTATAGTACTTTAATATACAGTATTAAGCATACGACGGGCCTTTTGAGTGCGGAGAATCAAAGTTTACATCATTAAAAGTAATTTATTCATGTAAATAGCTCGAGTGCGTCATTCAAACCAATTAGGTACATATGTTTTTCATTTTGATAAGCAAAAATCAATAATTTACCCTTTTTTAGTCAATATGAAATGACAAACAAACTAATGATCGAGGTAAGGAGTGCTAGCACTCGGCGTTTGTTCGCGCACTGGTCTACCGTCGCTGGAAGGTCAACAGACTGTCAAACCTAACGTGAATTCCGTGGGACCTCCACGGAACAGAATGATCGATCTTCTACGTAATGTAACAGACAATAAATTATACGAAATTTGATGTAATAGCGTTTCGTCACGAAAAATCGACACTCAAAGATTGCCTTAATGCATAGATTAAGGATAGTAGCTGCGGTCCTGCTTAATGTTAATGTAACAGTAGCATTAAATATATTTTTATAGTAAGTAGTTAAATACGACTATATCTAAGTACCTACCCGTGTTTATTTTTTCAGATATATATCAGATTCTAGAAGAGGTGCGATACTCGTTCATGATGTTATATCTAACACTGAATGGACTGTACTAGCATGTGCCCCAACAAGTGGTTTACAGTTAGCCCTCGTAAAGAAAGGGGCTACAAATACTGTTCTAATACTTATTAGACTACAACACCAAGGATTGTTAGAATTAGACACAGCAACCCTACGAAGAAAAAAATCACCTGCTCCCGTTAGAGGTAACGACTCCTTTGATCATTTTAGTTTCCAATTCAGATTCAATCACAAACTAGTACATCTTACTGCTACTGAGAAATTACTCACTTAACCCTTCAGAATTTTCTCGTACACCAAGTCTATGCTTCAGACAAAAACTGTAGAACTAGTACTTTTCCAAGAAACATATTTCATATAGGGAAAACTATAGACCTCATTGCTAGCGACATAGCCTATTAAGGTCGATAGATTCGTTTAACACATGTTACATTACATATTCAATATATTTTTCAGTATTCGGCGAACGTTCTAAGCGTGTAGTCCTCCTTGGATTCGACGCTCACCACGTTTATTTACGACACGCTGAATGTGCAGATGTGCTGTCTTGGGACGCTCGTAATGCATACAACGCATCCAATCTTATCAACATTCACTCCCCAGGACCAAGGTTGACGCCCACCTCGGTGACTGTCAACCCTTTAAAGCAGGTTCTAATAGTTCTTGATTCTAATTATGGTGACACTATTCGCAATAGTAACCTGCCTACCTACCACAGAATCACTTTTATTGGGAAAATTTAAATACCCCTACATTATATGAATTTGTATGTTTTAGAAAGTAAAAACTATTAATTTTAATATTTTCATTATTAGTCATATGTTCATTTGATGACATAAAAGTGGATATTATAAACATGTTTTTTTTTTCTTTACGAATAATTCAACATATGAAAAACGAGGTTTCTCAGAAAAGAGGTAATATTTAAACAAACAAATTTTTAATAACCCTACCGAGCAAAAATAGTTTTGTTTCACTAATATTTATATAATGTAAGGCATATTGATTCAAGTATTGAATACTCTAAAATAGAAGTCATGTATAAGGAACAATAAAAAGCTGACATGTGTATATAACACTATATTTAAAACATAACATGATGAAATGACAATAAACATCTTTAAATTAAACAACGAACATAATACAAAATTTAAAATGGAACGACATATTTAAGTTTACACAATTTCGAGAACTTACGAGCGCTTTGTTATATATTATTATTAATTTTTAAGTAGATATAGTGAAGCAGTTCGTATTCTTAGAAAAAAAATCTCTTATTGTGATCATAAATATTATGAAAGCTTGTACTGTTTTAATGCATTTTACAGTTTTAATTTCTTTTCCAAATAAATAACGTTCATATAATGTTAGTTTTAACAAGTTGAATAATTTTGGTGTGTTGTAATTTTTCAACTTTACCTTCTAATGACTTTTTAATATCAAAATAAAAAGCTAACCCTTTCACATTTATAGTATACCTTATAAACCTTGATAAATTGCATAATAACCCTTGCCAAGGATTGGATACTTAAGATATTACCTACACCTTAAAAGCAGTATTCCCGATCATTAGTGTGAAGCTCGGTATTTTATAAAACTACGACAAGGTAGTCGAAATATTTATATTAGAGGCTAGTCTCGAACTTTCTGTATATTTACAAGTTTCAAAGTATTTGAAGTTTCCTCTCCTTATTATTATGTCGAACTTGTGAAAGTCCCATAATACTGATCATCTTCAACGTGACATCAGAATCGATATTCAGATACAGGTAAAAATACTGAAACTATTACATTTATAACAATTTTTGTCTTTTAGGTATATATATTTTTCTCTTTTAAAAAAATAATTCAAAGCGGGATATTTTTATGGTTCTATTGAATGTATAAATTTATATTAAATATATAAATGGGATGTCATCAAATATATTACAGTTTTCATTTAAATTGCATTTTTTTAATAACCGAATTAATTTTCTTGCATCAATTATTTTATTAAAATTGAATATTAGTACTATAATTTAAAATGATTACTGACATCAGTACAGTTTTGATAATAGATAAAATAAATTATTAATAACATAAGCGCTCATGTTGCTCGACAAAGCGATAAAATGAATCGCAGGTACATGTTTAGTAATATACTGTTGAATAATAACCTTGATTCAATATATTGAATGTCTTTTAAAAAAACATGTCCAATATAAATTATAAAAAAAACTCTCATCACAAAGTGCTATATAACCTAGATTATGTGCATTTCGAATTATAATTTCGATATTTACAAAATATTAACATTCCCAAACGAGTATCATTTTTATAGAGATTGTTTTATAAAAAACCCATTACACATACCAATATATACAATATTTCACAAATAAATTGCAATACAAATCACTTTATTTCCTTATTCGTGTAATCTGGTAATGTTATGCCTACATAATATAATAATTTAAATAAACTAAAAGATATAAACAAAAATTGTCGTGTTATACGCAATTTTAATGATATATCACAATTGATTTACATAGGTAATAATGTATTCTTTAAAATGTGTATTCCGAGTATACATATGAATAAGTTTTATTGTAGTATTCATTCTAGTCATATGTATTTTGTTAATTTTAAAATCACAACATCCCTAGGGCCAAGGCACAAGTGTGTTTTTACGAAAATTCGTTTATTACGCCCGCTAAATATAACCCTACTAATTACTCTGTGGTGTTTTATCTACATAATGTATAAATAGATTTCTGAATAACAGCTCTACAACACGCAGGTTACACAATTTGTTAGTACATAGAGGAAGACAAGCAGTACATACGAACGAATTACTGTGTAAACTTGGTCCTTCAGGATAAAGCCAAAATGCTGAATAAAATGACCAAAAAGTAAAGATTGATGGAATTCATTGAACGCTATTTACTTGCCTTCCCCATAATGAGTATATTTTCAACCAATCTTTGGTATTGAAGACAAAATTACCATAAAACAGTTTGTAATAATATTAAAGTATCCATGACCACAATACAAAAGTCTTAATATATTAAATCCATGTAACCAAAAAAATATTTGCATATCAAAATAACCGCAATAAATAAGCCAAGCCAGCGTTATAAAGCCTCTACTCGTCTAAAGCATTAGAAAATATACTTAATCCCACGTTGTACATTGCTAAGTGGAAGGCAGTTATGAAGGTTTCGCATCTGGAACCATTTACATTCACAGCATATACACTTTAATCAATCACTAACTGTCAACTATATGAAACCAGATCTAATTTCGGGCATAGAGTTAATATAGGAGAGGGCTGCTTACATTCTTCAGGCACTACTAGCTGTTCTCATGTGGATATTCGTGTTTTCCACACAGATGATTTCTCGCCTGTAAAATATTAATGTACAATATTATACAGCTACATATATATCATGAATGCTACTAGAGTTCCATGCACAGGATTAAAATAATACAGAGTAATCGTCATTGACTTTTGGTATTTGGGCTATGAGCTACTTAAACATACTTTACAAGTATTGACCCAATGCAATACAAAACAAATATAGTTGTACTACAATAGAACTGCCTTGAGGTTATTACTTATTTGCTTAAATTGCCCAATAAAATCTTTTAACAAGCACTAAGCAAAAGGAAGTAGCTTCACAGCTCATAAACTAAATGTTTACAAAATATGTGTACTTTTAATTTAAATAAATTGTTCAATCATTATGTAAGAAGTCTTTCAAGTATTATGGTCAAAACTAACCTGCTCTATGTGATTCCCCAGCTATATGGTTACCATGCCTTGGAACAATATAATTGGACTCTTGGAACATAGACAACATAAGATCTTCTGTGGTTGGATGATATTCCACTCCATTTATACTGGCAACCAAGGGAGAACTCTCATAGTTTCTGTTCGAATCTCGACTTGTAGACGACGTATTCGACTTGGCCGGGTAATCGACGGATCGCGGCCTTCTCGTGTCCACGGGCGTCATTTTGGGATTTACGTGTACATCTTTATGAATATAGGGTTCAATGGATACACTCATCTCGTTTTCGTTCGCATTATCGTTCGTTTTATTCCCGTTTACTTCAACTATCAATGGTCGCTGCAGCGTGGGTGATTGTATTATAGAAGCTGTATTGTGAACAACTGTGGTGGTTAATTTGGCTGGAGACGTTGATGTATTCATATTGTCATCAGGCAGGCTCTCAACACTTCTAGATAAAGGACTGTGTGTAGGAGCAGTTGCATCCGATTCTGACTCCGGTTCATTGTTTGGAGTCACAATTTTTATATCGTCTATATTCTCCTCTTTGACTTCGGTAAGCTCATTTAATGTATCGCTAGTTTGCTTTACATATTTAGGCATACGTAACGCCCAATGACTGTTGTGATCGTCAGTAGAATAAGAATGAGTTACGTTAGGCTTTTTCCTTTTGTAAAATAGCATGTACGCCGTATTATCTACCAGTTCACTATATGCATTCTCATCATCAACAAGTGTTACCCTTGAATCATCAAACTTGTACCAGTGTCCATCGTATGGATTTTTGCAGGCAGCAGTATAATGTCCAGTTTCTAAGTCATCACCATGGTGATAGCAAATGGCGTATAAGTCATACATATTCTCATCTGGACTGCATATGGGAGTTTTAGAATGCCTTCTACGTGGCGATCTTGAGTGTCCGGGCGATTCAGCAGTTGGAGAGTTCCGCCTGACCAGATGTGGTGTCATGTCGAAGTCATTCAATGGAAACTCGACCATTGTAGTCAGCTTTGTACTCGTCCGACCTTTAGCTTGCCTAAAATTATTAAAATTTAATTTAATAACAATCATATATTTATCATTTTGCATTTAAAATAAAAAAAACAACTAATACTCACTGCCTAAACCTCTTCAAATGTATAACTAAAATGTCCGGAAGTGACCAAAGACCAAGGGTTTTAACGACAGGCATATATCGTTGACACTGGGGACACCTAAATTAAATTAAAAACATAAGTACACTGTCAGAAAAAAAAAATTGTTTCAATTAATTTGTCAAAATGTTTGATTAATTTTATAAGACGGACCCAATTATATATATACACATATAAATGGTATAATGGTTGATATGTTGCAGTCAAAACTCTTAGCCAATCAAAAGTACTATTGACTAGCAAAATCAGTCAAAAGTACTTTTGACCGTATGCTTTAGTCCATAATACTTTCGACTAAAATAACAGTTAAAAGTACTTAACCTAACCGCAAATTTGCAGTCAAAAGTACTAATAACCAATAATTTTCAGTCAAAACCACTTTTGACCAGCCCGTTTTGCTAGTCAATAGTACTTTTGACTGGTTAAGAGTTTTGACTGCAACAGATACAATAATGATGATATACGTTATATAAAATGTACAACCGATTCACTGATTTACAACATTACGGGAAATACCACACGCTTATATGTTCTGATAACGATAAAAATATGCAAGGTACCTCCAGGCATCCTCCTGCGCGAGCCGCTCGGCACGCGTGTAGTGCGTGAGGCAGGCGTGAAGCGTGAGCGGCGCCGGGCCAGCGGACACGTGCACCTCGCACGCTTCACCCACCCACCGGATTATACTGCCATAAAGACCACACAGTCAATAACTTCATTCTTATTAAAATAACAATCACAAAAAATCCTACTATCGATTCCCATAAAAATAACATTGATGATACATCACAATTGACTTTTCATTGCAAAAAGTTTGCAATTAAATTTGCACCAGAAAACAGGACTATGATAAGAAGTATTAATTTAGAATATGCCTAGAATTAACCAACCAACCTGGAATCTGGAGCAAGGCTAAAAGCTGATCATATATTTTTAAAACGTCTTTAGAAAAATTATGAAAGCTTTAATTTTGTAATTTTTTTATTACTCGTTATATTTATATATCAATAAAATAATAGTCTATATATATCAAAATAATAAGTCTAAAACATTGATTATTTATAGATTAATTTAACCAGCCAACAAATTATATTTTATTAGTTCAAAATCTTACCTATCTCTATGAGCTGGATCCCATAGTAGTTCCAGCCGAAGATGAGAGTGTTTATCGTGTGCGCACAGAGCTTGCTCCACGTCTAGCGCGAACAAAGGGTGCGGCAACTAAACAATATAGAATATACCTAAGTATTATTAGAATAAAGGGCAGCAACTTTTACAGATTTTAAAGAATATTAGATAGTCCTCATTAATTAATTAATTATAATATGGATTATTCTAAAATCACCTCAGGTTGCAAATATGCTGGATCTTTAGGTCTATGTGCTTCCGCGATCCTAGCCCTGAATATATCAGTACCCTGTGCATTTTCCAAAACTCGTTCCGCCACTATTTGGCACATTTCCTTTAGCATTAATTTCTGAAGGTCCTCATAGGAAATCTCACGAGGGACTTGCATGGCATAAGGTGAACCTGAGGATAACAACATTTTTAAGTAAATTTAAAAAAGAATAATTTTTAATAAATTGTTTAAAACAAATATAAAATAAAACTTACCAAACCTCTCCCCCTCTAAAATATTAACCCATAATAACAATAAATACGGCGTAGTCGGAGTTTGTAACAAAGGCGGAGCCTCCATACAATACAAAGCGCCGAAATCTATGCCTGCCACCTCCCAGCCCGCTCGGGCATTGCACCACCCTACAAAGATATTAACAATGTTATATAATACTTAAGGTGTGGTATAATTATTCATCATCATTACAACCCATCATCGTCCCATTAGTGGGCACGAGATTTCCGATATAATATATATTTAATTATTATATTACTATTACCACACGCGCTCGCCAGATGCCTTATTACAAACTTCATATAAATCTTATTTCAAGCTTTAATTCTCTTACCTGTATTGTTTTGTTCCTTCAGTCACTCTTTACAACATCCGGGAGATAGATATTCATAACTCCTTTATCAGATATATAATAATTATTTCGTTATTAAAATATGTACAGCAATTTTAAAAAATATTATAAAATGCTTTTTTTTAAACATCGAACTGTAAAACTATACCAAAAAATTGTGAAACTTTGTATTCAATTTAAAAGTAAATACCTGTCTCATTGATTTCTGCTAATATTATATGGTCGCGATCAATGCCGGTGTCATTATGTAATGTAGTTCGCAAATCGTCCATGGTAGCATTTGGTGGAAGTTCCACACCAATCCGCACTTGGCGAGGTTGTTGATTGACATATACTACCTGCAAGTCGTAATAGTATATATTACTTACAACTACCATTATACAGTTAATAAGGAAACAATAGTTTATATACACTAAACATTTTTATAGACAAAAAAATTCTATTACTAAAAATTTTAGTGTGCTTATTAATTTTTGCCTTCCTCAATCATAATTTCCAATTAAATGTAAGTAGCTGACTTACAGATTTACAGATATTTACGTATAAAAAAAAATAAATAATCCATATTACATGAGTAAGAATAGAGTAACTTTCTATCAATAAATAAATTTTTATAATGACTTCAGTAGCATTTTTAGAATGTATTCAGTAGTTTACTGCCCATTTTCAACTAGAATTGTATTTCGAATTACGACAGTAAAATCATAAAAGTTAACTATTAAAAAAATTCTTAAAAATAAGATTAATCAAAATAAAAATTATCTAAATGTATTCTATTAACAAATAATTAACCTCTTTTATAATAACAGATATGATAATAATGCACTTACATTAACAGGCAGTGGGGATGGTTGTGCTGTTGCCAACCTTGAAGGTAATTGTACACTCACGCAATGGAAAGGATCAAATGTGCACGATGTACGTTCACACTTGGCACATGTGAGTGCTGACCTGAAGATGACCATATTATTTTTATATTTTAGTGTTATTATAATAAACATATACCACTGTTATACATATACATTATTATTATTTATAATACACATAAAATTAATAATAGGAGAAAGAATTACACATTATTATGTTACGGTTATTATTGTGTGTTTGTATTGTGATTTCTTGATAAAACTTTATTATATCGACTACATATTATTATTTAAAATACTTGTAGTTTATCTCACTGTCTTTATCTAATTTTAACTGGACACTAGAATTTTTTTTAAATAATATTATATAGTAAAATTATTATTGTATCCATTTATGCATATTATGTCAATATTTTCATAACTTTTTAAAAAATGTGATTAATCATAACTATCTAAAATATTTCATTACATTAATTTGCAGCTTCATATTTCAAATAATAGAAATGACATCAGTTGAAACGCAAAGTTGTACACTATTACTATATATAATTTACTTTGACTTTTTATATACAAATAACCCAATTAGGAAATTACCTATACTGAGCTTGAAAAACTGCTTGTACAAATGAACTATTTCTACGAGCATGATTTGCTAATGTTTCAGCAGCAACTACTTCATCAGGCTTTCCACAGGTATTCTGCAATATAATTAAACTATTTATTTAAAGAAAAATTAAGAGTTTAAAAATAATTTTTTCTACACTACTATAGTAGCAAACATGCATATGACCTGTCTGATAGTAAACAGGTTTACCATAGCCTATAGATATTTGTAACACAGTATTTGGCAAAAAGATGCTTCCAATCTTGATGAAATGCATTAATTTTTAAAATTACATTTATGTTCAGCAGGGGTGGTATATGTCAGTACCAAGTGTTTTAAAATGTCAATAAAATTTTGGTTTTTTCTCTACTGCAATAAATGTGGATAATATTTATTAATTTATTTAATAATATTTATTAAATTAATCTGAGTGAATAGGAAAACCACAACTGACAAACCATTATTTATACATCTAAAATACCTTAATAGTTTTGTATTTTTTCTTTGTTGCAGTATTTAAATCTTCATGTACTTTGTCAAGAAGCCAAAACAAAAATTCTTGGGCATCATGCTGGTTATTTCCTCTATATTGTGTTCCATGCCTTTCGACTGCCCCCTAAAATATAAATATGATAATCTTAATTATTTCATCAATTACATTAGACAGATATATATGAATTATACATGCTTATAATTATGATAAAATAAACTACTTGTTTTGTAATTGAACTTGTAATTTGAAAATATTAATTCATATGTGAATTAATATGTTTCTACATTGAGCATTAGCTTTATTTACAGAGTTATTACCACCAAACACACAAAATGCATAAATACCTTAAAGGCAGTACTCATATCAGGAGAGTAGTGACAAGCCCAGAGTGCTTTTAGCAGGGTAGCTAATTGCTCAGTTACTTCTCCTCTTGTACCATACTTTTTAGAATTTATTTTATTCCTTTTCTGCAAATCCACCTGGTAATAATAAGAACACATAAAATATTAATTACATTATGTTCGACTAGTCTATATTGTTTAATTTTAAATATGAACATTCAAACCAATAATATAAGTATTTTGTTTGCTACCTATTAGTATATATATGTAACAGGAATTTTATAAATTTACTGTTTGTTGTTTCTGACAATTGTTTCAACATCATCTAGAAGTGTTCTTTAGGATGTGTATGGTGCTTTTGTCACAGCATGTAAAGTGAGACACTGAAGTTGAAACAATTGTCAGAAAAGACAAACACAGTGAGTCCATGAAATTTCTATTACACATATTATGGACATTGATTCCTAATGTTTTTATTACCGACAAGTAAATAAAAGCAATAAATGAAAAATATTCTGAGACAAAACAAAAAAAAACTTTAGTAATCAGAATGGGCGTTATTTGGGTAATGTTTACTACTTTAGAGGCTTTTGTTACTATCACTAATATAAGAAATACATATGACAAACATGTTCCATATATACAAACTCACTTTATAATGGTCTAGAACAAAGTATTCAGCAATGACATCTGTATGAGAAAGGCACTGTAATACAGCATTCATATAACAAGTATTGCCGTGGTTCTTGATGCCAGTGGCAGCTGGAGTAGATCCTGGTGGCCACGGTGGGTCTCCACTACATGGTACTCTTTCACCATTTAAAATTGCTGGTGCAGATTTAACCTTAAAGTAAAAAAATAATGAAAAGTTAGCTTGCAGGCAACTTTATTCTATTTTGCAGTTTCGAAGTAGGCATATAATAATCATTATATAAAATGAAAATAATTAACACAATTCAAAATTCCAATCAGATATTCAAAAGTTGATTAGAAGAAATCCCTTTTATACTTTATTAACTCATCTTTTCTTTCTTCAAGAGATCTTATAATTTAAGATTTAACTGTAAAATAAAAGTTTTAAACATACAAGTACTTTAGGTATGTTATTTACAATTCTTCTTTTTATTATAGTTTATTACTTTTTTTTTTAATTACATATTATTATGTAATATTTATAAATAGCTAAATATTTTATCCCATATATACACATATGATAAATTATAATTTAAATCCCGGCAAAAAGTTACAGTAAAATAAAATAATATGAGAACACAGTCATGTATATATTCACAATGTGTGGGGTTCCTACCTGCATCATTAAAACAAGACTTACCATAGGTATCTTAAACCATTACACCAAGGTCATAAAAATAACGATTACAATAAAAGATTACTTATTAATGGTGTTTAGATTTCTAGGTCAAGTTTTGTGTGAGTAATTATTAAATATAACTACAGCAATGAATTTATTAATATAATAGTTGTTGATGATATCATTAATACTTACACCTGACACATTAACAGTGCTCATATGCTGCGCTATTTTATTCAAAAATCTTTTCCATGATGGCCTTCTGAATAACTTCCTTTCGATAGCACCCACATCTTTTTGAGACTCTCCTATTTCAGATATAGCAGATGGAGGTTTACTATCACAATCGTTGCTTTTATTCTTGCTGGAGGTTGCTTTAACAGTTCCAAACGGGTTGCGAGGCAATGTAAAAGTACGTTTTAATCTAGATCCCTCAACTTGCTTTGGTGTCATAGTAGTATCAGAAATCTCATTAATTAACTCACTCTCCGAACACGACTTCAAAACTGTAGATAGGTTGTTGGTAGACATATTAATAAAGTATTTGATAATATTTTACATTTATTACTTATTTTTTAATAAAGAAAACCAATTAGAAAACATTGATATGTCACTGCCATAAGCGCCATTTTGATTTCTTGTCTATGACATTTTTTTTCAATGTGTTCTTTCGGAAAAGCTATGAAACTAAATCATATTGCCTCATCTTAAAATTTCTAATTACGTATCACGTTAAGTACTTAGTTAAATTAATTTTATATCTTTAGTCAGGTCTTTAGTTAAGTTTTTAGTATATGCAATAATTTTTACTAATAGTATTTTTTTTTAATAACTCATTGCATTTAATTTTATATTACTATTCAATGTTATCAAATACATCATTTCCATATAGCTAACTATATAATTTATATCTAAGGTTTACTCTGTAGTGTCTAGTGTCAGTCAACTGCTAAAAAAAAGGAATTACATAGAAGTAAAAAAAGAGGAAGAAAGATATATCATCAGTTGTTATTTTCCTCAATTCTATTTCATTTTTCTACTTCTTGTTCTTAAAAAAAGAATGATAAAATAAAGTGTAAATCATATGGTTGCCTCCTTGCTTCTTATACAAATACAATTAGTAAAAAGAGGATGAAAGATACACTGTAACAGATTATTTATATTATGTCTAGATATAGTCTGTGGAGGTACTCTGTATCCGTAATTACTCTATAGTGATATGTGCTGTACTGTAGATTGTAATGGAAACAATAAAATAAAACATATTATTATTTTACTTATTATATTATTGAAAGGATACCCTTAATATTAATACATACATCATCAGTTATTATTTTTCACTATTCATTGCTGGCTAGTGTATAAAAAATGTTATACGACCGTATAACCCTACCAAATTCTGATACAACCTGCTTGCATACTTTCTACGTAAACTGTGTCGAATATATAATCTAGTTATGTAAAATTTGTTATTGACAAATATTCAACATATCAAACATTTTCTGTACACTAGCCTATCTTTAGTCCTTTTTCTACTAAATTATATTTGCTTAAGAAGAAAGGAGGCAACCATATGATTTATAGTTTTTATTTTATCATTCTTTCTATGCAATTCCTTGTTGTTAAGTCAACAGTATGTTCTTATCTAGGTACATTCAATTCCGAAATCTTTGGTTCATATAGGTAGTTATGACATTGTCACATTTGTCTCATAGTTGCTGTCATTTCATTTGTCAACAATGTCAACATAAATGAAATTGAAATCGATCATTTGATGAGCAATGTTATTTAATTAATTTTTGTTGTCATTTATTGTATGTACTTATTTAATTTTAATCGATCTGCGGTCGTATTCGTCTCTAATGTGTTATTAAAAAAAAACGAAATTTTTGTACTACAAAATAATAATAATAATTTAAAATATGCCATTTATGAAGAATAAAATAATTAAAGTTCAAGAAAATTAATGATTTAATTTCAACTTTTTGTCGGTGAGTAAGGAATTAGAGGTATTTTTGATATAATTACATGACTTAAAAATTTAAATCTTCTATGAGTTTGTTATTTATTATTATTTTATTTTGTTTAATTCTATATTATTCATAAATGTACTTCGAATTGAACACAATATAAATTGCTCAATTTACGAAATTATTATTGTGAACTTAAATTATTTGTTAAAAAATTTGATGAATTAGACCTAAGAATAATATTTTTAAAATTACCCCTGTACATAGATTAATTATAAAATACACTTATTATTGTTTTTTAGGAAATAACACAATGTCGAATTATGATAAGTTGAAGCTGCTTATTTGGAAAAATTTTCTTCTACAAAGAAGACATAAATGGCAAACAATTTTTGAGATAGCCTCACCTGTGATTTTTTCATTATTTCTTATATTAGTTAGATGTCTTGTGGATCCAGTATCAAAACCAGATATCACATATCCAGCCTTCTTACCAACTTATTTTAATATTAGTGGCCAACATTTGTAAGTATATATTTTACATGATTATTTATAATATCTATTATATCATATGAGGTATCTTATTAAGTATTTATAAATTATAATTAATAATATAATTTCTTTTTCTTAAATATTTTTTATGTAATCAATCAGTATATATATTCTTCTTATTTAGAGGTAATTTAACGAGTGCTAGAAAAGAAGGCACTTTGGCCTTTTCACCCGAGAACCCGCTTACAAGAAAAGTAACTGAAGATGCGATGGCAACAGTGGCCTTAGACAATCTCAATGGAGTGCTTGCATTATTATTTGATACACATATGCTACCAGCACCTAAAGGATACAAAAATGCTCATGAAATGGAACAGGCTCTCACGCAACCCAATGCAATGAATCAAATCCTTGTAGGAATTCAATTTAATGACAATATGATCAGTAAGTACAACAATTCCAAAGTAATAATATAAGTAATTAAAAACTAATTCTTTATCAATTTTATGAATTACAAAATCATCACCTATTTATTTGATTAATATTATTACAAATTAGATTTGAGTAATTTAATAAACATTGCTTAACAAAAATTATCTTGTTATTGTAGCCCTTTCATTATTATGCCTACCTATCAAATGAAATATTTCAGATGCTACAAAGTGGCCAGATGATATTGTAGTAGCTTTAAGATTTCCTGCTGTTATGAGGACACCAATGGTTGAGCATCCTCTCCGAGCAAGCTGGAGAACAAATCTATTGTTTCCATTGTTTCCCAGACCGGGCCCACGAGATCCTGATGATATATATGGGGGCAAAACTCCAGGTTTTATTTTAGTCATGTTCTAATAATGATAGTCTTTTTTTGTTATATTTCATTTTAGTATATGAATAAATGCATTTATTCTTATACTAAAATGAATATTTATTCTTATTATATTCATATATCATTTATGCATACACATATATTCTTATAATTCAACACCTTGTTGATCTGTAGTCTAGATGATGATGATGATTTTATATAGTTTTTAATGATGGGTATAAATATAAAAAAATCAAACCATACAGTACACAATATTTCATAACATTTATTCTTTTTGTAACTAAAACATGAAAATCTATTATTTTAACAGATATTACTAATCTTGAATAATTGATCATTCAGATATAAAATTGTACAAAGATTTTTGGTTTTTATAAATTTAAGTACTGTATGGATAAATATAGCTTTCCTAGCAATCTTGTTAATTAGTAAGAGTGGTGGCGGCCTGTAAATTAGTGGTAGATAACCCACAGTTTTACCTAAACAAAATTTAAAAATATTTTTTTAAATCTGTAAATAATTAATGCCAGCTTGTACCTTTAGGTTACTCTCATGAAATGTTCCTCGCCGTTCAACATGCTTTATCTAAAGAAATAATAAAGCAGAAATCAAACAAACCATTTAACACAAAAGTGTTCCTTAAACGTTTACCCCAACTGGCTTATAGAGATGACCAACTACTGGTGGCTCTTGAGAGATTTGTCTCAATGATTATTATGCTTTGTTTTGCTTACACATTTGTGAATACTGTGAGAGTAGTTACTGCAGAAAAGGAGTTACAGTTGAAGGTATATATTTAGTTAATATTTTATTAATAATAATAATAAATTATTTAATAATAATTAATTAATATAATAATATTATAATACTTTATATACAAATTATAATATATTAATATTGTATTATTATTGTAGGAAACTATGACAATAATGGGTTTGCCATCGTGGTTACACTGGCTTGCATGGTTCATCAAACAATTTTCGTTTTTATTTATATCAGTTATACTTATTGTCATATTGTTTAAGGTCAGTACTCTAGTTTCTTATTCTCTCTCTCTTACTCTTTCTTATTTTTAAAAAGTAAAACCTCTCAACAACTTATATAAACTAGGTATTATGTTATTTTCTTTTGATTTATGAATATTGTAGAAAAAGTCAAAATAGTTCAATAGCGAAAACAGTTTTATTAAACATTAGCTTTTTACCCGCTATTTTGTACGCGTTAAATTTAGAAGTAGAAAAGTCAATGAAACAAACCACTTCTAAATAGCGTATCAAGATAAAACATATACCTACCAGTTTTTAAATTATACCTTCAGGAACAAAATTGTGAAAATCATATCAATTTGATGCAATAGTTTTAGCCGAAATAAACATACAGACAAGCAAAATTAAAAAACAAAAATGTTTTGGCTTCTATTCCTCTTATTAAGACCTCTCATGTAATTTTTTTCTTAAAGATCTCCCATATACAAACATCATCTAGTTACAATCCTTAACTAATATTGAAAATGCAAAAGCAGATGTATTTGTTTGTTTGTTACACTTTCACATCTAAACTGCTGAATCAAATATGATAAATTACGATATAAAGATAGATGTGACCCTGGAGATGGTTATAGGCTACTTTTTCTACCGGGCAGTGAACACATTTCGGTCATGTGGAAGAAGTCACGGGTAAAAGCTAGTATTGTTATATGTCAGTCTGGCATCATTATTAGTAATATAGTATAACTATCTTACGCTAATGTTTCTTAATATTTTAGATACCATTCAACTGGACCAAAGCAGAGGAAAGTTATTCCTTATTCACATTCACCCCTTGGTCGGTATTGCTGTTCTTTATGTCTCTGTTTGTTGTTGCCTCACTCACATTTTCATTTATGGTCAGCATATTTTTCTCGAAGGGTAAGTTTGTATATAATTTTAGTACATTTTAAATATGTAATATAATAGTTTAAACTATGTAATACAATTTATAGAAATCAGGTAGATAGACTAAATGGTATAAAGCTATAACATTATGCCTTCAAAATAATAAATATAAACACACAAATAATAAAACTGACATGATACAGTTTTGTTTATACTAATCACAAAGAGACGCTAATATTGCGCTCCCAATCTGTCGTACAATTTCAAATCTATGCTTCTATACTATTTATACTAATATTATAAAGAAAAATGATTTGATTGTTTGTTTTTAATTGGTAAATTTGAAGCCTAATCAACCGATTTTAAAATTTTTTCACATACAGCAAGCTACATTATCAGTGAGGCTATATATTATTTTCAAAAATTATATCTATCCGAGCGAAGCCGGCCCCTGTCGCTGGTAAATGATAAACAAAACAAAAAAGGCCAATGGGCGTTAACAAAAACATTAAGAAAAATCAATGCGCAAATTTTTATATTCATTTGTTTTTATTACTATAGGTTCGTTATTTATGATAATCTGTAATTTTTACAAAATGTAATATTATGCGCTAAAACACGGTAATGTGTTACGATTTTACAGTATTTAACTACATATTACTATAATACATACTTAGTAGTTACTTGCACGGATAAAGAAATACAAAACAAAAATATTGTGTATAATTAAATAAATATATAATCTCGTCTCTATCAATATCGTAGTATCCTCAGATAAATTACTCCTATCACCTCAAATACTCTCAGAACTCGATCCTCGAATTTTTCGATTCGAACACGTGCAATTTGTCGTCAATAAATCCATCATCGCTTCCAATATGTGTAATCGTTTACCTTTTCATGTAAGAACCAAATTGCGTAAACATAATTTGAGAGTTCCTCACATCTAATTCTTTATTTAGCATCAATTATCTGATAAATCGTTCTAAATATAGTTATGTTTATATTTGCTTCTTGCAAGCACTCATGGCTAAATTTCCGGAACCACAAATTTTTTTAACCAAAATTTCTTGTGCTCCTTTGCCATTTACAAAAATTCTAATTATAAGTACATGTCATCAAGGTTACAAAAACATTGATGCATTTATCGCACCACGTCAATTCTTCTTCACAGTAAGCAGTTGGTTATTTAAAGGGCATGACTTATGATTAAATAATATAATTTATAAAAACGAAATATGTATTTATAACTAGCAGGTTACGCTGCATGTTTATATTTACCATATTTTTGTGAGCTATTGATATTTCGACACTGTTACGAATTACTTTGTTACCAGATCCTAATTCGTAGTACTAGCAAAAATATATTCTATCTTATTCATAAAATAAGTTTAGGTTTTAATTTTAATTAACATTTTTTTTTTTGTAAATTTTATGTACATATTCACGATATAAATTCTATCATACCTTATTCTAAACATACAGCGACAGGTTTTAACTGCTTGTCCCTCTAGAAGAACAGCGACGCTAATATATATAACGTTATAAACAACCATGATGTACTCGTACGTTTAAAAAAGCTAACTTTGCTATTGAACAATACACGAACCTCTTGTAGCGTCTTGTTGTGGTACGGAGTTACAACTTCAGTATTATCAGCATTACATCTCTCTGTATTTAGGGGAGGGACAATTCACAATTCAACGGTCTTAATGCCGACCCCAAGATAAAAAGCGCATCTTTGTGGATTGCGCTTTTTTTAAGGGGTTTGCAGGAAAATAATCTTAAATACGCCAATGCCTATCATCATGGTGTCCTTATAAAATTAACCCATATTGTTAGTTACTCTTCCTGTTACAAGAGTCAGCAACGTCTAAGTTTACTATCTAGAAAACAAGAAGCTTTGGCATCTTTATCACATAAAAAATATTAGAAACGGTATTAGTCGTTTGGATTAGTTCAAGTACAACAACGAATTAATAACGATTGAGAAATTAGTGTTTATATTTTAAAAATAAAATTAAAAGGACGCTAAGTGGAGATTTGATAAATAAAGAGAAATAATCATTTCATATAAATGAAGTCAAAAATAAGGCATTTTCGTGCATAGGCACGTATATAGGCGTGTATATCATGGCTTGCAGAATAAATGGAAAATTGCATTTATATAACGTAAACGCAATAACATTACATAGACATGGATAGAGACCCATGTCTGTGCACTATTATATTTAAGTGAACGTTAAATGTACCTACGGTATAATAACGTTTATAAATAGTTCTATTTTCGCGTGACCATGAACTATTTGGGCAGTTATTTCTTTGAAGAGAAAAACTGATACATGTTTATAATGGAGCTGTAATGTAAGCTGGGGTATCACCTTATTCTGATCTGGCTCAAAATTTAGTTAATTTAGAAACTTACCTATTAAAATGATAAAGATTTTATCAATCTCTTTATTTTTAATATAAAAATTATATTTTGTGGTTGAAATATAATATTTATATTTAAGATCTTATCAAAGTAAATGAAATGAATTATATTACACAAGATACCTACTGTAAAACGTTAAAGAGGTCCCTCGACTGTCTTGTCTCCATTATCAGTTTATTTTCATGTCTTTTACCATGTGAACTGCATATGTGTTGAAATACATATAACAGGAACAATTCGTAGGTACATGAATAGTCAATCATTCTTTATTTTTCCTACTATTTAGAGATGTTTTTATTAATTAAATTGCCCTAAAATAGCAATCGGATAACGCAATACAACATTATTTGAGGTAGAATGGGTTAACAAGTAAATGTTTAATAGATATGTAATTAAACTTCTATTTTTTTTTTTCATCTTATAAAATCATATTTTTTAATTTAAATAGAATTACCTTGTAAGTACTCTAGCAATTAAAAAAAAACACATCAAAACTGGACCAAATACTGTATAAAATGTTATGCGTAGTCATTCATTACAAAATATACCTACCTGTGCATCGATCGATACGATCAAGTTGATGTGTATCGATTTGAAAATGTCTGAAGACACTTCTACATAGACAGAATTATATCTTAGGAGTAGTAATTTAATAGTTATATATTGTAATATAATAATCGGTACCTTGGCATATATAATTCTGACGAGGTATGGCAAAACTAGTAAAATTTAAGGATTTGCTCTTGACTATTTATTTATTTACAGCGAATACCGCCGCCTCTTTCATGGGTTTAGCATGGTTCTCTACCTATTCTGTGTTCATGCTGACACAAATGCTTTACGAAGACATAACTCTCACCACCAAAGTCCTGTTAAGTCTAATATCAAACACAGCAATGGGATACGCTTTCCAGTTGATTATTATGTGTGAAGGCACTTCTAAAGGTACATAGTAATTTTATTGTATAAAATTAAGTTGTATTCGCCTCTTTGCCTGCATGTTATATATATAAACCTAAATACATATACATTTATTAGGTGAGCATGAGTTTTCGATTTCACAATTGTGCAGGTTGTTTATATTTTTATGCGGGTTTGAGTTTTGAATATATTCACTGGAATGATAACTTGATTCTTAGCTTTGATATGAATGCTTTCTCATTTCTCAGTGATATAACACGTATTATATTGATTTTGGTACAATTTATTTCAACATGTTACTGATTTAATAAATCAGTATAAAATTTATAATAGTAATATAATAGTAGCATTTAATAATAGGGCCACAGCTTGATTACATCTAATGTATTCTAAACGAGTGTTACACGTAATTCAAGCAAGTTCATTAACCTATTTTTTTTAAATACTTGGAGCAAATCGTATGGTACACATTCGACTATCCTATTCGTATTTGATATCTACTATCCTCATTTCTTTAGCAATCAGTTAAAAATAAATGCCACTACTTTATTTATGTAACTACTTTTAAATTGTTACTAATTACAATGTACCTTCTATAGGACTGCAATGGAGTGATTTTTTCAAGCCAGTCACTTACCATGATCAATATACGCCTGGTCATGTTGTTTTAATGCTGGTCCTGGATTCAATATTATACATGTTGATAGCTATGTATGTTGAGAAAATACGACCGGGATTGTACGGAGTACCTTTACCATGGTATTTTCCTTTTACCAAAAACTTCTGGATGCCCAACAAAAAGAAAATTACAGGTAACGAAATTGTATTGTATACCTAACTTTCAATTATAGACTTTTATGTTATGTAAGTTTGAATTATTGCTTCTGCTCTTTATATACCATTACGAGTCTTTTTCGACATTCAGTACCTCAATTCAGTTATATAGAACAACGCCAATTTAGGTCGTTGATTTAAGCTGAGTAACCCTGGATGATAACTTGGCAACTGACCTCAGAAACAATATATAACTCCCGAGCGCCTCTCAAATTGAAGTGTAAAATGTATCAATTTATTACCATCCTAAATGGATCTAAATTTTAGAATTAAAAGAAAATGGATGAAAGATGAATACACCTTAAAAAAAAGTTATGTATAGAATAATCAGGTGTTAAAGGATAAAAAATGAGCAAGTATGTAAGAGAAAGTCTGAAAATTGCGCTAGTAACAGATAAATTGCGGAGTAAATCTTGGTGTGGACATATGTAGGGGAATAAAACTAAATGTATTAAGAAGTCGGTTAAATATGAACGTCGATGGTAGAGAAAGATGACAACTAAAAAAAATAGGGGACAGATTTTGTGAACAGTGAAATGTATAAAAGACTATTAAGCCCATATAATGACGGTGACCCTAAATTAATGAATTAAGGACAAGGTTGTCTGACGTTTGAATTATCAATTCATCAACACTCAATGTTGCTTGATTTCATTGGTCGACATGGAAAGCTACAACTGTTTAATTTATTAAATTGATTAGTATCAATAAAAGAACTCGGCCATCCATTTTTGTTCATAGTCGTAACAATGTATGGCGTAACTACGCATACATTGTTCGATTAATCGAAGAACATTATTAATACCTGTCTGTTTATGAGAATTCGACACGTCATGAAATTAAATATTTATAAGCAGAAATATAACTTTTATTATTGATGAAACAAAACTAATATGTACTCTTATCCTATTTATGAGTACACACAATGAGAAATATTAACACCATTTGGATTGATATGAAATTAATCTACGTGAAACTAATATTTAACGACCTTAGTAGTCCAGTAGCTTAACACACCGCTTTATCTTCCGATGGTCGCAGATTCCATTCTCCACAATACAAACATTTGCATTGATAAGTGTCTGTTTGTGTTGGAAATGAAATATCGAAAAAAAATCATTAAGCAGTTTGTAGCCTAATAAAATAACATTTATTTCGATATGGACTTATTACTATAATTTGTTAATATAAATAATTATCTATGAAATAATTTACAGTCGTCTTATTTCACTTAATTTCGCAACTTAATTGTATTTTCGTATTTGTTAATTTAATGTTTACTGGTTTTGTATATAATTCGCAAAAAAATTTACATTATTAAAAAAAACATGAAAGACTATAAATTACCTAGAAAAAGTTCATTACGAACGTTCTTAAACAGATAGCGTAACGTTCAAAATACTCATTAATGAATGAACTAACATTGATATCCATAATGACTTTAAATTTAATGACTACAAGTTTTTAATATTGATTGACCTATTCCACTTCAGCTGTTATCAAAGAGGGCACTGATCTGGAGTACAATGATGCTTTGCTGAAGGTCATACATGACGAGGAACCGAAGGGCGTACCGATAGGCGTCGATATACAGGTGACGCATGTCTTCCATTATCATAAACTCGATCGTTGAAATATTAATGTTTCGTTTTTATTACGTTATCAAATATATAGGATCATATGTACTTTTATCACACCACATGTATCACCAGAGGGAGATTTTGTACAAAAGTCGTTTGCCTAAGCAAGTACCTTTGTCCCATTCTTGTTTCTGCCGTAAAGCTGTTGTTTGCATGGCTGTGTTTCAGTTTTAAGGGTGTGATATGTCAGTGAATTTACAGGGCATAGAGGAATAATACCTTAGTCCTCAGGAATGGTAACGCATAGGGGGTATCATGGACGAAACTGTATATTCTTACACCGTGGTAATGCTTGTTTGCCATTCTAAGTTGCATAAAAAGCCGTTATTTTTTTTTTAAATAAATTTTTGTACTAGTAATTAATATACAACTAATTCATAAAGAATATATATATATTCAATGCGACCGATATTATTTTCAGAATCTCACTAAAATATATAAAAGACGGAAAAAGGCTGTGGATAATCTGAATCTCAGAATGTATGAAAATGAAATAACTGTGTTATTGGGACATAACGGTGCTGGAAAAACAACCACAATATCAATGCTTACAGGTGAAATAAATTTTTTATAGATAGGTACTGCAATATTGATAGTATGTTTAGGAGACACAAATGGTATTTCATCATCGTAATTCGTGGACTAATATAGCCCCTTTTAGAGATAATGTATTATAGCTATTGATACTAGTATCAGTAACCTTTATTATTTACTGTGTATAGTATTTCACCTTTAGTCTAGTAGGTTTTATCTACTTATTTGCGATCACAAGCATTACAAAAAGATCCTAAGTATATTATACTATGTTCGTATATCGTATTAAAATTAGAATTCTAAATATCCTTATTTTAGCTTTTATTTAAATTCTATCAGATCAAAGTTCTTGAGTGATTTTAAAAGTATCTTAATAATATTTCTCAGTAAAATTTTTTTGGTATTAAACCTTTATATCAGTTTTATATCTGTACTCGGTATACAGGTATCTGTTAAGAACACTAATTGCGCCATCTAGATTTGGAGACTTTCGTAAATTTATATATATATATATATATATATATATATATATATATATATATATATATATATATATATATATATATATATATATATATATATATATATATATATATATATATATCTTTATCTTTATCTCTTTTACTAATAAACGCTAAAAAAAATATTAATAGGAAAAATAAATGTTTTAAAAAGATATAACACTGACATATTAAATTATTTAAAATTGAAGGTATGGTACCTCCTACATCTGGTTCAGCAACTATAAATGGTTACAACATAGTGACCGAGACAGAACTAGCACGAAAATCCCTTGGAATCTGTCCACAACACAACGTTTTGTTCCCGGACCTTACTGTTGCCGAACATATAATATTCTATTCAAGGTTAAAAGGCATTCCGAAACGAAAATTATATGATGAAGTGAATCATTTTGTTAAACTGCTAGAACTTGAACAAAAGGTGAGTATGGCGACTAAATAATAAAATAGGTTTGTTAAAATAGAAACTAAAATAAAGATAAAACTGTTATTGTTAACTGACACACCCCCTTGATATATCACAGTACATTCAAATATGTTCATCGAAATATAGGAAAATCGAGCCTTAGATTCATTACATCGTCAACAGTCAATTATTGTTTCTGACTATCCGATCTGAGATTACAGTTTTCACGATAGTTAATTTATTCAAACTGAATTTTCCTGTTACATTCTATACTATCTATAAAAAAAAAATCTATCGTATACTGTTTTTGTACAATTTAAATAGGTCTATAAGTGTATTGTATGATAATTATGTGATATAACAATAAAGCGATGTTCAGATGTACAATTCTACATACAATTCTATATACATATCGCCACATACGTGGCAACAATAAAAATATGCTCACGGCTATAATCCTTAAATCTATGATTGATTTGGTGTGATTATGTTACAATATTGCTATTTGCTTAGAAAACATTTAATTAAAGCAATGAAAATTCGATTTTATGACATAATTTTCTTTTGCATCAATGATAAACAGAATCGAGCGAACTCCTGTCATCTAGTTGTTAGATATTAATCACTAATGGCCCTTTTAGAGAGACGTGCTCTCAAAGAATTTGTCGGGTGGTCAAAAGCGGCGACTGTCGGTTGGCGCTGCCATGTGTGGTTCGTCGCGCGTCGTTTTGCTAGACGAACCAACCTCTGGCCTCGACCCTGCGGCTCGTCGAGCGCTCTGGGACTTACTGCAGAAAGAAAAGAAAGGTATTGTTATTCAATGCAATTAATCATCATCATACTATATCATCAACTTTTCAGCCATTATCCGTCCACTGTTAGATTGCCCAATTAATCTATTCATTAATATCACTTATTAATATCTAATACAGCGTGTAACGAAATGGATATATCTTCAGATCGTCAATACTATAAGATATACTGTCAAATGTTGTCTTACTTGAATATTGGATCCATTTTAACGTAAACGATGAAGTACATTGTTTGTAATTAAGTTTAAATCACATCGAAATCATAAAGGTTACGTTTTTTTTTTTCAATATTACGGTCCGATGATGACTATGCCTAATTTTGGTTCTGTTTTAATTTATAACTAAAAACAAACTGAAATCAAGTCACAATAATTTCCGTGACTTTAAAATTTTCCTTAGCGAATATTATAGACGGAACACTAAAATATATTGGATACATGAAAATATTTTATTTATTTCTATTAAACAATTCCAGTAACTTTGCTATAAGACAGACTTATTAGAGTATAAAAATTTTATAACATGAACAATGTCCTATCCTAATAATCGATCTGTAGGTTATAAGCTTTTATTATATAAAATTCCAAACAAAACAATTCACCGTCAAAAATTAGCGATATTTCTACTACAAATTTATGTTTCTAGGTCGAACTATTATTCTAACAACACATTTTATGGACGAAGCAGATGTGTTAGGAGATCGCATCGCCATTATGTCGGGCGGTCAGCTACAGTGTGTCGGTACATCTTACTTCCTCAAGAAACACTACGGCATTGGCTATAAACTTACTATAGTGAAGGCGAACGAATGTAATGTGGAGGAAATCACTCAATTCTTCAAAACATACGTACCTGATATAAAAGAAAACACAAATATAGGTAAACAGAACTATGTTTCTCATGACACAGGGCCTAGCTTGAGGACCAGGCAATTGGTGCAATTGTATTGCACTTAAAATGTGCTCGCTTTTATATAAAACTAAATATCTCCTATATTGAGATTTCCCCTAAGAGGAGCGATTTTTCCTCCGCATCCAATGATATACATATACAATGATTGACAAGATTCGATAAAACCTTATCATTTATTTATTTTTATTTATTTATTCATTAATAATAATCTTAGCCTTATCTATTCATGTTATAGAAAAACATACAAAACCCATCAAAAAGACTGTATGTATTTGTTATGAAATGATCTTGCTGACTCGAGTTTATGTTAAATTCATCAAAATACTAATATTGAAACCAAAGTTTGTTATTTGATATGTTTATAATTTTTAAATAATTAATTTTCTTGTTATTTAATTATTGTACTTTTTAGGATCTGAATTAACGTACATCTTACCAAATGACTCCGTGAGCAGATTTCCTGATATGCTCAAGGAATTTGAACAGAAAAAAGAAATATTGCATGTATCTAGCTACGGTTTGTCCGTGACTAGTCTCGAAGAAGTGTTCATGAAGTAAGTGCTGGCTGTTAAACAGCAACATAAAAAACTATTTTATCTCTTAATAATTTAAATACAGGATGGAATACAGCGATATCAATTTGAATGGTATGATTGTGTGGCACTTATTATTATTACTATAAAATATATTTAAACAGTAATTAGGCCGCGAACGAATTCTGATAAAATTTGGTAATGTATGTATGTAATGTGCTTTCCAATGCTGCCCTATATCTTTTGTTTTTTTTTTATTTAGGGCCGGAGCCGAAGATAATGATATATCTTCAGCCAAAAGAAATAATTATACAAAATCCTACAGTGAATTTGTGGTGGTTCCTGCAGATTGTCATCATAACAATTTATGTAGGTAGTCAATAATATATTTCTCGACTTGTAAATAACTGTTAACTTATAAATAACTATAAAATTACATTTAGGTATATTTCTTTCCTTCGGCGTCACCTGCAACGATATATCAATCCCGTGGGGAAATTAATCTGTTCTAAGCACTCATTTACTTTGTATGATAAAGAACTTCTAAATAAAGTTCAAAGTTTCTAGATAGGAAGGCGTTTCGACTGTGTATCTATCAATCAATCAGTCTTTTTTTTATTTACATAAATCTATTATATTGTTAATCAAGATACATAATTGACATCGACATTTCGCTAATGATCTTATTCTACCATAATTCCAGTGGAATCTGAACCTATAGAGAAGGTGAGAGGGTTCAAATTACTTAAAAACCACATCAAGGCAATGTTTCTTAAACTCGCTTATAATTCAATGAGGAATAAACTGACGACGTTCATACAATTCGTGACGCCTATAATTAATATAACACTGTCAGTTTTAATAGCGAGGTCATGGAAATTCATGTCGCAATTGCCGCCATTGACTCTTAGTTTAGAGAGTGGGTTTAGAGACACGCAAACTATTCTATCCCAAGGAAGTAATCTAACAGATAATAGCCTGGAAGCAAAAGCTATGACGGCCTTTAAAGATTACTTCAAAACATCAAATTATTCCGACATGCGGCTTACTGATATAGGCACTATGGATTTGGGAAAATTTTATTTAAAGTTGGTAAGTACCGAAATGATTAATCTATATTTTTTCAAAAATAAATTACCAAAGTTTCTTTCCATAGGATTAAAATAAATTTTGTTAACGTTTAAAATAAGTAATTTTGAGTTATGTTTAGTTTTTTATTTTTGTCTAAGAGTCTTTGTTGAAACAAGATAATTAAAATAAAATGGAATTAATTCTGTCTAGAAGAGATGGTTATTTATTTAACCTCAAATTTTGTCTCTTGCCTTGCTTTTTAAAATGTTTGTAATAGTATATTTCTTTAAGAATAACAAAAAATATACATTATTTCATTTAATAACAGTGTTCATCACCAAAGAGTAGCCGGAATTTTAAATTGGCACAAAAATTATTTTTGGTGTCAGCCGGATTCAATCTCACGAACTTTGAGGTCTATAAGTCGCAGTAGTATACTACTGGATATGCTTCATGTACAATAATTACATTTTTTATATTATATCTATAGAGTGAAGAAAATATTGCTCGTGTGCGCTACGAGGTATTGGTGGGTGCTACGTTCGCAAACAATAGCATAACAGGCTGGTTCAGTAACTATGGCTACCACGACTCTGCCATAGCGCTCTCACTTGTCAACAACGCCATCATGCGAGCTCTCTCACCAGGCAGTTCGTTGACCTTTGTCAATTCCCCGCTGCCATACTCTATTGAAAACTTGGTTAGTGTATATAACCGTAAGAAACAATTCGAAATAAGAATCATAATGTCGCATCTGATGTCAAATATTGTTTTTTTTTTTTTCATTAATCTACAATCATTTTTAAAGATGCTATGCTTATGCTTTTGCTATGCTATTTTTTTAAGATGCTGTATGCTTGTTTGCCACCTCAGTGGTATAAAAAAAAATCATTTTTAAAGTTTGCATAACTAACAATTATTCTCACTTGTATTCACATTCATCGCAAAGGGAGACCAAATAAGATACTTGTATAATATATTACTAGCAATAGGGCCACAATAATTATAAACGCGTAATTCTAAGTCATAAGATACGGTTATATCTTGATTACTTATTTCTGAAACATGTACTTGATTTTTTTTTTTTTATTAACACTTTTAATACTCCTTATTTCATTTATAGGTTCGAGTGATGGCTACAGGAAGCAGCATGGGTTTTCAGTTCGCTTTCAATATAGGATTCTGTATGGCTTTCGTCACTTCTTTTCTTGTACTATTCATAATAAAGGTAAGGAGATAAAAAAAATGAAGGGTATGCTTAGTATATATATTTAAATAATTCTGCTTTGTCTTTTTATCCTATTATATAAATTCGTAAGTTTGTAGGAATGGAGGATGAATAGATGGATGTTTGCTACTCTTTAACGCAAAAACTACTGAATGGATTTGAATAAAATTTGATACATGCGTAAATTATATACTAACTTAACATATAGGATACTATACGTACTGATATACGCGGGCAAAGCGCGGGAAATAGCTAGTAAATGATAATATAATCACTTGTGTAACAATGACTTGATGACTTGTGCCTTGACAATTTTGATTTCACCCGCTTTCGACTTCTTTTATAATTGATAATAATTATGTCACTTTTGAAGTAGTTTCTTGTTCTAACAAAATCTTAAATTATACTCATTTCATTGTAATGCACAATGCTGTTATAAAATCTATTAGGAAAGAATAAGCGGTGCAAAACTTCTACAAAGAGTATCAGGAGTTCGGCCAGCTGTGATGTGGACCACTGCATTCGTGTGGGACTGGATATGGCTGTTTATGGTCTACCTGTCCATTGTGTTTACACTCGCTTGCTTTCAAGAGAATACTCTTAAAACTCCCGCCGAATTGGGTTAGTTAATAAATAAATACCTTAGTCATATTACACAGCGCCGTCTAATCCCAAACTAAGCAGGACTTGTACTGATGGTACTAGACATTTTTTTTTTTTTGTAAATACATACTTCTTCTGTGTCAATCTTCTTCTATTTAAATAAAAATGAATCGCTGAATATGTTGCTAAACTCAAAACTCGAGAAACCAATTCGGCATTTTTTTTAATTCCTGCAATCCCAAGGAACATTCTTATGAAGACACACATTCTAAAAATTGCCCAAAAAAGTAAAAGCCTTTTTTGATACAAACTTTGCGCTTAAACAGACTGTCTCAGTTTGACAGAAGAACGTCTGTCGGGGCGACTAGTATTATATTTAGAAAACACCTAGACCAATACAAAGAAACGTATTCATGTTTTTATTATGCAGGAATTGAACCCACGGCCATGTAAAAGTTCACCATCACCACCACTGTGGTCAAGTTAGTTTGATACAAATGCAGTAAAATTGAAAGTTTAAATTTAAATCGTCTGCTTGGCTACCTTTGTGTCGCCCATCTTATTTCTACCGTGAATGAGCTGTGCTTGTATATCTTTTTTTTTTTTTTCATTTTAAAGGTAGAATATAGCAGTAACATTACAGGGTATACGGAAATATAATCCCATAGTCCTCAGGAATAGCATTGCATGAGCATGAGTGGTGCTATTCATGCTTATAGGCGTTGCTTGCCTTTTTCCTTAGTGCTTACCTGAAGATTGTTTGCCATTATTAGTTACATAAAAATAAGAAGTTGATGTAGAAAAGCAACAGGACAATGTCTGTCGGATTATGCATAGTTTTCACATAACTCGACCAACATCCTGTCTAAATTTCAAATGTTTTTTTCGACCTTTGAAACCTCAACCTATTACAAACTTTAAAAAATAGAATATCAAATTGATACAGCCTTTTCAAATGCAAAACACACAATAATCTATTTATTAAATATAGTTTAGTTTTATTGAATACTAAGAAAGAAAATAGCAAAATAGGTGTTAACATTGCATAATAGTTTCATTAAGTAATTCAAAAATTATTTATTTTTATTTGCAGGTAGAGTTATGTTGGTTCTCATAGTATATTCTGTAGCAACGATACCTCTACATTATCTTGCTTCTTTCTATTTTGAAGCCGCTGCGACTGGCTTTTCCAAGATGTGTTTCATAAATATATTCAGTGGTGAGTCTTATTATGGTATATTTTATATTCGCGCATATTGTTTAGGTATTTTTTTTTTTTGTCTAGATTAAATATAAGTTTCAATGTTTTAGGATGCATGCCATTTTTAATAACTGAAGTATTGAGACTACCTGAAGTTGGAAGCCCGTATTATGCGCATATATTTGATTGGATATTTTCACCTCTACCTATCTACTGTATAAGTAGAAGTTTTAGGTAAGTCTGTTTGTAACATTTGTATAAATATTTGTATTAGTATTTTAATTAAGATAATAATGAACGTTAATATATATTGATTTATGACATTTAACAAATAATCCGCCCGTCAACATTCATATCTTTATTACCAAAGACGAGTTATAATATATTCTTTTCTTAAATGCATTATTTGACCTTTCCGATATCATAAGAAAAGATAACTGAGAAAGAATGTCTACAATTATTTTAGTTGTAGAAATTTATTTACTTTTTTTTTTTATTTTACATAGAAAAATATTTTGTACATCAATATATTATTGAGAACTAATTTTGAAATCAGTTAAAAGTAATAAATATTGTTTTTTCGTATTTAGAATATGAGTATATTTAGAATTAATATATTTGCTATGTGATAGGAGATATTCGTGGTGAACCATCGCAATATTTTATTGAACCTTGTTGTAAAGTCGAAGAGCTGTTGATTGACTGGCTCTGGTACAAACAGGGACATGAGCGTGTCGTCGTTCATGAGGTTGGCGTGCGACGGCTTGTGCGAGCAGTTCGGAAACATCGCCAACTGCACGACCGCCACTATTTGCACCGACCTCCACATCGATGTCTGTTGTAGTAAGTGAGTCTTGCTCACTGTTATGTCACAATATCCTTAATACGCCTTACTAATATTATAAACTAGCTTTTTGCTTCGTACGCGTGAATTTCAAAAGTAAGAAAACTAATGAAATATCATTGATACAATGCAAAATTTGATACGCCACGTCTACGTGACGTATCAAAATAAAACATACACCAATGTTTAAGTTCTTCAGGAAATTATTAGTGAAAACCGTATTCAATTTGCTACAGTAGTTTTTGCATGATACCAGAAACATATAGACAGACAGACTACTAAAAATTATTGTTTCGGCTTCTATTACTCCTATTAAAATCCCTTGCATGAATACTTTTTTTAAATATCTTTCATGTACCAATTACCAGAGAGAGACTTTGTACAAAATTCATTTGCTTGGGCACCTCTATCCCATTCGTGTTTCTACAGTGAAGCACTTGTGTTTGCATGGCTGTATTTCGCTGTGCTGTGTTGAAGTGTAGAATATGGCAGTGAATTTACAGGATACAGGCATAACACCTGAGTCCTCAGGAATGGCAACGCATGGAGGTATTATGAGCGAAAGAGTATACTCTATTATGTCCATGGTACTGCTCATGTCTATAGGCGACGGTTACCACTTTCCATCAGGTAGACCATTAGCTTCTTTGCCATCTTCTTAGTTGCATAAATAAAAATGTACAGATATTGTCCAGTCACATTTTCAGTATGTGTATATGTGTCGACCTCCATGGCGCAATAGTGTGCACGTCATTTTGCTTAAACGAAATCTCGGGTTTGTTTCCCGGTCGGGCCAATTTAGGAAATGAACTTTCCTAAATCGGCTCGACTCTGGAAACTGACGTATTTGACGACCAGACGATTGGTGTGATTGGATAACATGGATTAATAAATATTTTTTCTATCTGTTTTTAGTCGACGACGACCCCTACTTAAAATGGAATGAACCCGGAATTGGTCGATACTTGTTAATGATGAGCCTCGTCGGCATCATATCATTCATTCTTCTGTTAATGAAAGAATATGAGCTCATAAAAAAGGTAATAAGTTATAAAGAATTTGAGCAGAAAACATAAGATTTTTGAATATGTTATATCCCGCGTACAAACTTCACCATAAGAGGAGTCAATGTTTATAGATAAACTAATTTTTGCAAAAGATTTTAAGTGTTTTAAGTATTTTGTTATTATAATAGAATGCAATAAATGAATTTAATTAATTAAAATTAAATAGACTGAGTATGCTTTATTTGCTCTATACTTAATTAAAAGCAATCATAAACTACTAAAAACTTATTGGAATCTTCTCATCTTTGCATTCAGATACCATTTTTGTCAAGTTCACGAAAGCAAGAACGATGGCCCTCAGTTCCCTCAGACGAGGATAGCGATGTGGCAGCAGAACGGCGTTTCGTTGAAGGTCTCACAAGATCCGACATGTCACAACACAGTCTCGTCTCCAAAGACCTGACCAAATATTACAAGAACTTTCTGGCCGTCAATAGACTCACGTTTGGTAGGTGCACATTATTTCAATTTTTAGAATACATTTACACTATAATGTGGATCATGGTTCGATCGTAACCCGATCGCGTTCTGAAGTGTTATATTTTATTGGTATATTTGTATTTTTTATACCACTGAAGTGATAAGCATACGGCACACTTGATAGTAAGCGGTTACCGTAGTCTATTAATGTCTGCAATACCAAGATTATTACGCACAATCTGTAGAAATCTCTTTACATCATTTTTGAAGAATCATAGCTATAGTCTCGTGGGAAAATCTCGACAGGGTGCTCATTTCATAACGTGAGCCTTCTTGGAAGAAAATATCTCTGTAACTGTGCTATATGCGACCATTCAGGCTTTACTGGGGTCAGCATGGGGTTCTTCAAAAGGGGGGGATAAAGAAGTTTCTTCAGGGCCGGCAATGCGTGCGTAATACCCTTGTTATTGCAGGCATTCATAGACTACGGTAACCGCTTATCATCAGGTGGGCCGTATGCTTGTTTGCCACCTCAGTGGTATAAAAAAAAAGTTGTGAGAACAAACTGAAGAATGGTAGAAATGAAAATATTTTTCCACTATTGCAATATCCCAGCTCGTATAATTAGCGGTGTAGGTCCCGACATAGAATAGGCCACGTCTTCTTTACCGTGGGTATCGTGAGAGGCGATTAAGTAAACTTATGGTCAAGTGATGGCCATCTTAGAACAGCACCAAAAAAGCCAAACTGCGTTTGCCACCCGCCTGCCAAGCATGGCAACAACTGACAAAGCTATGTTTAGTAGTGAGTAGTTAACGGCTGAAACAAAAAACTCTTATAATGTGAAAATAAATATATTTGTTAACCCATAACAACATGACAGATGACATTTCAAAGATTGTGTAATCTGTACTCGCCGGATCTAGAGAATGCACTCGTTCAACACTCCGTCAGTGTAGATTCTGTGTTCTGTGTGTCTCCATAGAATATATATATATATATATATATATATATATATATATATATATATATATATATATATATATATATATATGGTAATACCTTAGATTATATAGATAGAGTGTCCATACAAATACTTCAAGAAAAGCGGGTCAACTTTTTCATACAATTTTGCATGATAAATAGTTATGAGTGATTCCTTTATAACTTTTATATTTATTTCTTCTCATAATTTCTGCATCTTTTTAATATATAAATACTCATTTTATTTAATAAATCATACGTCAAGATACAGTGTATGTGTAAGTATATAGAACACTGATAAAAAAACGAGTCAACTACTTTGACATTTAACTGACAAAAATTTTACCCGTTTTGAATCGAGCCTCAAGCTCGAGGCTCTATCTATATAATCTAAAGATAATACTAATAAGTGGTTCATTGCAGCGGTGCACAAGCGTTCATGCTTCGGGCTGCTAGGCATCAATGGTGCCGGTAAGACGAGCGCGTTCCGCATGCTGACAGGCGACACGGCCGTGTCCGCCGGCGACGCGTACGCACACGGCCTGTCCGTTACAACACAGATACGAGACGTTCATCGTTGCATTGGTACGTACAGTGCTACCAACTTATCTGTAAAGTGGCAGTAACTGGAACATCGGTCGCCATATTGGTATTCAGAAAACTGTTTTGACTTTTAAAACATCTGTCATGATGGGTAAAGTTATGATCAGTTGGACCATCACCAAACTAGTATTCCAGTCATTGTCCAAACTAGTATTCGCTGGTGTGTTCGCCACGCCACGATCTGTGCTTGCCACAAGTATATAAATAATTAACGTCTGTACATGTGACAATGTGTACGCGTGGAATTACGATTAGCGCGGGAATATAAAGTTTGGGTGCTGACGCATGTCTGAGAGGGGGTGAGGTCAAATCGCAAATGGCGGCAGGAAGTGTTTACAGTGCACTTTAGTACTAACACTGTGCTGTCAGTTATAATCAGTGCTCGATAAAATACAAACGACAATCATTGCGTCCATCATTTGCTGCGCCATTCACTAGATTTTTTGTAAGTTTAAACAATGTATGTGGTGAAAACTATGATGTAATAGGCGCCTACTATTTTTCTAGTTATATATTCCTTGCAGGTTATTGTCCACAATTCGACGCACTGCTAGATAATTTAACAGCGCGAGAAACGCTCCGTATATTTTGTTTGTTGCAAGGCATTCCGCCCCGTGTGGGTAAGGCAAGAGCTATACAGCTCGCCAATAGGCTCGGTTTCATGAAACATTTTGATAAAAAGGTTAGTAGTCTATAATAAATTATAATAGGATATTGAAGAGTATTTTAATTATTCCTATATAGTATATTTATATTTTAAAATTAGATGCGATTGCTAATTCGTTAGCGTAGACTTCAATTATTCTGTAAATTGCTCCATGAGAACATTAATTTGATTTAGTATTAGTTTAAATAATCATTAATTCATGACATATCTTTGTTCGTTCATCACATCAATAAGAATCGATAAAAGCATCTGACTACCCTATTAGGAATTGTATTCGTGAGCATATTTATTTAACAAATCTGGAATTCGGAATTCTTCTGTAGAATAAATTGTATTCCAACAGGTACATGAATGCAGTGGTGGCACAAAAAGAAAGATTAGCACTGCTATTGCTCTACTTGGTGATCCACAACTAGTGTTTTTAGACGAACCTACCACAGGTCAGTATTCTTATGACATTACTACAAAGAAAAGTTTACAAATAAAAATATAATAATATATTAACTGTTTAGCTTACATTAACTGTTTAGTCATATATGAAATATCTATAAATTAAATAAATGGCTCAACAAACGTTATAAAATTTGGTTTATACTATATTGTATTATGTGAGATGGAAAAAGACATCAGTTGGTATTTATTCCAGTCAATCGATATAGTCTGATCACGTGGACGAATTCACAAGTGAAAGCTAGTTCAAAATAATTATAAATATTAGATTAAAATCTTGTCTGGTAAATCAAATGATCATGACTAAATTAGGAATGGACCCAGCTTCGAAGCGGCTAGTGTGGTCTTCGATAAGCGAGGCAGTGGCTTCTGGACGCAGCGTCGTGCTCACCTCGCACAGTATGGAGGAGTGCGAAGCGCTCTGCTCGCGGCTTACCATCATGGTTAACGGCCGGTTCTACTGCCTCGGTCCTTTGCAACACCTCAAGAGCAAATTCTCACAGGGTAACATTAATAAATACTACAACGCTACAAAAATAAAATGTATTAAGCGCCACTTTGTTCTATTTGTATATCACTACATAGTATAAAACAAAGTCGCTGTCGCTGTCTGTCCGTCCCTATGTATGCTTAAATCTTTAAAACTACGCAACGGATTTTGAAGCGGTTTTTTGAATAGATAGAGTGATTCAAGAGGAAGGTTTATATGTATAATACATGCATAATATTGCAGAGAAACACTAATAAATTTAGAGGTTTCTAATGTGATGTCGTAAATAAACACATTTTTTGCGCTTACATTGCAAACGCTGGCTGAACCCCACGAGATAAATCAAAATAATGTACTACAGTATTGTACACCTTAAAAAGGTCAACAAAAAGTCCGCGATGGTATATGTCTATCTCTTAAGGATAACCCACAATAACCATTTTTTATCCTTTACATTTTACAGAGGAAAACGGCTTATTTACGAAGTCATTTTAAGCAATGCACCATTATTTTTTATCCAATTAAGTACCTTAACTACATTGTCCATTTAATATAGATCGATATGGCCCTTTATTACAGCTTGTAATTTAAATGATTATTTCCAAAGATATTAGCGGTGCGGCATTGCATCCCTGCTAAGCCGGGGCGGGTCGCTAGTTTTTTATAATACAAAGATGGCAAGTAAGCATACAGCTTGTCTAATAGTAAATGGTTACTGTATTCTATGGACGGCTGCAACATCAAAGCTACCCATGGGCTTTTCTGGCTCTGAAGAAACAATACGCCCTTTTGAAGAATTCATATCTTTAAATAATGTATTTAAAGATATGACACATTCAAAACAATACAAACAAATATATAAGTGGCCATTATTAGTAACTACTTCATAAGTATATAGTATGTTCGCGGTTCTCGACTTGGTATTCAGTTGTTTTAATTGTTACAATTTTATTATAATATAGAATAGAAGAATATTTAGATGTAACTTCTAATATGTCTCGTTTGTGACAATTTGTTTCTTTCAAACTATACATTAGCTTTGTTTCAGGATATACACTTGTTATAAAGTGCAGAGAAGGACCAAATAGGGAGGCGGATATACAAAACGTTAATCAATTTATAGTAGAAAATTTTAGAGACGCAAAACTTGCGTGAGTATTTAGTATTAATAATCATATGATATAAAAATTGTGCATACCTGTATATTTTATTGTTTCTTTCTAATCATTTAAAATTAAAATAAATAGGGTACTTATATTAGGGAGATATCAAGAGCCCTTGATGAAAATTTTTAATTTTAGAACTTTTACCGAGATTTTCTTTTGATGACAACGTCTCTTGATGATGGCTTTACCCAAAAATGAGCTAGACCTAAGCACACCAAATAATTAAGTAATAGGGTCTTTCTAAGTAGGAAAAGAAGCAATGTATGTAAGGATATTGCTGGTAGGCTTACACCCAGTTTTTTTTTTATACAACTTAGAATGGCAAACAAACTGTCGGCTCACCTGATGGAAAGTGGTATCCGTCGCCTATAGACATGAGCAGTACCATGGACATAACAGAGTATACTGTTTTGCCCATGATACCCCCCATGCCTTGCCATTCCTGAGGACTCAGGTGTTATTCCTCTGAACCCAGTAAATTCAGTTGTCGTTCCACGCATAAAATACTTCGATATCACAATGTATTCTTTCATATCTATGGTTCTGTTTGTATTTATTTCCAACATCCTATTTACTGGTCTACTGGCTTATTTACAATTCCCAGGCATATGATAAAGCTGTAAAAAGAAACAAAAATTAAATTAAGAACAATTATTTCAGTGAAACATACCTCGGCATAAGTACTTACTATTTGAACGACGTCGGCTTGCCGTGGTGGCGTGTCTTCCATATAATGGAAGAAGCGCGCAAACAGTTCCCATTAGAGGACTACTCCGTATCGCAGACTACGCTCGAGCAAGTATTTCTTAGGTTTACACGAATGAACGCTACCAATGAATAGCATACAACCAACGAATAATGAAAACATAGTACTTAATACCACTCAAAGTGTTATAACAACACCTCTGATATGATCTGTATTACAGTTGATCTCAAAGTTTGCACTGTAGGTGGCGCCCTGGAGCATTGTAAACAGAAGCGTCATTTGGGACTCTTGTTTATTCTTCTCCAGAAACAACCTAGTGTCATAATCAATATTTTTAATTTTCATAATCTCGTATGTGCGCCGTAAAATGTAAAAGTTTGAGAAACCCTTACCTACCTATATAATAAACGTTCAGTATTTATACATAAGTACTCAATGTTAATTGTCTATATATTTAGATGGTACTTACATTTGTAAATGTTATTGTATTTGATACTATATGTATAGCAAATGTTGGTTTCAGAATCTCTTTTGATCTTTTATACAGCTGTATGTTGGTTGATAATAATGTAATATGTACAGATTTAGGCATGTCCTTTCTACGAGTTGATAACTTTCCAAGACTGAAAGTTTAATGTACTTTAAAATTTGCTATACACACTTAAATTGAAGTGTGTATAGTTATACATTAATATTCACGTATATAGGTTAATTTTTATCTATAGATTGACAGTGTTGAAACAACACTTCCAGTACAAGTACAGAATTGGTCTTACCTTTATAAAATATTTTGTCAGTATTGCTTATACAGTGCAATATATATAATAATAATAACATAATACGAAATAATGACATACCTAATAACACAGAATTTTCAGTTATCATGGTTAATTATTTCGAAACTACGAAAATTTAATAATTCGAATGAAAACCATATATTTTTCTACTAAAATATATATATATATATATATATATATATATATATATATATATATATATATATATATATATATATATATATATATATATATTTTTTTATATTATATTATAATATAGAATCTCTTCAGGTTAATTAATAGACAAATGTGAGATCTGTTATTATGTTCACGCAATAATTTATAAATAATAACTATGGCAATCAATGTATGAATAAGATATAATATATGGTACAAAAAATGTAATGCGGAGACTAAATTTTTCTGAAAAAAAAAATATCGGCAATTATATTAACAAAAAAATTTAGTCATCATTGGTGCTTTATTGTATTTTATAAGATGTATAGTATTATAGGCAGTGGTGGACTACCAGTGATGGGAAGAAAGGGCACCCCAGGCCTCTGGTCCTAAGGGGGGCTACAAACGCTTACTACTTTTTCTTATCCGCAACCATATTATATGTATGTTTATTTAAGTTTAATTTAAATTTCACTTGTAATAATTTAACTAAATAAACATACGAATATACTTGTACCTACATACAAACGGTGAACTGAATAAAAAGCTCGTAAAATCACATCAACTTCTTAAACTGAAGGCTCTGATTCAGTTTTGCCGCCCCGGGTCCGGCCCGGGTGGGCTCAGTCCGCTACTGATTATAGGATATTTATGTATATCTGTTACATATTCTTTCATATTGTGATATATTAAATTCAATTTATTAAAACTTATTAATAGAATTAATTGTAAAAATTCTTGCCAGTAATTGTTCACATGTTTCTGTATAAAAAAAATAACGTCACGCTTATTTGATCTCGTGCTAATTACTACACCGATTACTTAATATTACTTATATGCACACTACTTAATAAAGGAAACCATTAATTATAATGGCACCAAATTGACGCAACAAAAATCTAGGTACTTGATTTGAATTATTTTGTTTAATTCCACTACCATTAGTATACGTACGACGGCTAACACTCGAAGATTGACTACTATTATTATTATCAAAAGTTCTACAACCTTCCATGTTAGCCACTAACATCCGACCTTCATTTAGTCCACGCACATTTTGCGACACGTGTTATCCGTTCGGCCGCCTAACTACATCTATAATAATTATGGCCAATCTTCGAGTGTATACAGTGATATGAACTTCGGCAAAATAACACCTAGTTCAGTAAAAAATCTAAGCATTTATAATTTTGTGGTAGTCTTATGATACATTTCTATTGCTACAATTACTTAAGTGCAAATAAGCTTTTGAACAGTATATCTTCAATCCGTTTGAGGTAACAATACTATCCAGCCGTTGGATAATTTATTATTTGATAACATGTATTGTAGAACAAAATGACAAATCGCTTCTTGTATCAGAGATAAATAAATATATATACTCTTTATTTTTTCCTCCAAAAGATTACAGTAAGAAACTTATTATAAATAAAAACAAGATAGCTTACAAGGAAAGATTGCATGACGAAACAATTGGCAACCTTATTGCTACGAATAAAAGTGATCTCTTCCAGACAATCTTTGGATGAAGAGGAGTAATTATAAACAATTTAATCAGAGGCACGATAAAATTCAGAATTCTATCGTCCCTCTAAAGTTCTAAACAAAGAACAAAAAACGCCCAGAATTATAAATTCTGTTTATTTTTAAATATATATAAAAATATAATACATGCAATAATTTTAATATGTGTATGTACATTAAACTTATTTATACTTGAATAAATACATACATACATAATATATAAATACATATACGAGTACATATACATAGTTACAAAAAAATCAATGTGCGTATGCTAATCAGACACAAATTACAAAGGTGACTTTCAACTTTTACAACTCCGTGCATATTGTATATTTCGTATGGAGACTATTCCATAATCGAACAGCATGCGCAGTAAATTATTTGTCATAAAAACTACTGAAATATACTGGTGTCTTCAGCTGGAGACTTCGAGCTGACCTCAGATTAAGTTGGTTGGTTCACTAAACAAAATTGGACACGAAATACTAGATGACACTGAAATCGAAACTTGTGGTTTTTGTTAATTATTTTCTAATTAAAGATAACTAGAGACAAAATTTCTAAGTTGGCGAATAGTTTTTAATATTATTCATGTGAAGTGCTATCTTTTCTCGAATGAATTATAACCCACGCGATTGCAATGTTTCTTGATAGTGTTTTTTTTTTTACAAAGTTGTAGAATACAAAAGAAGAAAGACCAACATTATGATAATTTGTTATTATATCGGTGAGAAATAAATAACAGTAGTATTATTAGTAGCTAATTTAGAAATGTTGCCTTTAATTACATAATGATCAACAAAAACCACAAGTTTAGAGTTTAACGCCATCTAGTATATCGTCTCCAATTTTATTTAATAACCAACCACCTTAAGTGAATTGATAGAATGGAAGGAGTCAAACAGCTCCTTCAGGTAGCGAAGAGAAGAAGGGTTAAAAAGGATATTATGGAGCAGTGAAAGTATTCCGGCGAAAAGGAATAGAAAGCCATTTGAACTTAACATGTAACTAGGAAGTGTGATCGTATTTTCTAAGACCGAAAATAAACGTAATAAAAACGTTTTGAAGACACTCAAGTTTGTTAAGCTGACTTGTACTGTTTGTATTGTGAAGCGACTTTTATAGATCATATCCTAGATTACTTTGCTCCAGTTTCTTGGTCCCACTGATTCTTTGCTTTAAGACTAAAGTTATATGCTGGGAATAAATAATATACCTACATTGAAAAAGGATAAATTTTTATTATTTTTTAATATTCTCTGTAAATATCATATATCAATTACGAGTATATACTGAAACTATTAATAAATTTCTAATGTATTGGACAAGCTGAATATTAAAATCTTCAGTATGGCAACAACCAATTGACTACCTTCTGGTAGTACAGTAGAATGCATATTTTCTTTTAAAATACTCACTGCTAGGATTAATATTGTCATTATACAGATACAAGACGGTGTCAGCCAGTATTCTTCACTTCATAAAAATACAAAATAAATTATTTCTAAGAAATAAGATGCAGTAGATTCATAAAAATGACGATTTAAAAGTGTTTGTAAACAAGTATATTTGAATAAAGATGATTTGAATTTAAATGAAACTGGTAAGCTTGTGCAATGATTGCCAAAACAACTATATATTAATGGGAAATTAACAAAACATTATTATTATTTTTTTAAATTTTTTATAAAAGTACGTTGGATGAGAATGAGTTCATATAAATTGGGAATTTGGTTTGAAATAATAAATATATGTGAATGTAACTCGTCTAGGGTACCACGATGTTAAGATGAATTATTATACTATTTGTTAGCCATACCATTAGATAGCCAATGCGACTCTTGGAATAAATTTATACTTGACCTTTTATCCATAAAATGATACAGATAAAACGCAAAGATTTAGTACCTATATGACATTAACCCTTGATGTCTACATTTACATATACTTGTTTAGGTACTTATTTATTAGTAATAAACGTAGTACAAAAATATATTAAAATTTTTACAAACGTATTTAATTAGCTCTTGTATTTTATATAGATTTACTATTTGTTATGTTCTTACAGTATTTTTTGTTTGCTTTACTTACGGAACACAAGTGTGATATCGTGTGATCTAGATATGTATTCTATAAACATTGCCATTAGATGGTATTAATTTTGTATTATTTCTTACATTTATGTACTTCATTATGATAGCTGTACTTTATCGATCTGTTTATTAATCAATAATCAATGAATACGTATATTGACGTCGATAAAAATGGTCAAAATGAATTATTTGTACTATAGCTTTTTTAAAATATCTATTATCACGTACTACTTAATATTATTTATACAAGCATTACGTGTGTACGTTACTACTATGTAGTTTTTTTTTTAATAAATGAATACTTATTTTAACATGTATTATTTCTTTATGAATTGCCTTACTCCCTAATTACATTTGTGTATCATGAAAAAAATATGCCAATATGTCGACCGTTTTAGACCATAAATAAAATAACTGAATCATGCCTGCCCTAAGATGAAAGCAGACCAAAGAAAAATGACTGAACATGGTCTCCCTGGGAAATATTAATTAGAAAGGCCAATGGATATATCACTAATACGGGGGAATATTTTCAATTATATAAATCCAATTCGCTTTAAAATTTATTTCATATTACATGTATTAACGATCCACTTTAACTTCGCACGTCCACATAAGTACATGATTTTTTTTTTAATTTTACCCATTACAAATAAAAAATTAAATATTTTGTATATATAATAAGTCTAAGAATAAGTATTATGTAGCTTAGATATCTAATACAAGAAAAAAAGAAATACAATCGACAATAAAATCCCTATACCTACTTGTAATAAATAAACTACCTACTACTTTATCTTTACTTGTAATAAATATACTTATGTAATAAATATATTAAGTATAGGTAACTTATATTTATTACCTCACTTTATATCAAATTTTATGACTATTAAATATGATTTGGATTTTATTCCAATTATATGTGCGTTTTTTCTTTATATATTTGTCTAAGCATCAGAACTATGTTTATTTATTTATATTATCAACTGGCTGAACTTTACAGTCTTAATACGCCCACCCAGGAAAGCATCAGTACAAAAGCACATATGTATGACTAAAAAGAATAATATTAATAAGATTTAACTCACATAACAATAATAGAAATAACATTAGATCTTAAATCTCTGAACACAAACACTCTGTGATCATCCGACAAAACTCTAGCAAGTTGGAGCTAAACATGTGTAACTGCGGATATCGGCTCAAAACCATTAAGTAGTTTCAATGCAAGATATGAGAGGTGGCGAACCGTATTGCACTCCTAGAATGTATATAGCACCAGATACAGGCACTTATTAACGGGTTAGTAGTTATATCAATATCTATAATTTGTATTAACTATAAAAATATAAAACTATAGATAAAATTATAATGACAGGTGAATAACATTATAGATATTAAGTGACTTTATACATTAATAATTATAACTTTAACGGAAAAACTAATTGTTTTGAGATTTATATTTTTTCTCTCATTTCAACGTACTTATTTATTATTTATATTTTAGAGCAATAAAATACAGAGTTTAGTATTTTAACATCTTCGATTATTATACTAAGTACAGTTTATTTCAATAGGACTTAATGAAAATACAATGACCAAGTTTTGTTAAAATTATTACAGAAACTGTCTAAATGAAATTCGAAACAAGTCGACACATTCAATAAATTAATAGTTTTTTTTACTACTACTACTTATTGAACATCAGCAGACTGTCTTATAGTCGGATTAATGATTTGTTTATTTACATTATCATTAAGTTCTATGAAAACTGACCTTCATTTAAGTCTTACAAAAATACGAACTATCTACTAAAATGAATAATACTCTAAAGTATGTGTATTTAACTTAAATCATAGATACAAATAATTAATGTAACTTAAACCGTAATTACAAATATATAAGCGCGTTCTTGTTGTATGTAGAAATAAAATAATAATTCGTTCGGAAATGTTTAATACTTTGACCACATTACAAAAGATTTGGCATTAATATAAATATCTACCTATATTTGTGATCGAAACTTAGCATTACATAAAAACTTCCGCTTAATTACCATATAATTATAAGTTTTAAGTCTTAAATGAAACTTAACGTGAATACAAATACACATTTTTTATGATTTATATACATACTTATAATTTATACTTCCATACAAATGCATGTTATAATTGAGAAACTTGTAACTGTGGATTTTCTGAATTTTCAGCATTCTGGTACTTAGTAAACTGTAAGAATATCTGTTCGAGGGTCGTTTGCGAGATGCTGTAATCTTCAATGTTCAATTCTCTTTTGGCGTTCTCTATTATTCCGAACATTCTGGACCAAGCTAAACTAGAATCTGGCAAGTAATATGTCAACAGACCTTGATATTCCTCCCTAAAATAACACAAAAAAAAATCAATCCCTAGCAAGAAAAACTAAGAATATATAGCATAACAGTCTTCGTCTTATGGGTTCTGATCAATAGGAAAAAAAGTCTAAGTGAAAAAGTACTATAAAATAAAATACCAAAAATATCCTGTAGATTCTAATGAATAAAAACATACATAATTGAAATAAAAATTTACAATTTAAACTGAATATAGAAGAGATGAGACAAAAATCTGTAATTTATACTTACATCAATTTGGGATTTTTGAAGTTAGAGTTCACAAATTGTTTTAAAGTGTCCACAGCTATTCTCCTTACTGAGAGGTCTACGGAATCATCGATCTTAAGTTTAATTATTAAAGTGAATCCTACAAAAAAATAATTGTAATAATTAAAAAAATATATTCACATCATAGCCACCACATATTCACCTATATATGAAATAAATGGATAGTAATTAGCTACGGACCTTCGGAAAACTTATTCTTGAGATGCTGCGGCGTGCCTATGCAGCGGAAACCGCCGTTGACCATAATGGTAAGCCGCGAGCAAAGCGCCTCGCACTCCTCCATGCTGTGCGAGGTGAGCACCACGCCGCGCCCGCTGTTCATCGCGGCCCGCAACGCACGCCAAACCTGCACACACACACGCACATACCACGCCCACGTTAATCACACGCGTCACATCATTAGGTACTACCACTAGGTACTCGTAAATGTAATGCAAACTATAGTCACCTGTCGCTTGGCAGCCGGGTCCACTCCCGTCGTAGGCTCGTCCACGAACACGAGCCGCGTGCGCCCCATCAGCGCTATCGCTGTGCTTAACTTGCGTTTATTGCCGCCCGAGTACTGGCGCACCTGCACAAGTGGACGGCAAATGTAACAGTAATAATTAACTTACAAAATAGTATTAGAAAGTAGTGGGAGGATGCGAAAAAAGACGTGAATTATTTTATAGAACGGACCTACAGCTCTAACTCTTTACAGACAAATTACATTATTATCAATACGTACTTAAGTTGTTTTATGTGTAATTTATGTTAAGTGTGTCTATGCGTACATGAACTTATTATTCAAAAATTTATTTCTATTTTATCATTATACAAAATGAAATCGAAGTCGTTAACCGTACATAAAACTAAGAATCTACACATCCTGTCAAATGTAGTTAAGATAGAAATTCTCGAGAAAGAAACATGAGCATCGCAACCTAACTTAGAGTATTGATATAAGATGCTCAAAATGTCGAATGGTCCTACAATGAATATGATCTCTGTAACATTTAAATATTTACCTTTTTGTCCAAATGCTTGGTGAAACCGAGTGCATTAGCGAGTATAAGTATCTTGGCAGAGGTGTTCTCTGGTCTGAGTCCACGCAGCAATGAGAACACATATAGAGTCTCGCGACCCGTCAGATCGTCAAACACAGCATCGAACTGCGGACAGTAGCCTGCAAACAACAAGAATTCCACAACAATGTTCACTTAATTTACTACTGCACTTAGTTACTAAATTAATAAAACTAAACTACTTATTAAACTTGTAGAAACATTTTCAACAAGAAATTACAACAAAAGTCCAAGAATACGAGTGCTTAGCACGAATTTTACGAACAGCCAACGCTACTCCTCAACTAGCACAATGTTACTACGTCTACGACTTATAAAAAGTCATTTTCGTCAAGTCTCGGACATTATTATACTACCTTTATTATTGTATTGTATTGGTTCTGGTCGACGCTGTACATGGTTCTTCTAAATTTCGTTATAGTACACAGTTACACTCATGAATTAATCATGAGTGTAACTACTCATACCTGGGGGAGAAGGAATTGCTAGGTCGACCTCCTCGTGGTTTCCCCTGGAAACTATCGTGATTGGTTTATTATTAGATTCGTCACGGTGGGCTAACTGATCTGCTTCATCCTCACCTATCATCTCTCACAGGTGCCCCGCCAGTGTATATCGATAGCGCAAGCGGGGTTACCATTCCATTATCATTTATTAAAAAAAACTACTCGTACCTAATGACGTCGTTATTATTTATTTATTAAATATCAATTTTAAAATTTCAACTCACCTATATTTTTGTACACGCTTGTGATATCCTTTTTTACGGAATGTCCACCAACAAACGCATCTCCGCTTGAGATGATTTCATCTCCCATTAGCATTTTGAAGGTCGTTGTTTTTCCAGCCCCATTCACACCCAGTAATCCAAAACATTCTGATTCACTCACAGCTACAAATAAATATGTAATAAAACCGAATGAAAATGTATGAAAACGAATAATTGACCTCAACTAACAAGTTAAAAATCTAACGTTTCTATTTTTACTAATTTCATTTAGAGAATATTTCTGTAATAATTTCTACAAAACTTTCCTTATGTTCTGATGAAACAGATTATATTTAACCTATATACGTACAAATTTAAATAGAAAAATGCATATTTTACACTTTAATTTTTTTTAGATAAACACTTTTGTTAGATGTATCAGTTAGTACCTAAGTCAATGCACAACCTACTAAAAATATACTTACCTACTAAAAATATATATAATATAAATATACTAAAGGCATTGGGCGCAATATAGTATGATTTTATCATTATACTTATGATGTTAAAGGGGATTAAAATATATGCAATTGTATGGAAACGTTTTTAATTTTCAGCAACGATTTTGACATGAAAATTTTAAGGCGTTAATATTACATTCCACACAAACAGACTTACGGATTTCTCTGGTCAGAAGATAAAAATATTAATATAAAAAATAAACATGTTATAAAAATAATAACTTCTTGAATGAAAATTATTACAAGTTCATTGGTATACTTACTGAAGGAGACCTGATTGACGGCGAGATGCTTGCCATAATACTTAGTGAGCTCGCTCGCCACCAAACTGTGCGTTCCAATATCAGTTCCCTTCACATGTTTCACGTGACGTACCTCATCCGCAACGTCATCGTCTAATGTACTCATATTTATCGGCGGAGCTCTTTTTGTAAATGTAAATATCTGTAGTTAACATTACCAATTCTTTATTAAATCAATCAATTCAGAATATTCATAATATCCAAAGAAATTATACATTTATTTAGGACTATATATAAAAATACGTCATTTTTAAGTATTTTAGCGTCACTGTTTGTCACTGGAATTATTATAGAATGACTTCTTTGTAGGGTCAACTCTATAAAGTCATTGTTAAGTAAAGATATTCGTGTACTGGATTGCATTTGTTTGTTTGTTATATTTGTTACATCTAAAAAAAATTCATTTCACACACAGAAAGGTAAACTAGGCGTTCCATTGATTCTACCTACTCTAATGGGAGACAGGCGTAATAGATATGTATATATGTAGAAATTCATTACTGTTTCTGTAATATTAAATTTAAATTTAATTTAATATTAAATTTAAATATAGTATAACGAAGTAATAAAAACAACAGAAATTATTCAAGTTAGCTAAACCCGCAGTAGGTAAGATAGATACTTCAATAGTTACTCCATATTTTATAATTTTTTCAATAACTACTTCTATACTAATGACAATAAATGTTTATAATAAATTATAAATATGCCATTATCGTCCTTCGTCAGTAATCCTTTGAAGTACAAGCTTCCAAAATGTCCTATGTAATAAATAAATAGAATAAATTATTTTGATTTCTTTGTTTTACTTGTTATAAAATTTTTATAATACCTTTTGCAAAAGGCGGTATTCGATAATCATAAGTAAGATCCAGAATACGACACCAGAAATTAACAAGGCTACTATGTATCGAAGAACACCAGGCTCTTCCCAATCGAAATAAGGATTTTCACTAACTGAAATCAAAAATTAAATCATTACTTAATGTTTGCAAATAAATAATTATATTTAACTATTTCTAACATTATACATTAGGGCAGTTTTCCTAATACAATTTACAATATAACCATAATACGTTTTAAATCAAATTATACAGAACACACAAAATACATTGTACTCGTACTTAGCTAAAAATATATCATTACCACAGCACATAAAGATTTAAACGGGATTCAAATACTTATGTTTATTAAACATAAAAGAAAATCAAAGTTGCAAAAAATTGATACTACAACAGAATAAAATTAATTTAATTAATGATTAAAATATTAAAATAATTTCTTTCCTCAATATCATCTTACTAAATGCATACATGATAAATTATACTTATTTGCTTTTTTCATGATAAGCTTTGCTCTCAAGTTAGGATACTCTTTACTGTTTTTTTTTTCAAAAGATTGCAGTGGTAAACTTATTATTAAAATACAAACAATTACAATAAATTATATTGAAAAAATAATGGGCGGCCTTATCGCTAAAAACGATCTCTTTCACTTGATCTTTGGATGGAGAAGAGTAATTATAAATAGTTTGATCGGAAGCACGAAACTCTGTTCGTTTTAACTTCTAATCTTCCAAAACGGTTCAACCATTTTGTAACCATTTTACATGGCATTTTCATAAATAAAAATATAAAAAGTAATAGATGCCTACTTAAATGAATATATCCTTACTAATATTACAATTGTGAAAGTAAGTGTGTTTTTTTTACCATTACGCACTTTAATAGCTGAACTAGTCGTCATGAAATTTGGCATGCATGTACTATTCGGGATGAAGAAGAACATAGGCCATCGGTCATTCAATATATCCTAATTACGCAGACAATTGGGGGAAAGGGATTGTTAGTAATGCAGTCCCATTGCTAGCAATATACCCTATCAGGTCGACATCCACATGGTTCCCCCTAGAAATCATCGTGCTGAATTCCAGGTGTATTCATCACGGTGAGCTAACTGACCTTTTATCCTTACCTATCCTCCCTCACTGGTGTCCCGCCAGCGTATACAGTTAGCGCAGACGGGGCTACCATTCCATTATCATTCATTGACAAAAAAAACATGCACACAAAGTCGTAAATAAAGGCTAATTTAAAATAAATACTAACTACAACAAGCGGTTACGTTTCGATTACAGAGGTATTGCATGTCGCATTCCTCCGTCGATACCGACAACAGATACCCACAGTTTTCTAGGCAAAAATGTTCTGTTACGGAAACTGTTGTAAACCATCTGTAATTAAATATATTTCATATTAAATATTTAAACAAACTTATAGATAAATCATAATTTATGGATCTTGATAACTAAATTACTTACATTATATTATCTTGAAAAGATTGCAATAATAATCTGATTGTGCATTGATATTATAATATGCTAAATTTGCTTGTAACTACATGGCATTTGCACATGACAGATATTTAAGGAAAATTAATATAAACGGCCTTAATGAGAATAATATAAATAGAAACTACAGCAATAATTCTTAAAAATTTTGTCTGTCTATCTGTGCGTTTGTTCCGGCATCACGGAAAAACTACTGCACCAAATTCAATGCGGTTATCGCAACTGTGAACTGTATTCCTAAAAATCTAACTTAAATTCTGGTATAGTTTTTTCTTTACTCAAACTGGTCTTATTGATTGGTTTTCCTACTTCTGAAAGCCACGTGTAAGATGTAGCGGGCGTACAATAGTACGTACGTTCGTACGTAGTTAGTTGATAGTATAAAGGTAAATTTAGAATTCCTAAATGCAGTTGGATACTATTGTAAATAAAATATTTCATTTATCTAACTAAAATATAAATTTTTAGTTTGCACTATGCATGTTTTGAGTTAAAATCAATTTTTATCTATCTGTCTGAAAATATGTATTTTCATTAGAACATGTTTTCGTATCGTCCTAATATTAAAATTCACTGTTAAATAGAGTTCTAGGTAACAAACTTTCAAGAAACTTCAGTCACTTACCGAAGTGCTGTGACGAAAGAGTATAGAGGGAAAATTTGCAATATGGCATCCATAATATCTGCTACATGTTCTGTATCTAATATTGGATTATACAATGCTTCCACAATTTGAGAACCTATAATACCTGAAAAACAATTAATTAGACATAAACTTTCGATCCAGTTTTCTCATACTATTCCATCAATACTGTATTCCATCAGTAAATTCCAATCGATAGATCTTATTTCTAGAACATCTATCTATTAAATCATCATCATCATATCAGCCGTTAACTCTCCACTACTGAATGTATTTACTTATTGGGGGTTTTGCCAATAAATGGTACGCTTAGTAGGTGAATCGGCAACCGCAGTTAGGCTTTGGTGGAACATTAAATTGGTCGCCTTAGTAGCCGCTAACGACACCTACGAGAAAGGAATGGGTAGCTCATTCTATGCCAGAACCACATGGCAATTTACTAAATATTAACATTTAATTAAATTTAAAGTTTATTAAAAATAAATCAACAACAATATATGTATTTTGAGATATCAATGATATTGTTCATATCATTCATATATCATTTTCTACAGGCCATCAACTCATTTGTCATTTTAAATTATGTAAAAAAATTAACAATTAATCGTCATAATCATTTTAACCATCATCAAACCGTTTCACATTATAATTTGCCTTTGAAACGCAATATTCCAATTTCGTCCAATGACGGGCAGATAGATAAAGTTGAACCATACAGTTTCACTTGTAACATTTCAGATTGGAACGTTAAAAATGTATAATATATGAATGAATATACTTACCAAATAGTACATTAATAAAGTACATGACAACAAAGCCTATCGCCGGTCCGTTGAATAAGAACGAAAACAAGTAGTGGAGCGGCAGTGCAGCAGCACCGTATATCATGATGCACAAATACATGCGACCTGTAAATAAAATAAAATAACCGTACAATTATTTTGTAGAAACTGATATAATTGGTAGGTTTCATTATATGTTTTTTACCAGAGGAAGACTATTTACAAATATCGTCTACATGGGTAGTCGTGTTTTAGCCGTTAAGCAGCTGTTCTTGCATTGCTGTGTTTTCATTTAAAGGGTTGGGATACCGTAGTGAAATTAGAGGGTACACGAAATAGCGACACATGGCATGGCATCATAGTATATCCTGTGATACCCATGGTGCTGATTATGTCTATAGGCAACGGTTATTACATTCCTTCAGGTGGACCGTAATATTTTAAGTACCATAATTAAAAATAAAAAAAATAAAATTGTTACCTAGTTCAGAAAAACTGGAGAGCCCAATGACACGGAAGGCAGCACATGGTATAACGATCGTAATAGAAATGAGAAGAAACCAAGCCCAATCTAAGACAGCAGCACTGCCCCACATCACTATTGGCTGAATTCCAGCTGCTTTTTGTAGGAGCTTAGCACGAGAGACACGTTCCTGAAATTTATTTATTTTTTTATTTCACAATAAAATTTGTACAAATGGCTACCTTCATGTCATATGGCATTCTCTACTATCTAACCATTCGGTAAAACAGAAAACTTTTGAGGCCTGTGGTGACAAAAAGTATTGCATAAAAATAACCCTATTAATATAACTTGGCATAATAATAGATAGTACCAACCAATATTATAAATATATATAAAATACATATATTTATGTATGTAATATAACATGTCTCTCTCTGTTATGTTTAAATCATTATACAGAATAGTTGAAATAATTAATAAATTATAAATGATATAAATTAAATCAATATTGAATAAAAGTAAAATTGTTATATAGCTATTTACTAATACGATTTTACATCTTGAAATTCCAAAATATTATTAGACATAGTTATATGAAAATAAATCGTTTTGTATGATATACTTATATATTTGATGTCCATATTGTTTACATCTACGTCAGCCAAATAACTTATAAGTATGTTCCTATTACCTATACAATCACAAATAACAATACCAACCTTGATATAAAACATAATAAAAACAGCAGTGACTATTCCCAAACTATTTCCAATCGAAAACGATAGTTGGAAAGACAAAAATTCTACCATTGCTTGCATATCACTCTGAAACAACATATTATTCGCGATTAAAAAATAAACATATAAAAATATTTTAAATTATTTACCAAATACGTAAATTTCCATAAATATACTTAAGTGTATGAAATTGGATCATAATGACTTTAACATATTTTATTTATTATCATGTATTACATATACATACACACTAAAGGACATTTTATACACGCATACTGAAGAAACGATTATATAATATATATGATATAGCTACATATAATATATTTTGCTCTCCTGTTATCATAATGCAACTCTTACAATATGGTATAGAAGGCCAATCGTAAAAGCGTCCAATAGCGTTCTCACAGACGAAGTTAAGTTAACAAGACATCCCCGTTATCGCATATAGCATCAAAGATTCGTATATGCATAACTTACACACATATATCCAAAAAAAATTACCGTCATTTCTTCAGTAATTGAATATAATAGTTTCTTTTTTCAAACGAAGTTATAGCAATTAAATGTTACTGTATTTGATTCTGTAAATAAAATGTCAATGAAACGTATAAAAAATGTACTATATTTTGTTGTATAAAAAAATATAACTTTGCTTTAACGGTGTCAAGTGTAAACCCAATTTTTGTATGTTGATACTTTCATTTATTCAAAATACTTTTTAAATTAAGCAATTGAGTATAATCAGTTTTCTTGTTTAAATAACGGTACTTGGTAATTTTATAATCATTAGGTTCGCAGCCCTAAAATATCTAATGAAAGATGCCCTTTTAAAGTCGCAGATGTCACCATTACCTGGTTTACAATAAAACTTACTTGATCTCTATAAGTAGCTTCAAGAGGATGGTTCATGACATTAATCTCAGCAGCTGGTTGAAAGGCTTTCAGTAGCGCATTGTGGAGCATCGCTAGTGAACTGGGCAAGTCATGGTACGCGAAGTTGCTGAACCACGCAGTTGCTGATTCGTCGTTGAATGTAGCGCCGCTCAACAGGCTGTGTCTGAGATGTGCTGTACCACCGGTCACGTTCGCCTTAATTGTCGAAAATAATATTGTTAGTGCCTGCTTATTCAACTCAAAAGTAACATAAATTCTATATTTCAATATAAAATTTATTCAATTTAGGTCGAGTATTCGAGCAAGAGCAACAAACATTAATTATGAACATATTTTGAATTTACAGTATAAACAGCATTTATTTCAAAATCGTATGGCTTATAGATACTATTAAAGGTTTTAGTTTATGTATAACTATCCAAATTAACTAAATGAAACATATTTTTTGAGTTGCCTTATAATTAGGTATGATTGCTATGTTAAAATATAGCAATCATACCTAATTATATTATATTGATAGTATTTCCCTCAAATTCACTTAGCGTTAATGATTAGATATATAAAATGTTCTCTTGTAGGAAACTAACCTACTATGTACAAATAATTTTGCCACTATGTACCTACCTAACTACTTTAAAAATTTCTTAATAAATATTTTTACGAGTACAATTCTTAACTTGAATATAGGATTAACGTTTTAGGATTTTTACATCCTAAACATTCAGAAATATTGAAAATTGTCTGTTGGGACAAATAATGCAATATTGTCAACCTTCGTCAAGAACATTTTATGTGTATCATAGATTAAAAACTGGGATACAAATATCTATGTACCTAATAATTAAGAAAATTGCTTACCCTTTCTAAATAGTAGTCATCGACTAGCTGCTGGTCAACAACCGTGAGATTCATATTATCTCTGTCTAATAATCTATACATTTGCTCATAAGCAGCTTTTGCCAATGCGCCTCGAGATGTCGAATTTGTGCCGTTGAAACTTAGAAGGCTTTCCGTGCTAGCATATCTAAAATAAAATACATAAGACAGTATTATATACTCACGTTTAACTATATACTATTGCCTCAAGTTTAGAACTTAATTAGGTAAAAATATTGTCGTGAAAATATTATTTTAGAATTTTTTTAAACTTAGGTAAACTATTTTAAAAAAGAACTCAAAATATACTTAATTTATGGCCGTATTTTCGACAGGTTGTGTGTTAAAAATTAATTAATAAAACAGATAGATTCAGTACTTTATAACTCAACAATCACTCTTTGAAATCTTTAATTGGATGTAGGTATTATTTATTTGTCTAAAATAAGAAAAATGTAAACGCCATATTATGATTATTAGTTTAGTTACTTGCACTGTCCATGGATATCTTGGCTCAACAAAGAGTAAGTAGTATTAACATGAAATTTTTGGAGATTTTATTACGACCAGACTAAAATATTTATCATCATGTACAGCTGTTAACTGTCCACTACTGAACATAGGCCTCCCCTTGGGGGGTTTATCCAGTAGTTGCCACACTTGGCATGCGGGTTGGCAACCGCAGTTAGGCTTAGGTGATATTTTAAGAGGGACGCTGCTGCCCATTCTCCAACCACTATGTCCTCTTAGTCGCTTCTTAAAACACCCACGGTAAAGGTAGGAGCGGCTCGTTATATACCACGACCACACGACATAAATAATTTATTAGCTCTTTATACCTAAATATAATTATCACTTCATTACATAGTATAAAACAAAGTCGCTTCCCGTCTGTCTGTCCCTATGTATGCTTTGATCTTTAAAACTACACAACGTATTTTGATGCAGTTTTTTTAGTAGATAGAGTGATTTAAGAGGAAGGTATATGTATAAGGTTTACATAGTAGAAAAACACTGATAGTTTTAGAGGTTTCTAATGTGACGTAATGTAATATACATGGGACGGGAAGCTAGTATACGTATAATTATATATACTTACCCCTCAGTAAACGTGAGCGGCCGGGATTGTATATTGCCTTGCAGTGACATTATGTATTCTAGTATACTAAGCGCCGCTACTATTTGAATCAATGGAACTAGCAATTGTAGTATTATTATACTCCATGATCGTATTTTAGTGAGCCAGAGCTTTATCCAAACGGCCGTAACATGCTGCCACAGCAACCGGCAGCCCGTCGAAACTTGCTCATCATTAGCAACTAATGAAATAATTGATTAACTATAGAGATATCGTACGAGTATAATTCTTATGAAATCTAAAGTCTTCAAAATTCCATCTACCTTTCGGTAAATAAAAAAAAATTATTAAAGCAAAGTCTAATATTCTACTGTTGAAGTTGCTCTTTGTAGTTAAGTGCATCTACTAAAATACTTGTGGTACATTTATCAGGTTCATATTAATTTATGTGAATGTCTTCTTCAGTTCATGGCGTTATAAAAAGTATTAGTATAAGCATCTATTTATTTTAAAAACAGTAACTTAAAAAATCCTCGTTCTTAACGTTACCTCGTTAACAGTACCAATGTTAAAATACTTACATTGATCAATAGACAATGTGTCTGAATCTTTTGTGTTTCCATTAATGGTACTGGCGATTGTCTCAGTTTCCTCAGATACAGAATTTCCTAGTTCTGCATCTGAGCCGACTCTGCAATAATAATTACTTTATTAAATTTTTGTTCAAACTGTTGAAATCATGTATGTACTTGGCACATTATTTGCATTTAGATGACTTCTGATAATTTATAATATGATAAGTGCCTAGTTATTTAAATTATATTCACTATTTGTACTTTAATAGTATTACTTATACTGTAGGTACTATTAATAAGCCGTAAAAGATACTTACGATAAAAAAACATCTTCTAAAGTGGTTGCGACCAAGCCATAGTTTTTAAATTTTATCTTGTCTATATTGCTTTCCAAATCGTTCAGCATATTTTCGAATTTATGTGAATTTTCATTTGATAAACTATATGTTACCTCAGTGCCTAAAATAATAAAAATAATGTCCTATAAACAATAATTAATATAATCTAGATTTTTATACACTATCCCGATAGGGAAAAACAATCACGTCTAAATTATGTTTGGTTTTATATATAAAAGTTGAAACAACAAAAATTTAAAGATTGCATTTTTTAATTAAAAAGAAAGTAACATAAATTTTATTTAAAAATAGATTACGTCAACAAATTAGTGGCGATAGGTCATCTACATAAACAAATACTACTGGAATTAACCGAAAATATAGAAATGAAAGATTTTCTAGTGGCAACCCCTTATCAGTAGGTAGGTACATATAGACAAAAACAATGCATAGGTGTATTTATTTAATAATTACATTGGCTGCCACAAATTCCGTATACAAATAGGCATCTATGAAATACAAACATACCGCGATCTTCTTTAACTTCAGTGCTTGGAATATATTTATTGAGCAGTGCAGTACACTCGTCATATCTAAAACCTTCGCCTTTCACTACAACCAGAGTGTATCCAACACCATAATGTTTCTTTAGAAAATACGGAGAGCCGACACACTGCAACTGTCCGTGGGCCATAATCGCCACACGATCGCCCAGGATGTCCGCTTCGTCCATGAAGTGTGTCGTTAAAATTATAGATCGACCTTAAAAAGGATATTTTAAATTAAAAATTCAATAAATCCATTTCATAATTCAACGTGAATTTATACATTATCTAATAAATAATATGTATAAATTACAGTCGGTTATAATGAAATTATTATAAAATATTTTTTAATGATAATATAATATAACATGTATGGAAATCTTGCTCTCACCACAACGATAAAAGTTTACAAATACCACTGACTACCCCAATATGGATTGTATCCGTTAGCACTATTTAGTACTAATATCTGATATGTATGTATATACATAATACTAGATATATCCCGCAGCAACCCGGATAAATTACTACATAAAATATGTTTAGCACAATTTTTTGTAAGGATATGAATTACTCATGTATTATTTTATTTAAATCCGTTCAGTAATTTTTGCGTGAATGAGCAACAAATATCCGTTCATTCATCGATTCTTACAAACTTTCGCGTTTTATAACATTAATAGGAGTATTTTTGATTCTTTTAATTTTGCCTATGCGTGTTCTATGTAAATATTTAAAAACTTATCACAAATTACCCAAATGAAGTTAAAATAGTATTTGAATAATTATTTTAATCAACTTGCCCTTTTTCACTTTCTGCAAGAGGTCCCAGAGCGCTCGGCGCGATGAGGGGTCCATGCCGGAGGTCGGCTCATCGAGCAGTACGACGCGAGCCCCGCCACTCAGAGCTATGCCCACACACAGGCGGCGTTTTTGTCCACCTGACAGCCCGTGAGCTAAGTAATCTCGCTGCGGAAATCAGTGTATTGTTTCATCATTTTCTTTTTCATCAAATACATAATATAAAAAATTTAAGCTAGTAGGTAAGATCAAATTACTTTGCGATAGTTGTTAAATTTATAACCATATAATCATAAAAGTCTATGGGAGAAGCTTATGTCCAGCAGTGGACGGATAATGGCTGAAATGATGAACCATAAAAATACTATCAAACACGTCCTTCACCCGCGGCTAACTAAGGCGTCCTATAGTATGTTTACGGCAAACGAGTTAAACTGGAAATTCATTAGCTAATTACATTAATTTCATATTTTTCATACACAAAATTAAGTGAATAAAGAAATACCAATAATTTTAATAATATTACTGTTGCCAATCATTTCTTTCCATTACAAATAAGTAGTAAAATTTTCTGATAAAGAATATTCCAGAACACATTGGATGGAGGCCTTTGGCAATTGAGTCTCTCTACCAAGACCCTAAACGAGGGCCGGATATTTAAGAGATAAATGGTCAAGTAACTAGTAATAATAAATTTATTAATATGTTATGAGAAAATTAAATAGTTACAATAATGAGACAAACACTAATTCATTATAGGTACTTTTCCTTTGTCATTTAAACTCCGTAATATAACATACATACCTTATGTTGTAATTCCAAATTCTCTATAAGCGAATCTATTTCTTTGTCAAGTTCTTTGCCCGAAAATCCTTTGAGCCTTGCAAAGAATTCCAGATGTTCTCTAACTGTTAGTTCATTAAAAATTACATTATGTTGTGGACAGAGGCCAAGATTGCTACGAGCTGAACCCATTTCCGTGCTCATGTTATAGCCAGCGACATAAACTGAGCCTCGAGTGGCTGGCAGGTTACCTGACAACCAATAATATTTAATTTAGGTTTACAACATTATACAAAATAAAGAAATCATTATAACGCAATTAATAAATAATAATAATAATTAGCATAATCCTCTTGACATAAGAAATATTGATTTTATTGAAACCTATTAAATATATGCATTTTTTAGTGATATTTATTTGCAAGTTGATTTGGTAATAGATAGAATAGTTAATGGCTATCGAGCTATGTAGTAGTCTATTGTGTAATTGATGAAAATGAATGTTTTTCGAGAAACAATTTCAAATAAGTCGATGGATGCGAGAAAGTGGGGCAGAACCATTTTATGTGGCGAAATATGAAGGAAACTTGCATTTAGGAGTGGAGGATAGATGAGTTGTATGATAGTCCATACAACTAATGGGCCATAGAATAGCAATAGCAGACGTACAAGTTTCACTCTCTAAAATTATTTTTTCATAGTCAATCTCAAGATGTATCGAGAACCATAACCCATTTTTCTCATAACTTTTATTTTAATCTACTATTACCACACTGGCCAGGCAAAAGATTAAGAATTTAAGAATTAATTTAATAAGCAAATAAAATTTATGAGTTATTTTTCTAGGACAAAATTACAAATAGTTTAATCAATCATTACGAACCTGTAATCATTGATATAGTTGTCGATTTTCCAGCACCGTTATGACCGAGTAAAATAGTAATTTGATCATCGTAAATGTTCAGTGACAAGTTGTTCACAGCAGTGTTAGCACCAAATATTTTAGTCAAATTCTGAAAAAGATTTTAATATAGGAATAGTTTTGCTTCCAAGGAAATATTAGTTTCGTTTTTAAATACATAGTTACATAACAATTAATTCTCTAAGACTGGAGTTTGATTACGTAAACTTCTATAATTTCATGTTACCTAATTTTTTATAAATAAGATTGTGATTCACGAAGAAAACCGACTTCAATTTTAGGAAAACCAGTGTATTAAAAATTAAACAACTACCTAAACCAAAATTTAAAAAAAAATCTATAGGACTAATCTATAAGTAACACCTTTCAAATAAAAAAAGAATTTTCCAAATCAGTTTACAACTGATGGAATTGGGGGGAAAGGGATTGTTAGTAATGGAGACTGAGAATCCTATTGCTAGTAATATACCCAACCAGGTCGACCTCCTCGCGGTTCTCCCTGGAAACTATCATGGTTAATTCTATTCATCTATCACCCTTCACTGGTGCTCCGCCAGCGTATCCCATTAGTGCAGGCGGGGTTACCATACCATTTTCACCCATCAAAAAAAACTGATGGAATTATAAGGTAACAATTATAAAAAAATAATACTACCGAATTCAGAACCTCTTCCTTTTTGTAGTCAGTTGAAAAAGTATTTTCAAATGTTAATAAGTGTATATCATTTGATTTTGGATAGACAAACAGAAAAAAATTTAAGTAGATCGCAAGACTAAGAAATTTTCTAATGGTAAGGTACTATTTTTTTTTTTTATACTACTTAGAATGGCAAACAAGCTGACGGCCCACCTGATGGAAAGTGGTAACCGTCGCCTATAGACATGAGCAGTATCATGGACATAATAGAGTATACCGTTTCGCCCATGATACCCCCCATGCGTTGCCATTCCTGAGGACTCAGGTGTTATTCCTCTGTACCCAGTAAATTCACGCCATATCCCACCCTTCAAACCGAAACACAGTTATGCAAACACAACTGCTTCACGGTTGAAACACGAATGGGACAGAGGTACCCAAGCAATCGACTTTTGTACAAAGTCTCCCTCTGGTAATATCTAATACAAGTAGGAGATACTTGTGTACTTCTTTGTTAGTAGGTAGATACTTACGTACCTGACTATATTTAATACTTACCCTTATTTTCAAACCTATTGTAAGGTCAGCAGGTTCCTTTTCCATTATTATTTCTTCATTGTCAGAAATACCAAATTGTTCGACCTCTGTGAAAAAGACATTTATATAAGCCAATATACTACATGTATTATATTCGCTACATACAACTAAAAAGTAAAAGGGCGTTTAATTTTTTACATTCGTCAAAAAATATATAAAATATTACTGGAAATTTATTGAAATTACCTAAATATAAAAAAAAATACTCACTCCTAAACTTAAAACGTTGTAAGCAAAAGAATTAATTTTTCGATACTAATAAGCATTCGTATTTTGATTAAAAATAAGTAACGTTTACACATGACATCGTCCACGTGGCCGAAATGTTTTCATTGATCAGGATAAAAGATAATCTATAATCTTCATATAATCTTGTCCATCCCAAATAGTAAGTAATAAAGGACCAAATGTTAACGACCCTACATAGAAGCACAGAGCAAATTACAATCATTATATTTAAATGATACAAAACGAACAGACGTAAAGATTTGGGTTTACATCTTGGATAGCGGTTTTCATACAAATATACTACTATCAATTGAGCATTTAATGCAGAAAAAGGCCAACTACTAATAAAAACTTGAGGAATTAAAAGCAATATTCTCACTAATAGATATTATAAATAATACCAGTTGATTGTCATCTATTATCATTCGGAAGTAGCAAATGGTTCGAATGGTGAGTAATCTGCGATACAAAAGATAGGTACGATAATTCACCATTGGAATAGATAAGGAGTACCTTGAGAACACCCTATACTCATAAATACCAATAATTTTATCAGGTGGATCTTTGTCTTTTTATCATTCCCAGTAGTACCTACATAAACTTACCTTTATTAGGGGGGAGAAGGATTGTTAATAATGGTAACATTTTTTTATGCAACTTAGAATGCCAAACAATCTGACGATCCACCTGATGAAAAGTGATAACCGTTGCCTATAGACATGAGCATTACCATGGTAACCCCGCCTGCGCTAACGATATAAGCTGAGCATTACCATGCTGTAAGAGTATACTGTTTCGCCCATAATACACCCCATGCGTTTCCATTCCTGAAAACTCCGGTGTAATTCCGATGTACTCTGTAAATTCATTGCCATATCCCATACTTGAAACCGAAATACAGCCATGCAAACACAACTGTTTCGCGGTAGAAACATGAATAGGAATTAATCCCCATTACTAGCAATATACTCTGTCATATCAACTTCCATGCGGTTTCATCGGATCTGACTTCATCCTCATCTATCATCCCTTACTGTTGCCCCGCCAGTGTATACCGATAGCGCGGGCTGGGTTACCAATTCATTACCATCTATTAAAAAAAAAACTTACCTTTATTTCCTGAACACCAAAAGTCTTTTTGAAAAAGGTAATACCAAGGTTTAGGCATTCCGTACGGCCCGGGTAGAACTTGTTCCAAGTAAAGTGCAATTAACATATATAATACAGAATCTATTACCAGGAATATGACCACATGACCAAATGTTAATCGAGAAGAGTTCGAATCCGCCACTGACATAAACTCCCCCCATTGAATACCTAAAATTATGAGACAAATTTTAAAGGCATTCTAATTACAGCATCTGCTGTATATGTATCTACATAGAGACCTAAAATTATACCTACCGTAGAAAATATACCGTAATTTTTTTATAAAATACTTAATTGAATAAAATGTTATATTGTCTAGGTCAATATTTTGAACAATTAAATAGATAAATAGGTAGTAAGGTATACTTAGTAGTAGATCGAATATGACGTATGACGGTAACCGCTTACCATCAGGTGAGCCGTATACATCTTCGCCATTTACCTAAATAAATTACAGTTCCTGTTATTTTTGGCAATGGATCTTCCCGTGGTATTTTACTGGTTCTACTTATTGTGAAAGTGTGTTATGTCTCACATGTATATTTTATTCGATAAGACATATTGTGACATAACATAAGAATAGTGCCTGCAGTAAAATTCAAAAATAACATAGTTCTTTTTGCATAGTGAAACATAGAGAAAATCAATTTACGAGGGAAACGAAGGCTTTTCTAAAACTATTGCTTAAATGTAACAAATTTAGAAATCCTAAGTATAGGGGATTACCCCTAAACTTAGGATATCCCTTACTTAGATTAGAATGAAATAATTCATAGATATGAGTAAAATATGACATGAGTATGTAACCCACATAATAATAAAAGAACAAGAATATGTATAACATACTATTCAAAATACAATATATATAGTAAAATATTACTAACCGCCTAAACTCTCCTTGGCCAAAAGTTGTTGAAACCCATATGACATTGCTGTGTTTAAGCTAAGGAGAGTGACAACTTGACCAAAACTGGATATGTTGATGTCTGCCGTCAATAACATTGAAGGAATATATGTTAAAAACCAAATAACACCCATAAATAATGCGGCAGTGCTCCCTAGAAAAAAAAACCACTTATATTAATTATATCAAATATATATTTTTATTATACAATTTTTATTATAACAATATCGGAAGTTCAATTTTGTTTTTGTTGTTTTAGGGCGTCTTAGTTTTTGAGTGAAACTGAACACTTCCTTCAAAGATTGCTAACAATTTTCACACTGTATACACAAAATAAAAGCTATTATATATATATATTAATTGATTTTTTCTTACCCACTGAGAAGAACCCACTGACCATAAAGCAGAAAAATATTGTACAAAATAAATATAAAGACAAGTAAAAGAACAGCACATGCCAAGGTGTATGCGTGAATAAAGCATAGTCGCCGATACCTTCCTCGGTAGTAAACCAGTTTACCTAGGACAGAACAAAAAAGAAAATAATAATAATCAAATTGTGTTACACAAAAAACAACAACTTCAATTGTAGTAAAATCAATTATTTTGATTTAAAAACTAAACTACTGAATAAAATTTGTATGAGACCAAACTGTAAATATATCCTTTTAAATAAAAAAAGAATTTTCCAATTTGGTTTACAACTGATAAAATTAATAAGATAACAAACATAAAAAAGAAATACAACCGAATTAAGTACCGAGTTTTTTTTTTTAAGTCAGTTAAAAATAAACAATATTGCCTAATTAAGGAAATATAATGTTACTTATAACCCTCAGATATATTTAACAATACCAATGTGATTATATTTACCTTTAAAATAATGACGATTAGAATTGAAGCAAGTAATAAAAATATAAACTGTTTCAAAAACCATGCCGACCAATGAATCCATGTGGGCATACCCATTATCTTTAGAGTCTCCTGTAAATAATAAATGTTTAGCTATAACTAAAAAAATCCAAACTCTATTTCATCCCTATAAAGAATAAGTTTCTTATTCTATTACCTTCAGAACCTCTAGCTTCCCGTACCTTCTCTTTACCTTATTCTATTACCTTCAGAAACTCTAGCATACCGTACTTTTAAATCCTTACTAATATGTATTATAAATTTGAAAGTAAGTTTATTAGTGTGTTCGTTATCTCTTAGCGCCTTAATGGCTTAACTAATCGTTATGTAATTCGATAACTATATACGTCCAATATGAGATGGCGATGAAAATAGCTAGTTTTCATACCGTTTAATGAATATAACATAAAATAAAATAATATGTTATAGAGATGGTATATACAAACCTTTAACTGCAATTCTTTTTCGAGTGTAACAGCTCTAGTAATATTTATGGCCGTATAACTAAAACTTATTATTATAAACATTGGAAAAAGTGCTTGCATTAATTCTATTGCTAAATCTTCCACATATGCTGGATGAGGAAACCTTTGAATATTTACTTTAAATCTTCTCAAGTTCTCGCCTGATATTCTAGATATTAATTCCATTGATATAAAGTGTTGCAGTTGCACGAACATTTCATGCATATATCCTGTAAAAATATTTATAATTTTTAATTTAATAAAATTGTGATAAAATTTTTCACATCATATTTAAGTGTTAACAAATCTAAAGCTTGTTAATTGTTATTAAAAGTGAAAGAAAATAAACCTGTCTGCCTAATAGTAAGATTTTCTTACTGAACTAATTTGGAAGAGAGATAAGATAATTTATAGCTTATGAATGAATAAAAGATACCTATAAGTTATAATCTAATCGTGTTGTCACTGTGCACTCACGTGTATACAACTTTTAAGATAAAAAATACATTTTGACCCGTAATAAACTTTAATAAAAATTAAACTGATTTAGATAATAAAAAAAGATAAAACAAAATACACAAAAAGCAATAAGTAAACTAATTACATGTTAATAAATCTATTACCTATTAATTTAAATAAAATAATATTATAAACTACCTGCTACCTTTATCATCTGTTTTGAAATCGGTAAAATTTTAATTAAAATTTATTTCCCCCTTTTTACTCTAAAAAATAATACGTACGCAGTGAATTAAAAATTATTTCATATATACAATCATACTGCTATTATATCATAGCAGAACTGTTAGTTTACAAATTAATAGTTTTAGTATAAATGAACGGTTTATTTAATTTTGTAAAGAGAATAGTTAAGTTGTATTCTTATTTGTTCATTAAATTGTCCATATTTTCTATAGGGATCTTGAACCGAGAATGCTGCTAATCCTTAGCTGGGCAATAAACTCCAAAGTCCTTTTACTTTAAATAGAGCCATGACTGATTTAGACAGAAAATACTTTACTTAAGACCAAGTTTATGTTCTTTGTAACTTAAAACCAAACAAATGACAACCGCATAATGAAAAGCATTGCACGAAATTAAACGATTAAAACTATTGTAAATACTAGACTACACAATAATGGAAATAAATAGCCAGGCCATAACATTACACCAATATATCACCAAGACAGATGATAATTACCTTCTTATTAAACTTTTTAGGTGATAATACTATCAAACAACGTTAAACTCATTCGCCAATACAGTATTATCAAATCATGACGCATATGTTTTATTAATCGGTACAGAGTCTTATGGTTTCCATCATCATCACAATAGCACGAAACTATGACTTCCTAACACAATAATTCAAATAATTAGAAAGAACCTAAGAAACGATCTATACATGCTTATAATATAGGAATTTCCCCTGACTCCTAACCGTTAAGGAGTCCTTCTATCATTAGATCTACTGAATAACTTAAGGAAGTATAAAGGTTATAGAACTAAAGGTCTTCACGTGCCTATAATATTTAATGAATTATTTCCTAACTCTTAACTATTTAAAAGTTGTGGCTTACACATGCAAATATGTGAATAAATTGAAAAGAAATAGAAAAAAAGTAAACACATCATACATGCCGTGATTGTCCACAATATTTCTTAGATTCCATCAACAGATCCTGACTTGGTGACAATGGAACAACCTCTAGAGTATACTCTTTCGAATAAAAAAGAATTTTTAAAATCGGTCCACAATTGACTATAAAAAAATATCAGTCGGACATAAAACCTCCTATTTTTTAATGACGGTTAAAAAGACAGCACACTCATGAAACGGGATGGGAATTTAAGTAAAGAGTTATGTTAAGTAAATGGTTATAGTGTTACCGTCAATATAATGTATAAACACAAATCATATATAAATAACAAAATTATTTATTTACCAGGATCGTTGCCGCCTACTGATGAAGACGATCTAGGTCCCGGTAATTCAAAAACAGGAAAAACCATATCTGTACGCCAACTGCTACTACCAAACAAATAAAATGAATATTGGCGCGGCCTCTCTGGGAATCTTAAGGAATACGTTATGTTGTTTGGTATTTCTGTTGCTCCTGCAAAAAAAATCTATAATTAGGTATGGATAAAAATTAAACCGTATCATACTATTTGATTATCAGCTAATCTATCACGATAAAATTATCTTAGACTAAAGCATAGAGGGAAATGTATTTCACTCTATGCTTTTCAACACGTAAACGAAACGTAAAGAGTAAGACTACTACAAGAATGCATTTGCGCAAGAGTGCAGTCTATAGACGATGGTTACCTCTTTCCATCAGGTGGGCCGTTATATTATTTGCCATTCTAAGTTGCATAAAAAAACATAAGGACTACAATAATACTGCAGTAGAATTAGACAAAAATTAAAAATTACTTATACCTATAGTATTTGCATGGCTGTGTTCAATTTGAAAGGTGGGATATGGCAGTGAATTTACGGGGTACAAAGGAATAACACTTTAGGCCTCAGGAATGGCAACGCATGGGAGGTATCATGGGCGAAACAGTATACTCTGTTATGTCCATGGTACTGCTCATTTCTATAGGTAACGGTTACCACATTCCATCAGGTGGGCGGTCAGCTTGTTTTAAATTCTAAATTGCATAAAAAAAGTCCATTACGGTAATACTTAATAAAACCAAGTTTTGTTCAAATATTATTATTTAACTCCGTAAATGTAAAGAAAGAAATCAAAACATTCATCAATTAATTGATATTTATTTGTACTACTATTGGACATCTGTGGGCTGTCTTATGGTTGGGTCAATTATTCGTTTATTTACAATTACAAATATATATACTATATTTAAGTGTAGGTATACGCACCATTTAACGAATCACTAAATTCTACAGCAGCTAGCACTCTCCGAGTATATACTTCGTCAGCATAAATCCCTCTAAGTTCAGCGCTACTATTATAAGCTTCAATTCGTACTAACGATTTCAGAAATTCATGGATAGAAGTTAAATTCAGGTTTATTAAATTTACTGGAATATCTGACGGAACTGTTTTATCCGTTAATCTGTCCAATATAATTTTTATCAGATCTACTACATTATTTACGAAGAAATTCAGTGTAGCACTTCTTACGACATCTTCCAACACGTCACTCGCTGGTGAATAAGCTACTGATATTCTAGTTAAATTCATGCCAATCCTAAAAATCATGGGTTAAATATTAAACAAAACAAATTACAAATCCTTTGTGAAGGAATAATTAAGGAACTTCTAAAGGTATTCTTCGATTGTATATTTTGTCACTTGTATCTACCCATGTTAGTTCCAGAGATACTAATTTTGCCACAACAGGAAGTCTCTTTTTTATCATCAATACAAAACTACTTAATATACCTAGACATAAAAATTAAATATACTTACAAAATTCCACGAGATGAACTAGTGAAAGAGTCCACAGGTACGGGTTCGAATTCTTTTAATGCAACATTCCGAGGTTCAATTTGCCAACGTAGAAGGAGAATAAGAGACATGGTAACAACTGGTAGTAACAATTCAGCTGCAGTTTGCAAGGGGTGTCTCCACTGCTGCAGAAAGTTCTTCCACATCAACAGCCGGAATTTCACCCATGCATTTGCTTCTCGTTTCCGTTTCATGTTGATTATTTTATATGTAGGTACCTATATAAAAATGTTTATTAACCTAGATTTAGGTAACTGTAATTAATTCTACATTAGATTGAATGAGAAAACTTGCAAGATAAATTGCAGCCAAATTAACAATATACCTAATATATTGAAAAAATCCAAAATTATTATGTAAGAAATTTATAAGAACTGAACAAAACTGAACAAAATTGCATTTATTTTAGTTTTTCGTGTATATACTTTTACTGAATTATCGATTATTCTAACCACCCAACTTTGAATGCAGTCCAACGGAAGGAGCTGGTACTGTAGCGTTCTTGCCTATAGGTGAGAACAGTATTCCATATATGGTCTGACTTGAGCTTTATACAATTTCGAGCGGTGTTCTCGCGTGAAATACCGTCTCACTCTATTGAGTACTCCTAACTTTTTGGAGGCCATCTTAGCCTTTTCCCCCAGATCGCAAAACTGGACGTCATTGGATATATCAACGCCAATGATACGTAGACTCGACGTATTATCAAGGAAAGTGCCCTGAAATTGAGGAGATACAACAAACGGCGTCTTTTTTGCGGTGAACCCATAGACTTATGTCTGCTCGTATATTATAGACTCGTATATATTATATAGACAGCTAATTACAACTCAGAATCAACCCTACTACGTTAAATTTATATGTGGAAAATATTTAGTACGAATTAGTAGAGTGAAAAAGGGATAGATACCTCACGTTATATTATATAATTGGTTTTTATATTCTGTATATGCGTGTTAATCAAAAATTCAAAAATAAAACATAACTAAGAATTTACAGTCATGATGACTTTCTTAAACCATACGATGACACGCTTTCATATACGGAACTTATAATCTATAGACCTGTTATCAAGTTGCTAATAACGTAGATAGTCTAATAAGTACTTAAAATTAATAAGTATTTGAAAATCATCTTTAGGTTTATTTCATTATTTTATTTTTATTTTGGATAACCATTTAGGATGTATAACGATTTATATAGCAAACGGCAACTATTTTTAAAATAACAGTCGTTTTTTCATGATATAGATCTGTCTACATGTTTCAAGATTTCCGATTACTAATAGACCTACCTAATTAAAAAAGAATCTACCTATATATATATATATATATATATATATATATATATATATATATATATATATATATATATATAATACTGTTATATGTCTAATATTGAAAATAGAAATAGATACAATTTTACGTTTATCTTTATAACCACCTAGGTATATAGGTAACTTACCTGCACAGTACCTAGATACCGAATAGATAATTGCTACATACAAAATTTCAACGGAAATAGAGACAACATTTTTCAAGGAAAATTAAGCCGCTTTACCTTGCTAGATATGTATAAGTAATGTGACTCAATCACACGCAACAGACAATATTCATAAACATTGACAATTTTTTATCAGATATAGCTTACAATAACATACAAACTGTAATGGACTTATATTCTTTAAAGTGGACAAATTTCATAAGGCAATGCGAGCAAAGAAACGCTGTAAACTCAATGCTAATAATCCAGTTTATATATTTCTTAAAATCAACAAGAAGCTACTGTCTCATCTTAGGAAAGTGTTATCCACTAATCATTTCCTATCTTACTGCACTATGTAGCCTAAAAAAGATCACTTTCAGAGACAAGCCCACGTATAGAAATAAAAAAAAAAAGAATGTCCAGATGGAAACTATACAAAACTCGTCTCCTTGAGTATCTTTGTCCCATTCGTATTCAGCCGTGAACCAATTGTGTTTGCATGGCTGTATTTTGGTTTGAAGAGTGGGCATATAAGGATGAAATTGCAGAGCAACAAGGCATAACACTTTAATTCTCAAAAATGGCAACGCATGAAGGGCATCATGGGCAACACAGTATACTCAATTATGTCCATGGTACTGTTCATGTCTATAGGCAGCGGTTATCACTTTCTATCAAATGGGCCGTCAGCTTATTTGCCATTCTATGTTGCATAAAAAGTGATTACCGCGGCGGGTAAAAGAAATTGTTACAGGCTACCATTGCTAGCAATATATCCTCTCAGGTCGACCTCCTCGCTGTTCCTCCTGGAAGTAATCATCATGCTTACGAGAAAATGAGATCGCAGTTCTTCCCATACAAACATATTTCCCTATTTGCTCCCTGAATCCACACTAGTATGAAATTTTTTCATCACAATTTATGTCAATACCTGTCATGCCCCTATCTCTTTTTTTTTTTCAAATAATAATAAATAATAAAAAATTTCAAATATTATGAAATTTTATAAATTTTTATGGCTGCAACGAAAAATCTACTAAACAAATTTTAATGAATATAAAAAAAAATATGTTTATGTATATTAAGTATATAAATGGATACATACGACATTTAATCGAATTACTTACATACAATTTCCAAAAATATTAAATCGTAATGAAACTAAATACACTACACTAACAGTTTCCAGCGAATTACTAAGTGTACTGCCTATTCGTAAATTATTATCAACAGTATTATAATAATAATGGCTATCAGCTTGATATAGATAACAAATATACTTAGTTATTTGGAATGATAAAGCCACAATGCTAATCAGCACTGGGGAATTGAAGAGTTATTGATTTTTATGGTTTTTGCTTCCAGCAAGGAGCGTCCTATTAGGTACCTATGAACGCAAAGAGTATAAGTAGTAGTAATGTTATTTAGATAGATAATAATTAAAAAAAACACTAGACGTTAGTAGAAAGTTGTCTGCATTGCGTATTATATCTTTGATATTTAGATAAGTATATAGGTTTTCTACCTCTATAGACCCAGACATTGCAACGCATACCATACCTATTCAAAAAGACAGTATATTCTATGATATCCATGATATGTAATTTGATACTCGTATATAAGTATCGAACGAACTCTATGGATAGGTGTTCAGCTAATTAATCATTTCAAGCGGGTAGGTTTGAAAAAGGAATTTTAGCTAAATTATCAAATAAATGCAGCTATGCCTGCTTCGCTACAACTATGCAATTGGCTGTATCGTTTTGAAGAGATATGGCAGTGAAATGATGGAGTGTATATGGAATCATAACACCATAGTTCTCAGGAATAGCAACGGGTACTAGGTTCAATGAGCTTCACGGAGTATTCTGTCGCTCGTGCTGACGGCAGCTCGCACCTCCACCTAAGGTGCCGTTCCTGCCTATAGCTGACCCTTACCTCTAGGAGGGAGAGATTATTAGTAATGTGGACTATTAGTCCCATTTTTAGCAATATACCCTCTCAGGTCGACTTCCCCGCGGGCCTCCTGTAAACCATCGTACCTAATTCCAGGCGTATTCATCACGATAGACTAACTGAGCGTGTACCATCTGCGCAAGCGGGGTAACCATTTCATTATCACCTATTACAAAAAAAGAGATTTACATCTTGAGGACAAGGGTTTGTTAGTAATGCAGTATACCAATCCCATTGCTAACAATATATCCTATCAGATCGACCTCCACGTAGTCGCCCCTAGAAAACATCGTGTTGAATTCCAGATGCATTCATCACGATGGGCTAACTAATCTGCCTTTTCATTCTCATCTATCATTTTCATGCATTTAGTTGCGCAGGCGGAGCACACTCCATTGTCGTCTATTAAAAAAAATCCTTATCGTTTCCCATCCGATAGAGCATCAATGTCCTTGCTTTCAAGTCGAATACTAATAATATAAAAGGAGTTAGTGCAACGTGCACAAAAAAGGGCTCCTAGTCTGAGCAGCCTCGCACTCTATGCAGCCAGATGGCGGTTTTTCGCCTTTTTGTCTATCTCAGATAGGCATGGGTAATATCCGTACCGCAACACCTATATATTGGATTCCTTCGAAAATTGATGACGGAAAAAAAGTCATCACGCATTTTGATATCGCCTATATCAGTGCTTTATTTCAATATATATTAGATAATTATCTCCGTCAACTCAATGAGACAAGTAACTCCATCAGTTGTAACCCAATTTAGAAAATTATTTTTTATCTGCAAAAATATACTTACCGACTATTCCTGTAGTCCTATTTTATCAAAATCGGTTGAGTAGTTTTGAAATAAAAATAGCTTTAACACTGTTCATGTGTTTACAAACACAATTGAAGTTGTTTTTGTAAGGAATAATCTTAAAATATTTACAGGCACATTATAGTATATATAAATTCTACTTATATAAAAGCGATTTTTTTTTTCAATGGATGATAATGGAATGTTGGGTGAAAATGGAATAGTAGGCCCGCCTGTGCTAACGTTATATGCTGGCGAGGTACCAACCATTCATAATGGGCGAGGATGAAAACAGGTCAGTTAGACCATCGTGACAAATTTCAAAAATTTACCGCGATGGTTTCCAGAGGTACCGCGTGCCTGTCTACCTAATGCGGTGTATGAAGCTGTAGACCCTGTACTAATAGTCCATTTCCATCCTGATAATAGAATGGGAACCCCGCTTACACTGTTGGTACACATTAACAGGGCACCGGTGAATATATGTCAGAATGGAAGCAAACCAGTTTGACGAACTGTAATAACCACAATGGTTTCCTAGGGGAGTTGTGTGGAAATACACTTGATAAAAGAATATATAGCTAGCAATGAGATTGTTAGTTACAAAAACGATTAGTCACTATAATTCGTTATTATAATACATTTGCGCCTTTTATTTTCTGGGATATATAGACACCGGAGATCAGCACCTGCTTCTTTTTTCTTTGCAATTCAAACATCTGCTCATATGTAGACTACTAGAATATACTAGGTTTCTAAAATATCAATTAAATTAATTTTTGTTTAAAAAGACACAACAAAGATTTCTTTATCTTAATTTTATTAAATATCTATTAGCTAATTACATATAATAAATCAACATGTTCAACTATTGCCATCTATAATGTGCATATGCTCTGTTGGCCTCACACTGGCGATGCAAATCCTGTTTACGCTTAACAACTTTGCCTGTGTTACTTGCCGCATCTAGCAGTTCCCTTGCAAATTGCTCAGGGAAATGGATAGTTCTATCTTTTTCATTTGTTGCTTCTAATAGCCATTTAATTGCTAGAAATAAAGATCTTTTTTCTGTAATGGGACCTGGAACCTGAAACAGATTTAAAATGCAATAATTATAATTACACCAATGCATTTTAATAAAGTGAAATATTGTTCATTTAACTTTATAATAATTTATACATTAATTTTTTAACTCACAGAATGAAGAAACTATTAGCTAGAGGTTTAGAACTCATGTTTTAAGATATTTGTAATGTAGCATCAAAATTTTAACTTTTAAATATTTTATTACATATCTTTAAGGATTAATTGTAACAAATAACTTTTACACCATGTAGTACAGTTAATCAATGTAAATACCTATATCAATACCTAAAATACATAAACCAAATGCTAATAATATATAAGTCAAATAACACTGAAGTAATATGGATTCAATGCAGGAGTTCAACACAGAATGGAACCCTATCAAGTGCAAAAATAAATAAAAGAACCAACAAATGTGCCAGATAATATAAAAGAAATAAGTAAAATTAGGATCTTTCTCCTTTATAAAGTTGCAGACTAATAAACACCAACCTGATAAGTAATACCACCCCTCTTGATTGGTGATAATTGTAATAAAGGTTTTGAATTAGCTATGGCTCTATGCAACACTGTTTTAGGATCTAAAATTATTTTGGCTTTCTCCTCTGGAGAACTTGCTAGATGATATCGCTCAATTTGTTTCCTTTTAATATTTTCAAAAGCCTTTTCCACAAGTTCTCTAGCTAATTTCTTTTTGCCCATTTCCATTACATGGTTGATAACTTTGCTGTAAAATATAACAATAAATTATTACTTAATAAATTTGTTAAATGAACAGTTCAAATATTTTATTCATCTGGTATAATCTACATAAGTACACAAACTCTTGAGATAAATTCCAATAGATCAATAATCAACAATTGAAATGTTTCACACTCATAACACACAATTGTAATATTAGTGGACATAATGATACCATATTGTTCTGATAGATGCATATTAGTGTAACATGTCAATGCAACCTATTGCAAATGGATCCCAAATCTAATCTAATTCTTAATTGTTGTTTTATGAGTGCAGTACAAAATTGTCATTAGCAACAGGGTGTATCAATATTAGATTCAAGAGTAGACCTGCTGATCAACTCATATTACTTCTGACCAAAAACTTTACCGTCTACACATTCTAATAGTGTAATATTTTATATCATACTAGCCATCCAGTTTAGCTTTGCATGCAAAGATAGAATTTTGAAAATATATAATTCTATAAGTGAAAGAATTTTTAAATTGAACAATATTTGTGTTATCCATTACAAATAAACAATGAAATAATTTTTTTTATAATATTAATATAGACAATAAAAAAGCACAAACTATGTTACGATGGCATATAATTATCTAAACATTGACATAGATGTTAAAGAACAAGATATAGTTGTTTGGTAAAATTTGAAACTTTTAGAATACATATTTTAAACTATAAAGACATTTTTTTTTCGTTTATTATGTTATTTCAACATTAAACGAATATATATAAATGTAAATAGTAATAAAATTTCTCTTACTTGACAAGAGGATCATGGTACACCGAAGAAGTTTCATAGACTGCTGGAGGTCTTACAGGCACTGCAGCTAACTTCGACAGCTCTGAATTTTCAATTAATTTTGCTTGATCTTCTTTCCTAAATATAGGATTTTGAAAATAATCTGGAAAGCTTGTAGGTCTTCCTAAGAACCGTTTCTGTAACCGTGACCATGGACTGAAAATAATTTCAATTAGATAAACAATTAATGAATAAATTATGCTTCTAATAGAAAATAATTAGATGGCTGCTAAAGTAATGTCAAATTAATTTCGTACATTATTATTATATACTGATTAACTTTTTGATTATCATGCTACAAATAAACATATAGGTTAAAATAGTAAACACAAAATAGACATAAATCTTTGATTATCTGTACCTTCTAAGAAGCAACGGATTTTTTAAGACAGGTAAATAATGAGTTACATTACTCATTTTTATTAGAAACGCATTAATTCATATAATGTGGAAAATAAAAAAATATATATAATTATAATATGACAGTTTTAAAATTTTTATTTGACAGGACAGCTGAAGTCTGGAGTTACCAGATATAAATTTGGATTTTTACTCACACGTCAAATTTTTTCTCCAAATCGGTATGATTTTCTGGATCACAAAGTTATATCGTTTGTCATTACGTATAAAAAATACCTTCTGATTATTTTTCCTCTTCTTCTCTATTTATTATATACATTCAGTTATATCTTTTATTATAATTATGTAGCTTAGATACTTTATAATAAATAGAGTCCGTGTTACTTATTATGAAGATATTTAGGAAAAAAGAAGATTACGAATTGACCAAAGAAAAATAGACAACATTTTATTTAGATATACAATGACATCTTTCGTAAATAATAGTAAGTAACTAACTAGTAATAGAAAGGTAACTTTAGTTTCATAAACTAGTATGCTACAAAATAAAAAAATATTATTCTACAGAAATTGCAATTACGAAAACTATTACCCAAAATTTCCAAAATATATACCCAAATTTCTCTAAAAATTTCATTTTCATAAAATTTCGCGATTAGACCTAAAATTAAAAAAAAATACCAAATCTAACGACGCCGTTTAGGAAAGCAGATAACAGAATGAAGAGAGAGATAAAAACATTCTATTTATTTGATTTTGAAAACATAGATTATAACTAGTATGTAGTATGTTATCTAAGAACAAGGAATTTCATAGAAGGAATAATAAAATAAAAACTAAATCATATGGTTGCCTCTTTTTGAAAAAATGTTATACGGCCGTATAACCCTGCTAAATTCAAATACAACCTATTTGCAATAAGTTTCTAAAGTATACAAAAAGTTTCTACATAAACTGTAAATATACTATGAATTGAAAAAAATAGCAACTGATGGTAAATCTTTCGTCCTCTTTTTACTAATTATATTTGCATAAGAAGAAAGGCGGCAACCATATAATTTACAGTTTTTATTTTATCATTCCTTCTATGTAATTCTTTATTCTTAGTATGTTATAATAAGTACAAGAATTACTAAGATGATTATAAAATGAAATCTTGACAATTGACAAAAGGAAAAACATGAAGATCGAATCTGAAACACCAATACTATAAATGTAACTCTAATATTAAAATTACAATTTCATGATAGTGGAATCTTTATTATAAGGATTAATAGAAACTAGTTTGATGATTAATACAATATAATTAAAATATTAGGTTAAGAGATAGAAATAGAGAAATAATTCCTCAGAATCGGTCTCATTAATGTATGCCCAAATCGACTCAACCTTTGACGATGCACATATGCATTGATTTTACTAAAACGACAAATGTCAATTATAAAAATGATATGTCATTCGAAAGCTGAAGAATTATGCTCTCATTTAACATCAATATCCTAAAAAAACTTAAGCGCTGATTTAATGACGCATTTTAATTGGACCTCAGGGAAAATTTGCTCCATAAGGTATCCAAGAGTTGCGCTACCTGCCCCCGCTATAAAACCCGCCCACACCCGGTTTACCTTATCAGTCGCTTATCACAAGTTGACCGGTACACATCTCAGTAAATTCCTTGTTTTCGTGAAACCATGGAAACCACACCAGAAGAAGCCGCTCAAGTTGTTGCCTTGTTGCAACAAGGGTTAAGCCGGCGAGCAGCGCTGCCCAGCTCTACTTGAGCCAGTCTGCTATATCCCGAGTATACAAACGGTTCCAAGAGACAGGTGCCCTTAATTCAAGACCAAGAACGAGCCGCCACCGGAGCTCTTCAGAGAGAGATGACCGCATTATTGTCTCAACCTCGCTGCCTCGCTTACGGGTGTTGATGTGCAGCAGGAACTGAGACGTGTACGAGGGGTGCCTGTAAGCGAATGGACGGTGAGAAGACGTTTAAAGGAAGCCAACTTGACGCCAAAATGGCCTGCGACGTGCCCCAAATTGACTGCAGGCCACCGACAAGCGCGCTTTCAATTTGCACACCCGACTTGGGGTAGCCGGGTGATATCGCCTATGGGTACTAGACTCCTCCGTGACGCCGATAGTCACGGTTACGACGTGTTGGGCCCTTTACACCCAACACACATTCCTACCAACCGTCGACAATATCCAGACGTTCTGGACATAGCACTCGTGCAGCGAGTTTTTTTTTTTCAATATGGAGGTGTTGTATGACATGGACACACAACACCTCCCAGTTCTAGCCACGCTTACCTAGGTGCGGTCACCACATCGCACAAGTCGGAGCGGCGGAGTACAAACTGGACGGCTTATCGTTCAAGCCTCCAGCACATACCCCTCGACGGCGACTTTACCACGCCCGAGGGAATAGAGGCCGCGCCTCTATCGCTATACAAGAGCGCATACAAAGCGCCCTAGAGGCGGCCACCACCACCGTTCACTCGGCGGCTCGTCGTCGAGTCGAATTGCCGGCACATTTGAGCGATAAGTTGTCGCGCAAACGCAAACTCCGCCGCCTATGGGCCCGCACCCGTTGTCCACGGGTCAAGCGTGAGCTTAACTGTCTCGCTGCGGAGCTGTCGGAGGGAGTCCGCGACTGGCGTGGCTCCTCTAGGGAGGGTGTAATCTCCCGCGAGGGCGAACACGACGACTCTCTGTACGCCCTAAACCGACAGCTCACTAAGGCACGACCCCCGTCTGCCCGTTATTCGATGAAACGGGCAGGCGTTGTTACGCAAAATTGACCGGGCAGAAATCCTGGCCAGCCACCTGGAGGGGCAGTTTACTGCCAATCCGACTGCCGCCGACGCACATAGCACTGTCGTCGAGCACCACGAGCGCGTTGTACGTCGCGTAGGCGAGTTCCATACCGCTCCGCCGCCGGACTTAACGGCGGTTAAATTCGTTTCGCCCGGCGAGGTAAGGCGCATCATCGAGCGCCTACCTAGGCGCAAGGCGCCCGGAGCGGATAAAATTCCCACACCGGCACTCGCCCAGCTGCCCCGTAGAGCATTGGTGTTCATTACCAAGCTCTACAACGGCTTTACTCCGCACCGGCCACTTTCCTACTAATTGGAAAATGGCCGAGTAATCGCCCTCCCGAAAGCCGGGAAAGATAAACGCTTCCCGGCCAGCTACCGGCCGATAACACTTCTCCCGCACGTAGCGAAGACCTTTGAGCGCGCGCTGCTCCGCCGGCTGTACCCGTCCGTCACTCCACGGGATGAGCAGTTCGGCTTTAGGGGCGGCCACTCAACAACGCTCCAACTTGCGCGTGTGCTGCATCATTTGGCCGTCGAACATAACCGCGGTCGATACGCCGTCGGTGTTTTTCTCGATGTCGAGAAAGCGTTCGACCGCGTGTGGCACGACGGCCTAGTATACAAGTTATTGGTGCACACAAGCACACCGCAAGCCTACGTGCGGGTAATAGAAATTTCCTACGCGGCCGGAGCTTTTATGTCACGGTCGAGGGCGTGGACTCAGCAGTCCACCCTATTGCCGCCGGAGTGCCGCAGGGCAGCTGTATTTCACCAGCATTGTACGCGACGTACACGGACGACATCCCCACCTTGGGGGATGAGCTCCTTGAGGGAGAGCGTGATGTCGTCCTCGCTCTATTTGCCGACGACAGTGCGTATTTCACGTCGTCGACCAACGCCGACATCGCTGCACGTAGAATGCAGCGACTGTTGGACCTCTTGCCTGTGTGGCTAGACAAGTGGCGTATCGCCGTCAATGTGGGGAAGACGGTGGCGCTGCTAACTCGTAGCCGCACACGTTACCCGCCGCCTCTCCATCTCCGTGGGTTACCCATATCATGGGAGCACTCAGTGCGCTACCTAGGGGTAGAGATCGACCGGTCGCTGCGAATGACAGCACAGGTAAACCGCGCGGTCACACAGACTAAGACGGCGCGGGCCATGCTGCGGCCGGTCCTGCATTCCAATCTCCCGCTGCGAACGAAGTTAGGGATATATAAAACCTATATTCGTTCGCAGCTGACTTATGCCTCCCCCGCGTGGTACGCACTGTGTTCTGACTCACAGAGGCGGCGCATGCAGGTGCAACAGAACTGCGTTCTGCGACTGTGCGCAGGCGCGGGTCGTTACGTTCGTAATGACGTAATTGCCCGAGATCTCGCGGTCCCCACTGTGGAAGAGTTTGTCCGCCGGCTGGCACGCACAATGTTCAGCCGGGCGGACAGCAGTCACCACCCACATCTGAGGGACCTCGCACCACTTCATCGCGCGCGCCCACCGGACGCGACAATAACTGCCGCGAGATCTCCTGCGCACAGCAGGCACCCCGCAGGGCGACGGTTAATACCGGCCCTGCACGGTCGACGACATACATTTTCATATTTCCCCGCTCACTTTTTCCATTTTACTTCCATTTTTATATTTTCCCTAGCCGGCGCTATTCACAATAGTGTCGGCTCAGCCCAACGGGCTGAAATGTATTGACGCACAGGCGGCAGCCTGTGCAGACCGCTCGGGCAAAGGGTACACACCCGAGGCCCGCACCTGCAACCCTGTAAAGGGCTGCGGATGAACCCTTATTATATTTCAATTTGCTCAAGAGTAGCTCAATTGGAGCGTTGCACATTGGCAGTCGGTACTATTTACTGATGAGTGCAAAATGTGTCTGCATGGCAGTGACGGGAGAGGTCGAGTTTACAGGCGTCCGGGGGAACGATTTTCCCAATGCTGTTTTGCTGAAACAGTGGCGTATTGCGGCGGTTCCTGCATGATGTGGGCTGGTACTTCCTTAGAGGGAAAAACTGAGCTTCTTTTCGTGCCTGGGGGCGGCCGAGGAGGCGGGCTAACAGCTGATCGGTACATCACCGACATCCTACTCGATCATGTTGTACCCTAGGCAGGGTTTGTCGGCGAAGACTTCATGTTATTGCACGACAATGCCCGCTGTCACTTGGTAGTTTCTTGAAGAGGTCAAATTGCGCACGATGGACTGGCCTGCGCTCAGCCTGGGTATAAATCTAATCGAGTACTTATGGGACAAGCTTAAAAGAAGAGTTCGGGCCAGGAATCCAATCCCTTCAAGCGTAGACGAGCTAAAGGCAGCATTGTTACAGGAGTAAAATGGCATTCCTCAAGAAAATATCAAAAATTGATAAGATCAATGAAAAACAGACTGCAGGCTGTAATAAAGGCTAGAGGGGGCAATACGAAGTATTGATTTCATAATTTTTTATTTTAATTTTTACTATTTTTTGTTTAATTTCCAAAATACAGGACGTAGGCTCTTTTCCTAAATTCCCATTTTTCCTACTCTTATGTTCAGACATCACTTACTTAAGAAATAATTCATGGATTTCAATGATAATGATATCAAATTAAAGCTGACATCTTAAGCTTTTGAAAGCCTTATCATTTTTATAATTGACATTTATCGTTTTAGTACAATCAATGCATGTGTGCGTCGTCAAGTGACGAGTCGATTTGGTTGCTCGCGAGTGTAGTTGACCGTTTACAATACCATAAGAGTTAAAACTATCTCGGTTTAAACAAATGTTGCCTTTGAATTAATCTCATTGTTCAAAACAAAATATGATCAATGTAATGTCAATGTCAGTAGGTACTTATATTCATAATTTTGGTTATTTTAAAATTGATTTGATATAATTGCTAACTAAATTATTTATAAATGCGACTATAAAAATGTCATCAATTATTAAATTTGAGCTAAAGGAATTGCGAAAACTTGGAAGTGACAAAAATTCATGCGTTATCGAAAAAAAAGTTACTCAAAATCAAGCTTTGGAGCCTTGGTGCCTTGGGAGTCTAAAAGAGTCTATTAAAAATTTACTTGATTACAAAATTGGAAAATACGACAAAGAGTAAGTACCTAAAACCTCATTTTTTAACATTTGTATACAAAATTTGGTGTAACCTAACACTGTACAGCTTATATATAGCACTTAATCATTACTGAAATTAAAATGCCACGCTGTTTTACCTGCAAAATTGGTAGGTAGAGTTCTTTTAAGTAGTATAAACTACCAGCATTAAAAAAACTTTGGAATCCTTGGAGTTTAAAAACATAGAAACTGGATCATATAGGTATAGCCTGTAATAGTTAAAAATGATTAATTACTTCAGATATGCTTAATAACCCTTAATTATCTCTAAGTCTCAACTAACTCGTCAACTATTTTAAACTTCAAAAAACTAAAATACTTTTATACATATAGAGTAATTTCTCTTCATATAAGGGTACCTACTGACCTATCTTTTGTATTAAAAAGCTATGTTGCATATAACTCTTATATTGTTTTTCAGGTTTAATGGGGTTTTATTAAGTTATAAAAATTTGAAGATTCTACGAAATGTTGGATCTATAAGAAATGATAATGCTGATATTAATTTTCAAGTGCAAGCTGACTATTTTATTTTTCGCCCTCATGTTGGAGCTACTTTAAAAGGAATTGTTAATAAAAAGAGTCCCACTCATTTAGGAATTCTTGTGCACAGGTATAACAACATTAATTGATTATTATCTGTTCCACTTCATAATGTATGATCAATGTTATGCACACATAATTTCATTTATGAAAATGCTAGCTTTTATTCCTAACTTTGTCCACATGATTAGAATATGTTTACTGACCACAATAAAAAGTAGTCTGTAGCCTTTTCCGTCTCATATAGATAAGTGTATACCAAATTTCATAGTGATTGGTTAAACTTTAAGTTAACACAAACAAACACACTTTCACATCTGTAATACTAATGTATATGTATTAAAATAAGGACATAAATATTCACAAAAATGGTAAAGAATCCTTTATTCTATATTACATTAAAATTATCTGATATTTCTCTTTATTATAATATATTGCTTAGTGCTTAAAGTGCCTTGTGACAAAGGCTCCCTTCAACTCTTTTCAATAATTTCTATCCTGTAATTCCTGATGAATTCATTATGATGGGCTAACTGGCCTGTTTTCATTCTCATCTATCACCCCTCACTGCTGCTCTGCCAGCTTATCCCGTTAGCACAGGCAGGATTACCATTCCATTTTCACACATCAAAAAAAAATACCCTGTCAGATGGGAAAGGAATTGTTAGTAGTGGAGATTAAAAATCCCATTGCTAGCAATATACCCAACCAAGTCCACCTCCTTGTGTTTCCCCCTGGAAACTATCATGGTTAATTCCTGATAAATTCATTATGATGGGCTAACTGACCTGTTTTCATTCTCATTTATCACCCTTCTTTGGTGCTCCGCCATCATATCCCGTTAGTGCAAGCGGGGTTACAATTAATTTCCACCCATTAAAAAAATACCCTGTCAAATCTATCTCTATGCGGTCCCCCTGGAAACCATCACGTTGAATTCCAGGTGTATTCATCATGATAGGCTAACTGACCTGCCTTTTCATTGTCAGCTATCATCCTTCACTGGTACCCCACCAGCATATACCATTAATGCAGGCAGGGTTATCATTCCATTATCATCCATTGAAAAAAAACACGCTGTTTGTTTTAGCTCATTTTCCCAGTGTCTCTTCGGATGTCTTTTCCTTTTAATAATCCATGGGTACTAAACTGAGGCCCGTGAACTCTACTTGTTTATACTGTTCTACAATATGTGGCCTGTTCACCGCTATTTCTGTGGAACTCTTCTCAGGAGGATGTCAGTCAGTTCAGTTCTGGTCCTTATATCTTCACTTCTGACTTGATTTTTTCTTTTTATTCTGAACATGGTTTTTATGGTATTCTTTATTCAAAACCCATGTTTTGCAGCAATAAGTCAGGCAGGCAAAAATGTATGTATTTAATGTTTTTGTTTTAATGTATAGTTTTAGATTCCTGCTCTTTATAATTTCCTTTAAATATCAGTATCTTTTCCATCCATTGGCAATATGTTTGTTAATTTCTTTGTCTGTCTGAACCTTAAAGTAAATTATAAAAAGACATAGTCAGTCACACACTCTAAACACAAATATAGCATACAAGTTAGTAAAAATTTTTCTTTCCTTTGCATTCATTAATAGTTCTACTATCTAACTTTCTTGTATCATTTGAATCATTGTTTTAAAATTCTTTGAATTCTCATTGAAGAAGACAATGTTCTCTGCAAAACGCACATAAGAAAGATTTAATACTTCATGTTAAGTCCTAACCCTTCCCTTATCTCGTATTAGGAGAGGCATTTGTATACCCTCAAATAATAACTACAAATTGAGGGTATACTCTCTCTGCTGGTCTCTGCCAAAATGGGTAATATGAAAACAAGGAAATAAGGCAAAATACTCCTTCAAAACAATTTGTTTACAGAGTATTCAATGTAGTCATACCCAGACCGACAGAAGAACCAGGCAATAAGTGGATAGGAGCATCTGTTCAAGAAGGTCAAGAGATCGTATTTCGAATAGTTGTTTTAGATCTCTATGGAGCTTTACCTTATATCAGAGGAGAATTAGTAGAAAGGTAACATATTAATAAGACATTTAGAATAGAGTAACATACAGTAGGCATTTTATATTACACCTAGGGCCACCAAATATGAGACAGTGCTGAAAAAAAACATTTTCCATAGTATGTGTTCATTTATTTATATCTATGCTTTTTCCCATATTAAAACTAAAGTAAAACAAATAAGGCGAAAAAAGTAAAGTTTACCTAAATGATCACATTAATTGCCATCACTTATAAAGCATAAAACATGCAGTGTGAAAGTCTAAAAGTTAATATAATTAAAATTTGTAGTACATTGCTTTAATTGAATATTGATGGACAAGATAGTAGAAGTGGGAAAGGCAGTAATATAGATACTGATGAATATCTTCTATCTTAGTAATAGTATGACTATTACGTAAGAAAATTAATTCTAGATACTACTGGCTTGGCATTATTTTTTTTTTTAATCTACTCTTCAATAATCTTGTGAACCCACTAAATTAATTTTATTTCAGGTCAATACAATTAGGACCTAATGGAGATGATGAAGAATATGAACCAAAACCAGCTCAACCAATCAATGTGTCCCATGTCAATTTTGATAAAACGAAACCATACCACCAGAAGCAAATTGGTGATGGAATAACACAATCTTCTAAAAGTATTCAAAAAAGTAGTAGTAAAATTGTTAGCCTTAGTAAACAACAAATAAAAATTAGCTCACTTTCTTCAGAAAATTCCACGAAACAGACAAATAGCAAACTCTGTCCAGAAAAATCAAAGAAAGTTAATAGTGATATCAGTATCACAGAGAAGAGCAAGACAAAAAGGCAAAGCAAAACTTTAGAGTCAGATATAAAACAGACTGAATCATACTCAAAACCATCCAAAAAACACAAAAAAGATATTTAGTAATTGCTTTATTATATTTATATTAAAAATATAATTTCAGATCATTTTTAAATATACATTATTAAGTACCTGGCATTTTTTTTTAATGGAATGAAGATGGATTACTAATGATGCGAGGCTATGCACTATTAATCCTTAAAAGCCTGATTTTTTAAATCAAATTAATAAATATATCCTATATAGTGTAGCCTTTACTGTGTTTACTAATGGGGAAAAATAGTAAAAAAAAATCAAAACGATATTTTTATATATTTATTTTGAAAAAACATTTGTTAACATGTAAACAGCCAAATATTAAAATAAAAACTATTGTAGGCCCCAATGCGATTTATAATCCCGGTTTATACCTCTGCAGAATAATAGTTATATATATAGTACGTACACAATAAAAATATACATATTAGATATCCTTTTCCAAAAGAGTCAGTAAAGTTAAAGCTTTGTCCTACTTGAGATGGTAGTTTGAACCAAACACAGATAATAGTTTGAATTAAACCTGATAAATCTTCCGTCGCAGAACAATAGCTCTTTGAACAAATAAAAAACGAATCTGTTCGTTCGTTTTCGTTACTGCACACATAAGAAACAACGAGATGTCGAATGTTGCTATCTCTTTTTATCTCTTGCACACTAGCAAATATCCATTCATAAGATTTGTAATTCACTTGTCTAAGGGATGGTCATGTTTTCTTTTAGTAACTATTTGCTTGATGCTTTCTTTCTTTCTTAAATAAATTTACTCTTTGTTAGAGAATTAATAAAATTATACAGATTCTTGAGTATGACTAATTCAAAGATATTGGATCTTTATTCTTAGAATTGTTTGTGTTTACAATATATAACAATAACTGTTACCCGCGACTTCGTACGCGTGACCGAATATATACTCTAACCGGCATAAAAGTACCTTTTCCATCCCTTATACTTAAGCCGTATAGTACAAGTATACCAAACTTCAGAATAATTAGTTAAGGCGCATTAGCGCTTTTGTTACCTATTAAGGTAACAAACACACTTTCACATTTATACGTACGGATGTATGTATTTAGTTTGTGGTGTAATCATCATCTTCCGTCTTTATTCCAATTATGACGTCGGGGTAATATGATTTAATTCATATTACATAAAATTTTAGCGTTTGATTTTACGTCTAGCCATTTGCCTAACGTTAATTCACGGAAGGGAAGGGATTGTTAGTAATGCGGACTACCAGTCCCATTGCTAGCAATATATCCTGACTAACAGGTCAGTTGGCCCATCGTGATGAACACACCTGGAATTTAGTATGATGGTTTCCAGAGGAGACCACGTGGAAGATGACCTGACAAGGTGTATTGCTAGCAATAGTACTGGCAACCCACACTATTAACAATCCCTTCCACGCCTGCCCTCCTTTATATACGTTTTTTATACCATAGGTGGCAAACAAGCATACAGCCCACCTGATGATAAGCGGTTACCGCAGCCTATGAACGCCTGCAATACCAGAGGTATTACGCGCGCGTTACCGACCCTGAAGAAACCTTTTTACCCCCCTTTTGAAGAACCACATGCTGCAGTCTCTTGGGAAAACCTCGGCAGGGAGTTTATTCCATAATCTGAGTGTTCGTGGGAGAAAACATCTCGGAAACTGCGTTGTACGCGACCATTTAGGCTGTAGGGTATGAGAGTGAACTTCCTGTCGATGGCAAGCCGTACGATGATAAAAAGTGGCCGTAGGCATCATATTGAATAATTCCTCTGAGCACAATCCGTTGTACAAGCAGTAAAATACACAGAGTGAAGCAAAATCTCTCCTAAGACTTAAGGGTTCGATACCGCTTGTAAGCCTGGGATCATGGACAATTCTCATAGCTCGTCGTTGTACTGAGTCGAAGAATTCAAGCTGGTGTCTAGGTGCTCCCGCTCATAAGTGACAGCAATACTCCATATGGGGCCGGATTTGCAATTTGTAAAGCATTAATAGCTGATCCGGCGTGAAATAATGCTTCGCGTTGTTTGGAGTTAGTGGATGCACCTGCGTTCCCGGACTTCCTGAGCTGCTTAACTCAGAATGGTAATTTCGCAACATTATCAAATTAAAATATTAGATTAAGAAACAGATTTAGAGAAGTAGTGCCTGAACATCTATCCCATAATAAATAATCCTATAATAAATAACGTTTTGATCATTTAAAGTATCATAAGGAGTAATCTTTATCTGTGTCAACCACAAATAAATGAGAAAAAGGCAAGACAATTAATATGTTATCTCCATTGATCAATAAAGAATTACAAAACAATGCAGTATTCATTATGATCAGTTATGAATTAACTAAGGAATTTATAGATTTAGGGCTCCGTAATCGTTTACAAGCTTTTATATCAGTTTCAAGACACGATGGAGCAATCCCATTTTAGTCTTATAACATGTATTTGCACTAGGGAAAGTTACCTAGATAAATTCATTATTATATATGGCACAGAATTACTATGTTCCTTTTCCATGCACGTAAATAGCAACATTACTGAAAGTTAAAATATTTATTTTTGTAATTGGGTAATACTAATAGCTATCTGTCAAACTTTTACCGTCGTCGTGTGTTGTCGATAGTTCGTTGCAATACAATGCCTAAATCTAACGATACATTTTCATCGCATATTATGAAAACGTGACCGATTTCATGGTTTATAACTTCAAATGGATAATTTGGAAATCGTTACTTACACCAAAGAGTAGAAAAAACAATTTTACCCCCTACTTTTATCTAGACAAAAATGTCGAAGAATGGCGAAGTGACATCAAATCAAGGTAAAACCTCAGTCAATTGTATTTTCTTTAATCAAAAGTGTTTATGTATATATTGTATAATAAATAAGTGAAAGTGAGTAAGTGAAGTTTAATTGATATTTCAGGGCCCAGCAGACCTAGTATGCCAAGGCCAGACTTAAATTTATTCAATTCTGAAAAACGTAAAGTACTCGAGCTGCCGTTAGGAGGCCCATCGAGCGATGGTGCAGCTTTTATGCCATTCCCTCCGAATACCTCGACAGCACAGAGGCCTAGAGTACCATCACGTACTATTAGAGATGTTCTACCTGAAAATGCCAGGTTAGTTATAGAGCTGTATAATTATATAAAATTGTTCTTAATATGGTTTATAATTTATACTGTACATATTCATATGTGTTGATTTTCTTGGAGAAAATATGCAATTTATAGATGGCTATATAACATATTTTCAAAAAATTAACTATAGATGTGTATGTAAACAGTAATACCTTTTTAAAACATGTATAAATCAGAATAACAATCAATAAGAAACTTTTAAGTCTTTTTACTTATTAGAAACTGTCAAACAATATATAGGTATAATTATCATGACTAGAAGTTCTTATTAAGTTTTAAATAGAAGTTATATTCAGTTGTCATCTTTAGATAAAATATTTTAAACATTATCTATCCTTTAATTAAAACCTCCTTCTCTATATTATTTTTCTTCTAAAATTCTCTTTTTTGTTACATTTATTATTACATACTTTGTATGTGTCATATATATTAAAGTGAGTACTTTTATATTTTTAGTTAGTAATGGGGTCTAACAATCCACTTGCTAGTAATATACCCTATCAGGTCAACCTCTATGTGGTTCCCCCTGGAAACCATCATGATTAATTCTTGTGGATTTGTCACAATGTGCTAACTGACCTCCTTTCATCCTCACTTATCATCCTTCACTGGTGCCCTGCCAGTGTATACTGATACCGCAGGTGGGGGATACTATTTCCTTTTTACTCATTTAAAAAAAAAGTTAGTAGAACACATACCAACATGACTTAAACTGATTCAAGCTACACAGCATGTTTTATTTTGTAATATCATATATTTAGAATATATTAGTATGCATTTTATAGATTTTTTTTAATATAACTCTCAAATAATCAAAAAACGTCATTGTACTCATGTCTTTTACTTAACATGCCCATAATAGTCTCCATGTTTTTTTTTGATGGGTGAAAATGGAATGGTAACCCTGCCTGCGCCTTCGGGATAAGCTGCGGAGCAATGAAGGGTGATCGATGGGAATGAAAATAGACCACTTAGCCCATCATGATGAATTCATCAGGAATTAACCATAATAGTTTCCAGGGGTAACCGTGAGGAGGTCGACCTGGTTGACTAACATGTCGGTCAAGTTACTCCCTACTAACTAATACTAAAAATATATATATATAATGTGTGTTCAAAAAATAAGGTGACTTTTCAAAATCCATGAGCTGCATACATTTAAATTTTTTTTTTTTTTATGATGGTATACTCATCATGATAATATATTCATAGTTTCAACTATATAGCATTCTTTGTGAAAGGAAAAAAAGCTCAGAAATGTTTAGTGTGCTCAGCAATTTTTCGCTGTTGGCAAAAATAGATCAAAGTATTTGCATCTAAATTTTGTGTAAAACATGGAGTTAAGCACTCTAAAACATTTGAAATGTTGACAGTGACAATGATGAACCTCACTCTAGATGCCCTAGCACTTGTTTCTCAAGGGTAAGGTTGAGGGCTGGGGAGGGTGCCCCATTTGTTATTAAAGGGGGTTACAGTTTGTTGAAAGAAAATAAAACATTGAAATATTCATTAAACATAGCGATGTACGAACTTAGTAATCCAAGTCCTAATTAATATACCATTATAATTATATAATATTAATATTAGGTAATATTAATGTGCCAAGGGCCTATATCTATTGGTAAAGGTGTCCCTAACGAATAGACAAACCTAACTTTTAGACATTCTTTATGAGGCTGGCATAGTCACCCAGGTGTACTGAAGCATCTACAGAAATAAGAATAAAAAAAGCTACTAATTATTCTTCTGAGCAATTCATTTGGATTATTCGAATGATTTTCAAATCATTGGACTACTAATTTCATTTGATTACTAATTTTATTCACTATATGCTTCTATTAATAGCTAAAATCATTCTTAAGAAATTGTTAATGTATGAGTTGGCTCAAACATAGCTAAGTCAACTTGATTGCTGGATTGTACTTTTTTTGTGAATGATCTCTTGATTCAATGTATTATGCCAATGTATTTAGTAGAAATATTATAATTAGTAAAAATTTGTAAGTTGAGATATTTATAAGTAAATTAAGTAGTAAAGTTTTAGTAATTAATTAATATTATGTATATCAGAAATTAACGAATTGACTTTTTTTTGGTGGTTACTTGTAGTGGTACACCGGATAACCTATATTGCGGTAGTAGTATTATAGTAATGTATACAGGGAATAGACTTTTTCATTATTCTCATTGATTACTAATGAGTAAAACTATTAATTGAAACATTATTATAAATTTATAGTGACAGGGTTTCAAGACATTTTAGTGGCTTTTTTGTGGGTTGTGACATAAAAATGGTTGAGAAACAGTGCCCTAGCACATCAACAACTGTTCAAAAGTTTGTAGGAGTGAAGAAAACAATATTGGGGAATTGTCAAATCACCGTTATAGAAGTCCATGATATGGGCACCTCAGTTGGTTCATGCTATGTAATTTTTTCAGATTTTTAGGTATGAGACGAGTATCAACAAAGTTTGTTCTCAAAGTGCTTAGTTTTGTCTAGAAATACCTCATCCACCATATTTATCCCACTTAGCTTTTTCCTGTTGCCAATACTGAAGAGACCCATGAAAATACACAAATTTGCTATCATTAAAATTACATCCCTGGAAGAATTTAAGGCTATACCAAAAAGTTTTTATCAAAAATGCTTTGAATATTGGAAGAAGCATTGGTACAAGTATATTATATCTGAGAGGCATAAATCCCTCAAATATAATACACCTTATTTTAAAGGGGACAAAATTAATGTAAATGATAAATAAAAAGTTATGATAAAAATAAATAGTTACCTTAATTTTTCAACACACCTCATGTATATAATTTAGAAAAATATGTAATCTCTATGTTTTTATATGATAACATTATTTCCAGGGACAGATGTAGGATTTATCCATCCATGCAATCATCAGGTAAACTTCAACTATCTGCTACAGAAATATATGATTTTACAGCTGATGATTTGCAGGATTTGGGTGAAATTGGTAGAGGTGCATTTGGAGCAGTCAACAAAATGGTCCACAGAAAGTAAGTTTGTTATTTTCGTGGTGTAATATTTATGTTACAATTTTATCTATACTAATATAAAGTTAGAGTTTGTTTGTTTGTTTGAACGCACTAATCTCAGGAACTACTGGTTCAAATTGAAATTTTTTTTTTGTGTTGGATAGTCCATTTATCGAGGAAGGCTTTAGGCTATATAACATCACAATACGACCAATAGGAGCAAAAAATGTTGCAAAAATGGGAAAAATTATTCATATTTGAAGGCTTCTGTTGCGTGCACTGCATAAATGGTTCAAGTTACCCAAAAAATGTATGAAATAATTATTTCACATGTAAACAAAATTATCCTTGACATCACTTAATTATAACAGAAATTGATATGTACGGAGTCGCAGACAACAGCTAGTTATCTGTATAAAGAGTATTTTAAGTATACACATTTCAATGATTCTTTACAATTTTATAGAAAAGGCAACCTTTATTTTTTTATAGAAAAAATAAAGGTAAAAATATAGTAAATTTTTAACACATTGTAAATTTAAAATATTTTCTACATATTTATTTATACAATTTATATCTATACACCTGTTTTCAGAACTAATCGTGTTATGGCTGTGAAACGTATAAGGTCTACAGTGGATGAAAAAGAACAGAAGCAGTTACTAATGGACTTAGAAGTAGTAATGAAAAGTAATGATTGCCCATATATTGTAGAATTTTATGGGGCACTATTTAAAGAAGTAAGTATTCTAAGTTATTCTATTAATAAAACTTGATTATTTAATTTTAATTGTAAATAAATTTACATTAATATAATAATAAGATCTCTTTAAGACATAAGTCCACCCTTGCTCACTATATTTATAGATGTATTATCTATGTTATTTATAAGTGTAATAAAGAATATATATATAATGATTATTTCATTTTTTTAGGGTGATTGCTGGATTTGTATGGAGCTTATGGATACATCTTTAGACAAATTTTATAAATTCATATGTGAAAGAATGCAAACTCGGATACCTGAAAATATTATAGCTAAAATTACACTTGCAACAGTCAAAGCTTTAAATTATTTAAAAGAGAAACTAAAAATAATTCATAGGTAATTTATTTTATTTATTATCCAACATTTATCTTGCATGTGGGATACGTAACTTGATTATTATTGGATTACATTTACAATATTGATTTTTTTTTAATGAATTTCTTATTTTCAGGGATGTCAAACCATCAAACATACTTCTAGACAGAAGAGGTAACATAAAATTATGTGATTTCGGTATATCTGGAAAATTGGTGGATTCTATAGCCCGTACACGTGACGCTGGATGTAGACCATATATGGCAGTAAGTAAACATTAATTAATCAATCTATTAACAAATCTACTGCAAAGGAAATATCGATTATACTTGTTTGCTTTTGTTATCACCAACGGTACAGCACAGGGTACACAGTAACCTGTGTTAACTACTTATCACTCTAAAATTCCATTTTATTTTTTATTTTTGATAGGAATGTTCAGGCCTATTTGTAACTACTACTAAATGTATAAACATTTTATAATATTCGTGGACTATTGTGAAACTTTACTGGGTATTATATCATAAATTGATTGTTTATATTTATAGTTTTATTTTACTGAATTTTAATGGCCCTAGATGCAAAAATATATTTGACCGAATATATTTGAATATAAGTGTCCGACCGAACTTTCTGTTTCGGCCAGAAATTCTACTTTCGGCGTTAGTTTCGGTTTCGGCCAAAAATAAGCCGAAACTTTCGGGTGCGCCGAAACTTTGTATGTGTGTTTGTGTGTCTAACTGGAATTTTTTTTTGTTTACTTCCAAGAATAAATCATAATTTTAACATGTTTTTACACTTTATATGTATATATATGAAATATTTGTTACATACTTTAATTAGTTTTTATTATTACCCTTTAACTATTTGTGTGTTTGTGTATAAAATACACTAGATTTTAGTATAGAAGAGAAATTTGAAATATGTTTCAGTAAGTTTCGGTTTCGGCCGACTCTGAAACCTAGGCCGAAAGTTCGATTTCGGTTTCGGCTGTAAAACCTGTTTCGGTTGGACACTAATATTTGATATGTTATTATAACATACTAAAGATACCTTTATATTATAAAAAAAATATTTAATTTTCAGCCAGAACGTATAGATCCGGGGCGAGCACGAGGATACGACGTGCGGTCAGACGTATGGTCCCTGGGTATCACTCTGATGGAGGTGGCGACAGGCGCATTCCCCTACCCACGCTGGGGCTCCGTGTTCGAGCAACTCCAGCAAGTCGTACAGGGTGACCCGCCGCGCCTTACCAATAATAATAACACTTTCTCGAATAACTTTGTCGAGTTTGTTAATACTTGGTTAGTTGAGTTTTTTTATTATTTAAGATCGTTTATTGCTTATTTGGCTGGCAGGCATGATGCCTGTATTTTGTTCTGCATTTTATTGGTCAATAAGTATTAAACAATTTATAGTAAATAATTTATTTAATAATTAAATTTATACATACATACATACATATCTGTCACACCTGTCTCCCATTAGGGTAGGCAGAAACAATGGAACGCCAAATAAACTAAAATTTATAATAAATAAGAATATTCATCATCTCTGTTAACACTATAAAGGGCATTAAAAGAAGTAAAAAAAAAATAATAAATCCTTACTAGTATTATAATTGTAAAAGTTAGTTTGTATATTATCTTTTAGAGCTTTAACAGCTCGACCAATTATTGAACATGTGCACACTCGATTTTTCCTTACAAAATTAAATTGGGAAAAGTTATATCTGACACTTAACCAATGGTTTTCTTTAAGCTATATTTTAAAATTCCCCTACCTGTTTATGCTAACCTATCTTAGAATTTGTATCTTGAAAATTTTATTCATTACAACGCTCAGTGTCGCGACCGCTAATCTTCCACTGTGTAAAATATAGAAAATTTGCTCTTTGAGATAGTCACATAGTTTTAATCACATAACACTGTGAAAAAGCATGTGGCCTTCTATACTATAAACCAAAACATATTCCAACACATATCATGAAGATTCATATTAACGTAAACCTAACATAGTATCTTAGATATATTACTATCATTGGTGTATTTAAGATTATTTTCCAAGATGGCCTTGGAAAATAGACTTTGTGATGCTTTGTGTAGAATAGCCACAATAAATTTAAAAACTACTCAATAGATTTAAAAAATTCTTTCACTATATTATCAGTGAGCATGGCCATAGCTAGGGGGGGGGGGGGGCAAGATATGAAATGTCCTATCTTAAAATGAAAGGCCCAAGAAAATTTTATCTACCTGTGAGAAGCCGGACCCGATCGCTAGTTATGATATATTACAAATTGTTTATGCAAAGTAATAAAAACCGATCACTAAAGTTCGAGATATTAATGATTACATTTGTTACAGCCTCATTAAAGAAGAAACTCAACGTCCGAAATACAACAGACTATTGGAAAGTCCATTTATAAAAGGTATTGACCAAAGTAGAGTCGATGTGGCTGCATATGTGTGTGAAGTCCTTGATGCAATGGAACGTAATGGAGTCAGTCCATTCACCACAGACCAACCTGCGCAGGCGTGGGTGGATTAATCATTACTTCTTTTGTATAAATATTTAATTACACACTGTTTCTCTGTACATTACTGATTTAGTTAATGAATTAATGACACTAAAACGCACTTGACATGTACACTCGCGTTTTAAGGACCTATATATACTCATATCTGTTATTCTGTATAAAGATGTATAAGGAAAACGACACCATAGTCTTTACAGTTCTCTGTACATAAAACAGTTATTCCTGAACCATTACCATGAACTGTTAGCCATCACTCACTTAGTATTTTTCCAGTATAAGAAATAGACCTTACTTAACTCAAAAAACTAATGTCTATTTCTTATAATATGGCAAGATACTCATAATACCTGCACAGATGATAGAAAACAAGTGACTTATTTTAGTCCATTATAATGAAACTTTTAAAATTATATACACGTCAGTTTAATTACATGAGTGACAAAGTGCTATTTTGTTTTCTGCAATAAAAAAAAATTTTCTTTATTTGTGCAAGACTAAACTTTTATATACAGTTTGCAACAACTATTTATACAGTACTTAAAACTGTATATGTATATAGCGCTTTAAAAAAAGAATAAAAAGGTTTCTTCAGGGTCGGCAACTTGCAAGTAATGCCCCTGGTATTGCAGGCATTCATAAACTACAGTAACTGCTTACCATCAGGTGGGTCGTTTTCTTGTTTGCCATCTCAGTGGTAAAAAAATGCTAATACATATACTGTAAGATTGGACCTATGTGGCTCTAGCACATTACCTCTTACCTGTATATATAAAATATCTTTATACAATGTATTATGTACATACACAACCTAACATACTCTTATATTAAAATTAATTCAACTATAATTGTAAAAATATTAATCAAAAATAATTGTGATATAACATAGGACTCTAAATTGAATAAAATCGGATAAAAATAAAGAGTTCATGGTAGTCATCTAGGTTTCATTTAATTATGTTCATATCAGTATATTAATGTAAATGTACACAACAAATATAATAGCACGAATATTTATATATAGGACCTAAAAAACGCGAACCACATGAAAGGCACATGTTTGGGCGTGGTGCTTGACAGAGATTGTATAGAAATGGTTTTCACTGATTAGGTAATCATGTCACGTTATACATATATATCTAGACCTGGATTATCTATTTATATATAATATTTCCTGGAATAGATGATCTGTCAGTGCACTACAGAACCAGATATGGCTTAAATGTATGGTCAATGTCTATTACATCTGCTGTAATGTCATTTACAGTAGAAAGAGTTGCAATTTATAGTAAGTATTTCTGTATGAAAAGTTTGTAGTATATGTTAGGACAAGTAGGACAATTCTTTAAAACTTTATCTTACAGTTTGCAGTTTAAAAATGTTTTATAAATATGTATTTAGTATGATTCTATAACATTTACATATTACTATATCATACCAAGTTCTCAATACAAAGCATATATTTAATAAAATAAAAGTAAACTATTTTATCTACGATCATTCCCAGTGGTATTCAAACCAATATATGTGGACTGGAAGTTTTCGTTTATCCATAATAAGACAAAGCAAAATAGGATGGGTCATTCTTTTTACACTACTAATTATTTCTACCTACTTCTTCTTCTTTTCATTTTAGAATTTCCTCTTGTCAGTGCAACTAATTCATGCATCTTCCAGCCAGTTTATCCCAGGCCATATCCTTAACCTCCCTATACGACATGACACCTAGTGTTTCTTTTACCTGTCCCATGAAGTTATTCCTCAGTCTTCCTCTTTTGCCCTCTATTTTTCCCTCTACTATACTCTTAAAAAATCATCATGTCGTATTTAGGTGGCCCAGCATTTTGCCTCTTCTATTCTCTATTATTTTAATTAATGTTCTTTTCTCGTTCACTCTTTTCAGGACTTCCTCATTCGTCTCCTCTATGTCCGTATGCCTCAAGTATCTTTTTTTCTTTTGCGTCATTGTTCATTATTGATTCTATCTACTTATTGAGCACTATTTAAAATTTTATTAGACTTTTACTTCCTTAAAATAGACAAATATGTAGTTATATACAAGTCAACAAAAGACATCAAGATCAATATAAATGCGAAAAAATGCAATATATATATATATATACTTCTGTTCACATTCCTCTTTTCATTCACTTGTATGCTGGTTCTATCAGCTCATGATGGCTCAATTCCGGTCAACATTTAGGATTGCAGTATATTATTGTTGTTATAAATAAAGTTTGTTTATATAAAGTTACAGATTTCATTTGGTGTAATATATGTGTTATATTGAGAACCTGGCCAAATTATTGTTTGTGAATGTAAAAAATGTATTGTGAATGTGACTTGCTGACAGTAGGTTTTCTTTGGCTGATTGAATATATATTGGTTTATATTTTGACACAGGTCATGTAGGTAATTTTATAAATTTGTATATACAGACAAGTTAAATGTAATAACTAAATTAGTGACCATTTTTATATAATTTCATTGGAATTGGCAGAATAATTTATACAAATTATAATAGGCATTTGAAACACACTTAAATTTTTTTTCACTGTATTTAATCAAAATTTCTATTTATAAGATTTGGTTCTCAATACTACTGTATATTTAGAATAGAAAGATAAATTAGTATATTATGTTTTAATTTTTCCTTTGCCCCAATATTTTAATCCCAAATAAACACATGCCAATATAATAAATTTTCTATTTATTATTATTTAACAGTAACATTCTTAAAATATTTTCAAATATATAAAACTATTCAAGAACTTCTCCAATTTTTTGAGGATTTAAAACTGTACCAAACTTAATGAAAAGTTTATATTTAGTACCATCTGTAAGTTGTGGTGATAAGTAAATACTGTCTATTGTTCTTGAAGGCATATCTAGTAATGGTATCCAATCATTTACAGAAACACATTTATCTTTTCTTCTTCCCCAAAAATCCACAGAAGATATTTTGATGTGTTTATTGTCTTTACTAATATATAAAAATCCTATAGAATTATGGAATAAAATACTAGGTATTAAAAGTGCCAATCCTCCAGTCACCCCTGAAACATATAAAATTAATTTTATTATCTCTGCAGTGCTAATTTTACCTCTTATAAATGTCAATATTATATTGACATGAAATTTAACTGTAAATATTATAGAGTGGCATATAGTTCTAATTTAAGCACTAGTTATTACAATTATTTTGTTTAATTCTACTTCCATTACTATGTGTGCAACTGCCAACACTTAATGATTGACTATTATACTATATTATTATCACCAGAAGTTCTATAACCTTCCATATTAGCCATATAACTCCAACTGCCATTTCATACATATGTTTTGTGACACAAATTTCATCTCTAAATGAGGCATCTTAGACAAATTTATAGATAGCTGCTCAAATCATAATGTTAACCATTCTGCACTCGAACTGTGAAACTACAATTACAACAAATCGAAATGAACTCAATGGTTAATACTAAGCTCTGAGCAGAAACCTATTAAGTTGCTTGAAAATATCTAATTTAGAGATAAAACATGTGTTGCAAAATATGCATGGATAAAATGGCAGTCAGAGATTAATAGTTAATATTGAAGGTTACAGAACTTGTGATGATGATAATAATAATAATAGTCAATCTTTGAGTTTGACAATCACACACATACTAATGTTAGTAGCATTTTAATTATGATCAAATAACTAATGATATGGATTTCTATAAGATATCACCTAATTCAGTAAAATAATTTTAAAGTAAGCAGTTACACTAAGAGTACTAAACAACTGATAAAAGTTTTTTTATTTATTAACATATAAGTACATAATGATAATACTCATGAATACAAATCTTTACATAGCACAGGAATGGACCCATGTCCATTATCCTAATCACTACACATTCTCCGTCATTCAGTTTATATTCTAACAAATTTGCAAAATCCTTCTTCAACCTCTCTAAAACTACAAACTGTTTCATAATATAGAAAGAATATTATTATACCTATTAGTCAATGTTCTCACCGATATATGAAGTTGCTAGAAAAGCGTTTTCTGGTATTACACTCAACATTTCTAATAGACCGCAACTAGGAACTGCTATAGATGTCCCAATTAAATGATACACTTTAAGTCTATTTAAAATTGCAATGTATTTTATACTTGGGAATTTATATACAGAATCAAATTCATGAGATGCATGTTCCGAGTTTTCTTTGGAAATAGACCTTCTAGGTACGTTAATAAATCTTTTTATATTTAGAATTAATTGATTTGTAAAAGAAGTAATATACATATTATTTGAAAAGAAAATACTTTGATAATAACAATAAGAAATTTTCTATGAACATAACCATTACACAGCGATGACATTGACAAATTGAGATAGATAGTGAAAACCGTTGTGATTTATGTTCCTTGGTTGTGATATATGTCAAAATGTATTTATATTTTACGTTATATATATTTATAATATATGTATAAGTGCAAAATATCCGTTAATCAGAGTGAAATTGATAAAATATATAAACAGTGTTCATAAGACTTAGAATTCATAATCTATGTCATATAAGAAAATGTCAGTATAACTTCAAGCCGACAATGTCAACGTCGAAAAGCGCGGGAAACGTTTAAAAAAGCGGGAGTGTTTTTTGATCTTCTTTAAATTAATTTTATTTTTAATTATATAAGGATTAGTTTTATTTATATATTGTGTATTAGATTGTATATATAATTGTATATTTTGTAGTAATAGTGTTTGTTGCTGTAAATATTGGTAAGTAAATTACCTATATTAATTAGACATTATGGATCCACCTATAGACCCTGGGGGGACAACCCCCAGGTGTCTGCAAATATAACTATCCCATTTAATAATAGTTTTGATATATTGGGTGAATCTAGTATGGACACAGATGGTTCTAGCGTTGCAAGTTCTAAACGTAAGCGAGTACGTGGCGAACGTCGCATTTGCAAACATTGCAATAAAAAACGAAGGAGGCACACCAAAGGTCTCGAATCTAAAATTAAAGATAGTGATTGTCAATGTATTGAGGATGAGAATCAAACTCAAGTATCAATACCAGTTGTAAATAATACCGAGTCTGTTAAACCTGCTTCTCCACCCAGTACTTTAAGCAGAACTTTGTACAATGCCGAGGATGTAGCTCCTTATGTCGTTCATGTACAAAAAAATGAAACACATCCTAATGATAACACTACATTACATCCTATTGCATTTGGTCGCTTTTTACACACTAATAAGATAAATAATATAGTGAATGGTAGCCTCAAAAGAATAGGAAGAAACCGTTTATCGCTTTCTTTCTCAAATTTTGAAAATGCAAATGCATTTTTAAATAATAGTCACTTAGAAACACATAATTTTAAGGCATTTATACCTTCTTTCCATGTAACCCGTATGGGAATTGTGAGGGGTATTCCTAAAGATTGGACAGAAGAGGAAGTAATCCAAAATATATCAGTACCTATAGGTTGTGGGAGAATTCTAAAAACCAGAAGAATTAAGAAAAAGACCATTAATGAAGGACAACCAAGTTTTATTAATACTGAAACCATTGTTATTACTTTTGATGGACAAATATTACCAAAAAGAGTATTTATGTTTTACACATCATTAACTGTAGATTTGTACATTTACCCCACTATCCAATGCTATAACTGCTGTAGGTTCGGACATGTCAAGATGCAGTGTTGTTCAAATCCTCGGTGTTATAAATGCAGGCAAAATCATACAGGTGATAAATGTGAAGTAGATGAGGAAAATGTTTCTTGTATCTTGTGTAATGGTTCTCATTCAGCAATTAGTAAGAAATGTCCTGAATATGCACGTCAGAAAGCCATTAAAGAAACAATGGCCCACAGTTGTGTTTCTTATGCTGAAGCATCAAAATTTCATCCTCCCACTTCTAAACTATATTCAGATGTATTAACATCATCATCTCCGTCCAATAAATCTCATTTTCAATCTTCTTTCCTCAAAGAGAAATCATCATTACCACATATTCAATCATCACATAAAAAAACAGTTACACTTAAACCACGCTCTCCTCAAAAAGCACAACAAGGATATGATCGTTCTGCCCATGAAGCCATAGTTAAGGAATATAATATTCCTGCTCCCTCTAATGGTTGTGCATTATCATCAAATAATATTGACAATAATCAATCCATCTTTGATATTATTCTCATGCTTATTAAAGTGTTATCGCAATCGAAGATGATACAAACAACTTTACCACCGTCCAACGATGCCATTTACAATGTATTTTCTCAATTATTAACTTCTCACAATGGATTACAAAGTCCTAATAATTCAGTGGAACTGTCGTAGCATAACAAACAAGAAATCAGACTTATTTTATTTGATTAATAAATATAATCCTTTTATAATAGCTCTCAAGAGACTTGGTTAAAGCCAGGATATCCTTTTAGGATTTCAGGCTTTACAAGTCTCCGTGATGATAGAGCTGACGGATATGGCGGTGTTGCCATATTGGTCAAAAACTCCCTTCCTTTTTCTTCTTTTTCGCTTCCTGTATATAGCGGCATTAATGCAGCTGCTATAATTATAAATGGTATCTGTTTTGTTACTTTATATATTCCTGATCCTACATGCCAAATATATTCACAACTAGAACAATTATTTTCAATTTTACCTAAACCTTTTCTCGTAATGGGCGATTTTAATGCTCAACACCAATCGTGGGGCAGTTCTACTTCTAATTTTTATGGTGGAAAACTCCTGACGATAATTGACACTTACAACTTATGTATTATTAACTCAGATGTACCAACACGTAGAACTGCACCGAATGAAGGGTTTAGTGCTCCTGACATTTCAATATGTTCTTCTGATTTAGCTTCTTCACTGTCGTGGTATCCTCATTCCTCTACTTTCGGAAGCGATCACTTTCCCCTCATTCTTTCTTTTCCAATTTCCATTCCCTCAAGTCGAAAGAGTGGTCCTCGGCTTAAATATAATTTATCAAATGTAGACTGGAATATTTACAAACAATATTTAGATAATAAAATATCGGAGTTACCTATTGTTTACCATGGAAATGAACATCAATGTTGTAATGACTTGATGATAAATATGAAGGAGGTTGCTGATTTATTATTTCCTGTTAAAAATAGTGCTTCAGGGAAAATTCCCTCGCCACCTTGGTGGGACAAAGATTGTACGGAAGCAATTAAAAATCGTAAAGAGGCTGAAAAAAATTATAATAATTACATGACACCAGAAAATTTTGAAATTTACACCGCAGTTTCACGTTCTACTCGAAAACTACTGAAAAAAAAGAAATTAGAAGGCTGGAGAAGATTTTGTTCTTCTATCTGTCCAGAAGTTAATTCATCAGTCGTTTGGAATAATATTAAAAGATTCAGATCTGCCTTTAGTGATCATACATCACGTTCTGCACTCGATTTAACTTTAGCGAATAAATTTTTAGATCGTCTTGCTCCTAGTTATGTGCCGGAATGCCTTTACAATATTTCTCTATCCGTCTCTGACGAATTATTCGAACTTGACTCTCCTTTTACTCTAGTAGAACTTAAAGGTGTTCTAGCTTGTATTAAAGACTCTGCACCGGGAGAAGACGGTATACCGTATTCCTTTTTTAAAAATGCTAGCGATGCGACATTAATTTACTTTTTAAATATAATTAATTCCATAATTATTTCGGGAAATATACCTACTTCATGGAAGTCTCAGATTATTATACCATTTCTAAAGCCTCATAAACCACCTTCTGAACCATCTTCATACCGTCCTGTTGCACTTTCCTCTGTCTTACTAAAGCTAGCTGAACATTTAGTGAAGAACCGTCTAGAATGGTTTTTAGAAAGTAATAACTTACTATCCCCGAACCAGTTTGGTTTTAGGAAAGGTAAGAGCACCTTAGATAATGTGAGCATTCTTATTTCAGATATTCATATAGCTTTCTCACAAAATTTGTCAATCCTCTCAGCCTTTTTAGATATAAATTCTGCCTATGATAATGTAATAATTTCTATTTTAAAAACTAAATTACAAGCTCTAAATGTACCGGTAATGCTTTCTAATTTCATTATTAATATTTTATCAGAAAGAACAATATATATGAATTTAGATGAAGATACCAAATTATCTAGAACAGTATGGAAAGGCCTTCCACAAGGATCTGTTCTCAGTCCAATCTTATTTAACATATACACATACGATCTAGAATTATTCCTTGATAAATCCGTCAAAATTTTACAATATGCTGATGATCTTTTATTATATTTTATTGCGAAGTCCATAGAATCTGCTTCTGCCAAATTATCTGATTCATTAGATTTGTTAAAAACGTGGTTAGATGCAAATGGTCTTAATCTTTCTGTAACCAAGAGTAGTGTAGTTTTGTTTTCAAGAATGAGATCACCGCAACAAATTAAGGTGCTTTATGATAACTCATACATTCCTATAAAGACTGAAATTAAATTTTTAGGTATCGTGCTAGATAATAAATTAACAGGTCTGTCCCACTGTAATTATATTTCTACGAAATGTGAGCGTAACCTCAACATTCTTAGGTGCCTTGCTGGAGTTTGGTGGGGAGCACATCCCGTTTCACTAAAACTTGCTTATAATGGTCTTATAAGGAGTGTCATTGATTATGGAACTTTTTTGTTAGCTCCAGGAAGTTCATTTGCTTTTAAGAAATTGGATTTAATTCAATCAAAGGCCTTGAGGATTATCTCTGGAGCAATGAAATCAAGTCCAATCAATGCTTTACAGCTCGAAGTCGGTGATCCACCTTTGGTTTTAAGAAGACAATATCTATCTGATCGCTTCTTTTTTCGTTGTTTACAATTATCTGATCATCCGCTTATTCAAAAGTTATCTCAACTATATATCTTTATTTCGTCTTCATCTTATTGGAAACATAAAAAACCTCCATGTTTAATACAAAGTTATGAAAAATATAAATCCATAGAATCTCCCACTTTTACATCGTCCTGTTTTCCCATTTATAAATGCTCATATCAATCTTTAGTTTTATCTCCTAATATTAAATATGATTTTGGGTTATTAAAAAATGATTCAGAATTGAATGCCAAATTTATGTTTATAACTGACATTGAATGGAATGAATGGCACTACATCTTTACTGATGCATCAAAACCAGACAATAGCGGTTGTGTAGGTGTGGGTGTGTTTCATTCACAATTTAATATCGTTCAAAAAATTAAACTTCCACCGGAGTCTTCAGTTTTTACCGGGGAATGTTATGGTATTTTAAAAGCTGTAGAATATATACTTTTAATGAAATTACATAAGGCAATAGTTTTCACTGACTCTATGAGCTCTTTGCAAGCTCTAGCCAAATATCCGTTTAAATCAAAACCAGTTTATCCCATTATTTGTGACATAAGACAAAGTCTTTATCTTTGCATGTTGAGAGGTTATTCCGTTTCTTTTGCCTGGTTACCAGGACACAGTGGTATTAGCGGCAATGACAAAGCTGACCTTATTGCAAGAGAGGCTGTAACTTGTGGTGATATGTATCCGTATCATAATTACTGTAGTGACCTAGCTTGTCTCCCAAAAATATATTTAAGGTATGCCTGGAAGGAATATTGGGAAAAAACAAGTACAATAAAAGGAAGATTTTATCGCCTTATACAACCCGATATTCCTTTCAAACCATGGTTTTGTAAATTAAAGCTTGGAAAGACCGCAACAACTATTATAACTCGTATGCGTCTAGGTCACGTATGCACACCTTCTCATTTATACAAGCTTGGTATTGTACAAAGTTCGTCGTGTAATTGCGGTGCTGAAGTGGCGGACTTGAATCATATATTCTTCTCATGTTCTAAATTTGACCACACCTCCCTTTTTAATCATCTCCGATCCATCCGTGTTCCATTCCCAACTTCTATTCTTACTCTACTTTCTTCCAATGATCCTATTATCTATAAAATACTATCTTCATATATATATGATAACAATATTAAGATTTAGTTATATTACATGAATACATTTATAGTTGCATCAATTGCTTTTCCTATATATTTATAAGTATATTCTCATATGTACAAGTATATGTTTCATATCCTATAAATATCCTAGACCTAATCCTTATCCTTTCTAAATTCGTTTGTGTTAGGTATTTTTATTACTATTATCGTTTCCCCGTTTTGTTCTTGGCAAAATACCCTAATATCGGGGTGAACGCCACAAAAAAAGAAAAAAAAAAAAAAAAAATGTCAACGTCAAAGAGATAACGAATCATGTCAAATTTTCGTATGTGTAAATATTACCACGCTTTTCTTGCTCGGCACGTGAATCTGTTATTTATGAAGTATTAATAATTCCAAAACTTAAACATAGAAAAATAAAATTATAATTTTCCGGTAATAGAACAAATGTATAAACACCAAAAATGGCTAATATTTTGAAGGAAATGTAAGTATTTGTGTATATAAATAACTAGCAAACCTCTCCAGCGTCACACGGGTAGATATGTAGAAAGATTAATTATATAAAATACAGCCCATGTTACTCGCTGATATTGCAACTTTCTACAGGTGAAAGAATTTTTCAAATCGGTTAAGTATACGTGGCAAAAACGTATTATCTCTATTGTTCTTTTTTTTTATGAACTAACTGCTAAGTCAACATTACATGGATGGACTTCCACAATCCAATAGCTATTAACAGAAGGACGCCTGTCGGGTTAGATAGGAATTTCATAAAATCAAGTTTTTACCCAGTATCATGGTATTCACTGTCTAATAGTTATTTTAAAGCTTCGGGCAATAAGAAATATTTGTCGCCCTTATTAATAAATAACCATATTTAGCCTCAGTGAACTCGTTTAAACTTTTATCCTACCTATATTTAGCCCTTTATAAAAATACTTGGCATATTGATTTTTTTCCAATTTTTGATAAGGCTCTACTATATGGCGATGGCCGGCATGGCCTCATCTCTACAATCATAGTTTCATAAAAATTAATTTCAATAAGCTGTTAAAGTTTGACATGAAGAGATAAAGCTATAAAATAATTCAAAAAGAAAACTTTATAGTGAAGGAAGGGCTTATATAGGTATTATTCAGTAGGGAAGTTTTACTTGCTTACTTTTGCCTTTAACCATGGCCCTGAAGGGGGGAAGGCAGGGAGTACCATTCCATTATCATCCATTGAATAAAAAAACAATGGCCCTGACAGTACTCTTCTTAGTTCTCTTTCTACCAAGACTGTTTCAGTGTGCATCTGCAAATAGGATTACTCCAAGCTATTTTAAAATTCTTACTACTACTTGATTAAGTATGTATACTAAGTAAATCACCATGAAAAGAAAATTATTTTGTTACCGAAATCATGAAGAACTAAATATTTGAAGACTGATTTTAAGAAATTGTGTTTGTGATGTGAACACTGATGTGATATTGTGATATTTTTTTTACACAGTTATGAGAAGACAGCAGAGTACACAGCATTTTATACTGGTGGAGACATTCAATGGACTACAGATGGTGCACATCTTCTCTGTCAGTGTGATGATGTTATCAAAATAATAGATGTTAACACCCTTTCCACTGTTCTCTCTATTGGTGAATCAGATGAGAATACTGAAAGTGACCAGATTTACACATTTCAAATGTCACATGACAATGAAAGTATTGTTACTGCACATAAAAGTGGGTTGATGAAATTATGGGACAGGAATACAGGAAAACAACAGAAGATATGGAGGTCAGGCCACAAAGGTCCTGTAGCCCGATTGGCCTTTGACTCAACAGATGTAAGCATAGCATCAGGTGGCTCTGATGGCAATATACGGCTTTGGAATTTGACTCATCATACTTGTACTAGCAGTTTGAGGGGAGCACTTGGAGTTTTTACTGTACTTAAATATCACCCTGATACTACTAAACAATTAATTTTTGGAGCAGCAGATGATACCAAAATTAGGTCATGGAATTCCACCAATGGAAAAGAAAGTGTTATATATTCAGGGCATTTTAGTAAAGTCACCTCATTATTGTTTACTAGTGATGGTGAGCATATGGTCAGTTCTGGTAGAGATAGAGTGTTAATTCTTTGGAAATTAAATGAAAGTAAAGCTTTGAAAGTGATTCCAGTGTATGAAAGTATTGAAGCTGCATTAATTTTACCCCAGACTTTTAAAATACCAAATTTTACTAAAAAGTTCGAGACAGAAGGGATTTATGTTGCGTGTGCTGGTGAAAAAGGAGTTATAAAGGTATGGAATATGCAAATGAGTCGTTTAATGTATGAACAAAGCAACAGTCTAGTATCTCCCGCAACAGAAGAAGGGGGGCTGGCAATTCAACATCTTTTATTTAACCAAGCACGTAATGTGTTATCAGTGGTCACTGTGGATCATAATATAATTATTCATGACCTTGAAACATTTGGTTGCGTGAAACAATTAATTGGTTTTACTGATGAGATTTTAGATATTATCTTTATAGGTAAAGAAGACACACACATTGTTGTTGCTACAAATAGCAGAGACATAAAGTATTATGAATTACAAACTATGAACTGCCAGATAATCAAAGGCCATACAGATATTGTCTTATCTTTAGCAAGCTTTCCAACTAAACCACAGATGTTTGTATCATCTAGTAAAGATAATTCTGTTAGAATTTGGCTTCAAGATGCAAATAACGATATAAAATGTATTGGAATTGGAATAAGACATACTGCTTCTGTAGGGTCAGTGTTTACCTCCCAAACATCTTGTGACTTTTTTACATCAGTAAGTCAGGACAATTGTTTAAAAGTTTGGCAAGTACCTAAAGATATAAAAACATTTGATCAGAAGATAAAATCTAGCCATACTGAATTAGCTCATCAAATGGACATAAATTGTGTAGCTGTTTCACCAAATGATAAGATGATTGCAACTGGTTCTCAGGATAAGACAGTAAAATTATGGACAGAAGATTTAACATTATTAGGGATACTCAAAGGACACAGAAGAGGTGTGTGGTGTTCTCGTTTCTCACCAGTTGATCAGGTGGTACTGACATCTTCTGCTGACAGCTCTATAAAGTTATGGTCTATAGCTGATTTGAGTTGCTTAAAAACCTTTGAAGGTCATGAGAGTTCAGTTTTAAAAATTGAATTCCTCAGCAAAGGTCAACAAATAATATCAAGTGGAGCTGATGGCCTTTTGAAATTGTGGACTATAAAAAGTTCAGAATGTAAGATGTCTTTAGATAATCATGACGGCAAAGTTTGGTCTTTGGCAGTTACAAAAGACGAATGTTTATTAATAACAGGGGGATCGGATTCAAAGTTGGTAACTTTAAAAGATGTGACCATAGAACGTCGTGAAGAAAAAAATAAAGAAAGGGAGCTACAAATTTTACAAGAACAAGAGCTAATGAATCTCTTGCATGATAAAAAAATGGTAAAGGCTCTTAAATTAGCGCTACGCATGGAGAGGCCCCTTCATGTTCTAAAAATTGTTAATGAAATTCTAAGAAATGGTAATGATAAACTTTTTGAAACTCTTAAAGAAATAAATAATACTCAAAAGGAAACCTTAATAAGGTTTGCTACAGAATGGAATACTAACAATAAAAACTGTCATGCTGCACAGCTCGTATTTAATATATTAACCCCAGAAATTATTTCCGGAAACCTCAATCTGCCAAATTTAGATAGTTTTATTGAAGGTGCATTACCATACAGTGAAAGACATTATGAAAGATTAACCAATTTATTACAAGATTTAAACTTAATAACATATACTGTAAACTGTATGCAACCTCATGCTATTAAAAATACATAATGCAAATAAAAAGTATTTATTAAGAAATATTTTTTAATTTTCTATTCCAACCTTACATGACCGTGCTATATATATATATATATATGTTCCGTTGTAAACTTATATAAATTAATTACCCTTTATTTTTAATAACATGACTTTCTTGTTACAATCACTTGTGTAGTAAGGTTTAAACATGCATTGAACACCACTCTATCGCAAGTATAACATCTTTGTGATAAAATAGTTAAGATTTTTAATGAAAAAGACCAACAAATTTACATAGATAAATACAAACCCCCCATTAAATAATTGTTTCCAGAGTTTTAAAAGCTTACACCAATTGCTTGCACCAATGAAGGATGACAGGCGAGGATGAAGCAGGTCAGTTAGCCCATCGTGACGAATTCAACAACAATTGTTTATGATGGTTTCCAGGGAGAACCACGTGGAGGTCGACCTAATAGGTCATATTGCTAGCAATGGGGCTGTCAAACTACAGCAATAGAGAAATTAGACCTTATTACTAACAATCCCTTTCCCCCTAGTAATATAAGTTAGGTAAAGGATAAATTCCTTCAAATAAATATTTCTTACATTTAAGGAAAACAAATATTACGTTTTGTTCAATATCAATTCTCTGGAACATGACACTATGCCTCAACCTTACCATGATCATATTGGTACTTTCCCTCTAAAGAACATTGGTTTATTTATTTAAGGCAAACAGCTAAAATAATACATAATTATATACTTAAACAGTAATTTAGTAGCCACTAGAATTTGCACAAAATAAAATACAAGTAAATGAAACACAAAATTAGACAATACTAAATTAAATAAATATAAACAAAATTAAACAAACAAATACTATTGAAAACTACAGCAACATTGTCAATAAAAATGCTCAGAAGTTAATAAAACATTTTTTCAGAAAAACACATTATATGAAAATAATACCTGTATAACCATTAAAAAAAATTGATAATAATTTATAATAAAAGAAAAATAATATAAAAAAGAAATCTTTGACAACAAATTAAAAACGTTAATTACCTATTACCGCCATATGCCGTTTTATCTCATTCTTAAACTTTATTTTCGACCCTATAAAGGGATCAATATCGGAGAACATATTGTTATAAGTACTCGGTAATCTAAAAAATAAAGAATTCTTTTTATAATTGGTAGTATGGCGTGGCACATGCAATAATGGTGTATGTCTAGTACGACGCATGGAAGTTTAGTCTGTCTTTATAATTTGTAGGATCTATCCTATTGTATTTTTTTTTTTTAATAGATGAAAATGGAATGGTAACCCCGTCTACGCTATCGGTATACCCTGGCGGTATACCAGTTTTTTTTACTGGGCAAAAATGAAATAGTAACTTTGGCTGTGCTACCGGTTTACACTGACAGAGCACCAGTAAAGAATGATGCGAGGATGAAACAGGTCAATTGGCCCATCATAACGAATTCAGCTGGAATTAACCACGGTGGTGTCTAGGGAAAACCGCGTGGAAGTCTACTTGAAAGTGTATATTACTAGTAAAAAGGCTATTATACCCCATTACCAACAATCCCTTTTCCCATGGTATACCAATGAAGATGATAAGGTGAAAATGAAAGTAGGTTAGTCAGCCTATCGTGACGAGTACATCAATTAACATTGATAGTTTCCAGGGTGGACTGCGTGGTGGTCGATCTGACGGTGTATATTGCTAGCAGTGGAGTCACTAGTTGCTGTTACAAAATCCTTCTCCCCTATATATAATAACTTTATTATCATTACGTTCACTGTATTGATAGATAGGTACATTTGTACATGATATATTAGGTATTTCTATACCTACGACAACAACAGCAACATTCTGCGTATTATTCTTTCACGTAAATATGCTATCGTGAACTTGACTATCGTTAGATTCATTTGTTATTTATCTAGGGAGAAGAAGGCACCAAAAGTAATCTTAATAGAAAATCGTCCGCATTTCTATATCACTCAAGTTTCGGTCTGGAAGTAGATAGATATTGGATTGCATCATAAGGAGACATTAACATCTTAGTTCTCTGCTATGGCAACGCATGAGGGATACTATGCACCCTAGTGTTCTCTGTATGCTCATAGTCATATCAAGCTGTCATGTCATATCAAAGCAATGGTTACAGCATTCTATCAGTTGAACTGTCCATTTATTTGCAGTTCTGCGTTCCATAAAAAAGTTACTAACTGTGAATTTTTAAACGACTTCCGAAAAGTGTATTTCGTATCGCCTGTATTTTTTTATGTATGAATTACGCAATACTTTAGCCGATTTTGATTATTATTTTTATTGTTAATAAATTTCACTTAAGTATTTATTTTGTTATATAGGATTGAAGTCTGTAATTTTTTTCGGGGCAAAATCCTGCTATATTAGATTTACCAAATAATTCAATATTGACATAAATGAACCTTTAATATTAAAGATATCCCTTGTGCTAATAAATTAAAATTTTGACATAACTTATAACTACCTTTACTTATGTGTGTGTGTGTATGTATTATACAGAAAGCATAATTTCGAAAGAATAAAAAAAAATAGTAGAGCCAAAAGGGTTGTAACATATGACACAGAAGTTTAACAAATCTGCAAGAGACTGAAAAATATTCTTTGGATTAAGTTATACTAAGAAAGGATTTACTAGTGCGTAAATATTTACTGCACACACCAACCGCTTGTACTCTGACGCACAATCTCATTAGTGTTCAAATAAAATTTGGGAAATGTTAATTTACTTTCTGTAATGTTTCAAAGCTCAATTGGTATTACGTTGAGTCGTTGAGGTGTGCGCTTGCACAGCCTTTATAGAGCATCCATGGAGAGCAGCTTCCAGTGCGTTCTTATACAGTAGTGGTGGAACTATCACGCGAAGCGGTCCGGTCGTGATTTGTGCGAGTGTCTTCCTCTTTCTCTTACTGATGTTACACTATTCATCATGAAATTAAGAACTTTTATAGCGTATCAGACATTTTTAATTGTTTTCAATTACGCTTATGGACAAAAGTAAGTAGTTGTAAAATTATTATTTCTAATTTAATATGTTATATATAGATAACTAATAATTTAAAAAATCAATATATAAGATCGAACAATTTAATCACTGCTAGAATTTGAATCCGTAACTGTCAGCTGTTTTAAGACCATTTTCAATGATCGTAGGATACGAGTTCAAGTGGATACTGTACACAGACAAGTGAAATATTCTATGAAATTTTGTGCACTATTAAAACCTTAAATAAATCTGCAATTAACAGTAAAAATTTAGATATGTTTTCAAATTCTTATTTATTACCTAAAATTTTTTTTTATAACTTATTGCTCTTTGCGCAAAATATAATATTATGTATTCATATTTATTTATTTTTAAAGAAGTGAAAGACAGAAACTTAAGAAACAATAAAAAAATTGGGATTACATATCATATAATTTCATCGTAAAACATTATTTAGATTAAAAAATTTCTCATCTTCCTTTGATGAATTAAATCATCCGTTAAACAAACTAAACTACTTTTTTAAAAGATAGTTTTTTTAAAAATTTGGTATATCGTTGGATAGACCATGTTATGGGTAAATATTTAATTATAAAGACTACAAAGATCGATATGGCGAAAATATAACAATTTTTCATTTTACCATTTAACAATGGAATCTCGGATAAAATCATAAAAGCTTGTCAAATTTGTCTCTTATTAATGTAAATAATGAGGTAATGTCAAGGTTTTATTAGAAACAAACTATCTAAGTGTCTAAGCACTCGTATTTACGGAAATGCGGTTATAAAATAAATATTCATTATGCAGACCTAAGTAAAGAATAGGAATAATATAATAGAAAATAAGTTCCCATTTTTATAATTTTTGCAATAATCCGATATTTATTCATTATTATAAACATAAAATTTTGATAAAATGTTAGAAAAATCATTTAGATAGTTCGAATATTTATTACTTATTCACGTTTAATTAGTTGAATTTGAATGTAATTTGGTACAAAATAAACCTGCATTATTAAATGTACCTATTTAATAATGTTTTTGCCATTCTAAATTAACAAAATAAATGCGTTTTTCGATCATTCAAAACACAACGTTTCTAATTATTCAGTCAGTCAATCAGCATTTTTTAGGGTTCCACCATAGGAAAAAAACTGAACCATTATAGGTTCACTTTGTTGTCCGTCCGTTCGTCTGTCAAGACCCTTTTTGTTAGGAGGGAAGTGTTAAGTTGAAATTAATGTCATATACTCAGGTCAGGTCAGGTCTTTAGGCAGTGAAAATATCAAGCTTCTTAATCAACGCAATCAAAAGATATGGCCGTTTTTGTTCCATTTAAATCGCATGTTTTGACATTCGCAAAGAGAATCAAAACCTATAAGGTACCTCCCGTTGACCTAGAATCATGAAGTTTGGCAAGAAGCAATGTAATGTACCACAAGTAAAGGAAAAAATCCGAAAACCGTAAATATGTAGTTATTTCACAAAAAAATTACATTTGATGATTTTGTACGGAACAATAATTGCGCAAGTCCGACTCTTACTTGACCGGACTTTTTTAATATCTCGTCGTTTCCTATGGCACATAATGGTGGAACTGTTCTCTCTATGTATAATTATACTCTTTTTATAAATTTGTAGTGGAGTCAGTTATCTGGACTTTCCAGTGAAATGAGAAATCTTTTTTACTGCTTACTAAGTTAGTAAGAAACCTTTAGATATGCAAAATGTCATGTTTCGGGGTTCAGCAGTTATAGCTATGTTTCGATATTATTATATTCTTTCTATTTATGTACCTCTGTCTTATCATTATAATATAATATTAGTGTACATAATAATAACTGTGTTTGATAGAATTCTCGTTTTTGCTACTACATGGTCTTAATGGCCGAACAATAGGCCGTAGAAGCACACCATAAGCATTGTACATACGTTACGTAGTTCAATTGCTACTATGATGCTCACGGCTAATGGCTGTTTGTATTTGGGTACATAATTTATGTACGTTCTGCAAACAGATACCTTTAATACGTGTACTTGATAATATTTTATAGCAGCATATCCTTAGATTATCTACAAAATTTTCCCAGACCACACTAGTAGTACGTAGGATCTTAAGTTACCTTCTGCTTACCATACGTTTACTTTCAATAAACAATTTATCAGCATATTATATACTACATTAGTGCTTACTTTTTTTAATATCGATAATTATATTATATTCCGTTGGGATTACAAAAACTATTGTCTTTATTAAATGCCTAGAGATATTTCTTACCGATTGTACATAAACAACTAATAGCTGCATAATAAATCCATTTGTATTGAGCATTGTCTTGACTAAACTCGGTTTCACTATAATCATCGCCATAAATTAGCTCTCCAGATTTTGAAAACCTTAGAAATATAATAACTATACATAATATAACAATACTTGATAGCGTAAGAGGAATTATCTTTCCATTTTCAATCCAAAAAATATAGGTAGTTACTGGTTCATTATTTTCGAAAATAATATATACTTAATATATAAAGACTTCTTTCAGTACAGAGTACAAATCAATTATAATAAGGCCATGTTCTAATAATTTAGTACCTATCAACTAAGTTATCAACCAGTAATAAAATTAATTTAAGTATAAATCACAATCCTTACTCCAAGAATATTTTTTTTACACGTCATTAACAAAATAATTTATAACCGTAACTAAATTTTTCATTTGTCATAATTAACTATTGTGTGTATTAGAAAAATAACATCGTCTACCTCTTTTCTTTAATTCAAAAGGACCTAGATCTTTGCCAATTATATAGGAGGTAATGTATGAGATGTTTAGTAAGAGTTTAATATTCATCTTGTGATGAGGAGTAGAAATTTTTACATAAGTATTAAAGAATAAAAATAGAAAGAATGAAAGGCACAGTAAAACACAAAGATACAATACGTACCTACCGGGGGGAAAAGGGATTGTTAGTAATGGAGTCTGAGAATCCCATTGCTAGCAACCAATATATCCAACCAAGTCGACCTCCTCGCGGTTCCCCCTGGAAACTATCATGATTAATTCCTGATGAATTCATCATGATGGGCTAACAGGCCTGTTTTTATCCTCGTCGATCACCCTTCACTGGTGCCCCGCCAGCTTATACCATTAGCGCAGGCGGGGTAACCACTCCATTTTCATCCAATAAAAAAAAACGTATCTACCTATTTTATTTAATACTAGTTTTAGCCTGCAACATCATCCATGTTAGCGGACTATTGATTGACGGTAATAAAATTTGTCTAAGAAATTTTGTGAGAGCAGATTGAACCGTTAAAGCAACAAAAGGTAAAAAATAATGAAACTTACCTTTTCTTTTATAATATTAATAATATGTGTATATGTATAAAAAAAGAACGGCTTATTTTTTTTATTCGAAAGATGATAATTGAAATTACGGAGCATTTAATCTCACCACCGTAACCACATTTAGACCAGTCTATCTCTACAAAGTACAAAGTAATATGAAATTTCAAATCTTTTTCAAATTATTAAAATGCTTTTGCTTTGGATTTGCCGCCGCGTCTGTATTTATAATTTCATTAGATTTTAGTTTAAGTAGAAGAAATTTGTTGCGCCGACAAATTAATATAATAATGACTACAACTTTTTAATAATTGACATTACACAGAGCTTAGTCTTCATCTACTTTATTACGTCTACGAAGCAAAAAAAAAAAAATAGCTTCAACATCAATGTATCTCAATTCCATACACTTGTTTATTTCTTTATACTATGCAAACAAATCTATCGAAATTATCTTTAATAGTCATGCATGTTAATTCTTTACATTTAAATATTTTAAAAAGATTGCCTGGCAATAAGACCGTCTTTTAAATTACGTGGAGTATTACTGTATTTAAGGAGGTTAACTAACCCTTATTTTTTCTATCTATTCTATTGCAATGAAATGTAAATTAATAAATAACTGGCGGAAAATATACCTACAATAAACATTATTGTTTTACCTTCCCGTAAAAGCGAATTACTTTTAAGTTTTGTCCATGTAGTACCTATAACACGTTAAAATCACCGCAACACTAACGTTGCATTAGTGGGCACAGGTTACTCTTAGTTACGTGGGTTATATGTAGTTTTTTGAATATTGTCCATTAGATATTCCCCTAGTATTAGCTTCTGAATATATCCTTAACATGAATAAGACAAGTGGTGACACATTCTTATTCCACCACAATACTAACCACAAAACGAATGTGTTATTGTCATTTAATGCAATAAATATATTCTTTTTACTGATTAAAAAACCCAATTTCTGCGGGCGTTTGCTTTTTAATTCTGAATGTACTCATGTTAATATTAAAAAAGTGTTTAAATGTTTGTTATGCGATAAAGTTTTTTAATAAAATAGTTATTAGTTATTTGTTGTTTACATTTGTATTAAACGATTTGTATTATTCTGTACAGTTAACCACAAATTAAGGAATATATATTAGTAAGTATTTCTTACTTAACTTGCCGTTAACTGTCCACTACAGAACGTAGGTCTCCACCTGTTGGGGGGTTTAGCCAGTAGTTGCCACGCTTGAAAGGTAGGTTGTCAACCGTATTTAAGCTTTGATGATGTCATAAGAGGGACGCTGCTACTCATCCCTCGACTATTAAAATCCCTCAATCGCAAATTAAGACACCCACGCAAAAGGAAGGGGTGGCTCTTTCTATCCCGTGACCATATGAGGAGTGAGCACTAATAAACTAACTGAATTGATTGATAATTATATTTTTTCCAATTATAAAGAAATACCTACCTCATCAATTTTGGTAACTGTAGGTAATTAATAGTCCAGCCAGTTTATAGTTGAACAAAAAAACGTAGGACCTGTTTTGTATAATAAAAATATTTTTCTTCTTCTTTTTATTTAAGAGTTTTCTCTTGTTGGTGCAACTAATTCATGCATTCATGCATGCAATAGTTAGTAATGCGGACTATCAGTCCCATTGCTAGCA